GTAGCTCTTCCTCCTGTGGTACTTGCATGTTTGAAGCATGGGGAGCCTGGATTCTTTGGTACAGGAATAGGACGGAAACTCCCCGGGAAATACCATGTTGAGAGTGAGACTGTGTCAGAGGTGAGGCATGGAACACACGGACTTTAGACAAACACTCACAGCACGGCAGCAGGAAGTGCACTCACATGTTTACTTATACACAAGCAGGGTCCAAACCTCTTTAGTGAAATATGTCTCATTGCCTTCTACTGGTGAGTTAGAATGTCATTTACAGGACTTCATAATAAAATACAGAAACCACAAACAATACTGAGTTGAAACTAAGTGATTTATGGTCACTCATGTTTAAGTGAACTTAAGTCTATAAGTACATTTGTTCACTGAAAATCCTGATGTCTAATTGGATGTGAAATATGAAATTGCAATCTCTAAATTCACCACTAGATGCTGCACATATAACACAGTTCGAGCAATAAGCAACTTTATAAAAGTTAGTAAAATACAATTAAAATGTTTTCTACATGTGGACACTGTAATTTTGTTTATAGTTATGGCCAGGGGTGTATATCTTAGCCATTCTTTCTCTCTGGATAAAATGTTGACCCTATTTACAAACAACACACTGATCATGTTGTTCTACTACAGAGGTGCAGATAGGCCTAGACCAGGGGTGCTCACACTTTTTCAGCATGCGAGCTACTTACAAAATGACCAAGTCATAAAGATCTACCTAATACATTTTATTCCATTTTCTTCCGCTTTCCGGATCGCGGAGGCAGCAGTCTAAGCAGGGACTGACCTCCCTTCCACACACAATGTTTAGCCATTCCCGGGGCCTCCTCCCTCATGCCCAGAACACCTCCCGAGGGAGGCGTCCAGGAGGCATCCGGAAAAGATGCCCGAGCCACCTCAATGCTCCTCTCAACTGCTCTACTCCGAGCTCCTCCCGTGTGACTGAGCTCCTCACCCTACTAAGGGAGCGCCCAGCCACCTGCGGAGGAAACATTTCGGCGCTGATCATCTTGTCCTTTCGGTTCTAGCTCATGACCATAGGTGAGGTGGGAACGGACTGACCGGTAAATCAGTTTCGCCTTTCGGCTCAACTCTCTCTTCACCACAAGGTCCGATAGCGAGACCAGGGGTGCTGTCATCTCACATTTTTGAACAAGACCCCAGATACTTGAAATGGGGCAGGGCGCAAGCTCGAAAGCGACTTACAAAATGACAGAGGGTTTCAAGTCACTAAGAGGTCGGGGTCAGGGATCCGGCAACCTGGTCCAGACTACCTAATACAAAGCCAAGCAAACTGCACTGAAACACTCTGTGCCCCTTTTTGGACCTTCACCCACAGTTTGAGAACCCCTTCTTTAAGAGAACTTCCTCTGGCACTTTACACAAAACTGTGAAAAAAGTGAAGGAAGATTTTTAAACTTGTTTTTTACAGTTCCAAACTGGAACTGCATTCATTTCTGGTTTTGCAGTGATATTTACCAGCCTCTGCACATTTACCAAACCAAACGCACATCGTGACAAACACAGATGCATTTGTGCACTTTTGTTAGGCGAACTTCAACTAGATGTTATAGATCTGTTCTGTAGGTCTGCTTTGTGCCACCACTGTAACACAAATTTAGACTCGTTTTTGCTTCACGTTTGGTCTTGCTCTTCTAATCAGCCGCACTGTGGAAGGGGCTTGTTTTTGCTGTACGCAGGAAGGAGCGAGAGCGTGAAAAGGCGAGGGGCGGCGTGCTGACGTGAGGCAGATGGACAGGTAGGATGTTTAAGAAGTTTAACCTGCCCTGTGATGCACGCTGGTACACGAGGGCACACGCTGTTGCAGACGAGCCGTGCATAGGGAGCGTGTGTGTTTGTGATGTGCCGTAGAGTCTCCGCGGGCTGCACTGAGCTCACAGGCTGCACTGAGACGCCCCACACGCTCCTGCACCCCGGTACAAGTTTATTGCCAACAGCAGCGGTCGTAATGAAATATGATCGCACTTGTTGAGTGTCAGACCTTGAGTGAGAGACAAGACCGAGTCCAAACGCGAGTCCGAGACGAGACACGGCGATCTACCCACACGACCTTGGCGATCGACTGGTAAATCGCGATTGACGTATTGAGCACCCCTGGCCTATACAGTATAAAACTTGCAACGTTTTTTTCATTTTTATAGTAATCTCCATAGGCTATAGGTTGGCTATAAAAACACCATACTTATAGGCTAATTTAAGTTGGCCTAACACAATCTCATTAATTTTCCTAGCAGTAATAATTACATTTTTGATCAAATATAGAAGTCCATTATCTCAGTGATGTGTTTACGATATTTTAAAAAATCCCAATGCCATTTAAACAACAATCTAAATACAGACTCGCTTTTTTTTTTTTTTTTTCCTTCTAATAAATTAACAACAAAAACGTAAACCCCGCCTATCCCTCTTTATGCACGGTTGTCTTGGAGACGCGTCACCGAGCAACGCAGCGTTGAAACGTGATTGTGGAAATGCTCCGAAACAAGTGCGTATTTTCACATACCTTCGCTTTTTTAAACTTTTGAAAACAAGGTGGAACAAACAACGGTCTAAGTTTTCTGCAGCTGCCGAGTTTTTGAGCTCGTAGAACTGCAAACAACGTTATTTTACACAAATCTTGCCCCTCGTTTATTTCTTCGATGCTTCGCTCTCAGCCTGCGCAAAGTGAGGTTTGTTGAGATTAGAGCATGCCAGATGATAAAAACTCTAAACCACCGCCTCAACCACAAAAGAAGAAAAAGAAGAAAAATAATAAAAAGAAGTCAAAATCAGATTCCAGTACTTCACCAAAAGATGCAGGTAACAATTTTGTAAAAAAAAAAAAAAAAAAAAAAAAAAAAAAAAGGCTTGTCTGTGATTAACTCTTGGATCGTTGTTAAGTGAAAAGTTGACAAATCTATATTAATTCAACAGCATAGCAAATTTAACCTCTAGTGCTACTGCTGCTACTGTATTGTTTGTGACATGCATTGTATTGCTTTTTCTTTTCTTTTTTTTCAATTTCTCTGCTTGCATCAACACCTAGGTAGATATTAAAAAATCCTTTTGACTTCATCCAACGTATAGGCTTACTCAGAAACAAAGACTGTTCTGATAAACACATAAAAGGGTTACATATTCATGGTAAAATGCAAAAATTAAAGAATCCAGCAGTTGGCGTTAATTCTTTTAGTTAATTGTTTTTACTGGTCACAACAATTACCTAAAGAGTCCAAGGCTATTTGTAACCCAAACCAAGCTTTTGTTTGGGGCTTTGTCCACTTGTTTACATTCATTCTGTTTCCACAGACAAACCCCTGCCTGCCCCTGCATCCTCTGTCCCACCAGTGTTATCCACTATTGGCCCACCTAGACCCCCTCTGCCCAAACTGAAATCTACCCCCAAAAAAGACTCAGAGAGGGGAAGCCGAAAGAGCAAGAAGTCCCCCATGTCCCTGTTCAGTCTAGTGTGTAAGTCTGGGGGATCTCCAGTTCAGAGCTTCCTGTCCCAGCTAAGTGTCCCAGCACGCGAAAGCGTCCGCTGGGAGGGCAAGGTGGACGACCCCCTGATGGAGGAGCAGCGCCTGGAGGTGTACCGGGCCAACCGAAGACAGCGTTACCTCACACACAGAGAGATGGAGCAGAGGGAAACCAAGCATGAGAAATAAACTATCTACAAAATGCAATCAGAACTATTTCAGTATTCAAAACGCTCCTCATAGGACCATAATAATAACAGAATAACATGTTGACATATTTGTTTAAACTTATTATCTATAACGAAAATGCGTGTACTTGTTCCAGAAAAGTTACATGGTGCACCTTAAAATGTTGTGCAAAAGAATGGATGTGGCAAAAAAGATAATGAATAATACACTGATTTATGATTAAGTACTAAGAAATGTGTTATATAAGCCAAAAGCATCATTATTTTAAAAAATGAAGCAAAACTCCTGACCATTCTCCATCCATCCATCCATTTTCTTCCGCTTATCCGGGGCCGGATCGCGGGGGCAGCAGTCTAAGCAGGGACTCCCAGACTTCCTTCACACCAGACACATCCTCCAGCTCCTCCGGGGGAACCCAGAGGCGTTCCCAGGCCAGCTGAGAGACATAGTCCCTCCAGCGTGTCCTGGGTCTTCCCTGGGGCCTCCTCCCGGTGGGACATGCCCGGAACACCTCCCGAGGGAGGCGTCCAGGAGGCATCCGGAGCAGATGCCCGAGCCACCTCAACTGGCTCCTCTCGATGTGGAGGAGCAGCGGCTCTACTCCGAGCTCCTCCAGTGTGACTGAGCTCCTCACCCTATCTCTAAGGGAGTGCCCACCCACCCTGCAAAGGAAACTCATTTCGACTGCTTGTATCTGTGATCTTGTCCTTTCGGTCATTACCCAGAGGTCATGACCATAGGTGAGAGTAGGAATGAAGACTGACCGGTAAATCGAGAGCTTCGCCTTTCGACTCAGCTCCCTCTTCACCACAACTGTCCGATACAGCGACCGCATCACTGCAGACACTGCACCGATCCGCCTGTCAATCTCATGTTCTGTCCTTCCCTCACTCGTGAACAAGACCCTGAGATACTTGAACTCCTCCACTTGAGGCAAAGACTCCCCACCCACCCGGAGAGGGCAAGCCACCTTTTTCCGGTCGAGAACCATGGCCTCGGACTTGGAAGAGCTGATCCTCATCCCAGCAGCTTCACACTTGGCTGCAAACTGCCCCAGTGTACTTACCTCCTGACCATTCTAAAAAAAAAAAAAAAAAACTTACCAGAATTAACTGGACTAAATCAGATTTAAGACAGGGCTTTACCAACCAATACTACATGTAGGATTAATGCTAACTAAATCATTATTTAAGCTTTTCATTACTCAATTACTTACTTTATTACTCAAGTTTAATAGAATGCATAGTATCATTCTGAGAATATGTAGTATTTTTTTGTGATTCATTTCTTACTCCATATTATGAAGCGATATACAAAATGATTTCTGGTGAAGGGCTCGACCTCATGCATTTCTTCTGTGACCTCCTGCTCAGAGGACTTGTTAAAATCTTAATAGAGGATTTGCGCTCTTCATGTTGAGCTTGTAAATTATGTAGCACTTCCAGAAAGATACAGAGTTGGTGGTTGAGGGCTGAAACCGGAGCTAGGTAATACCACTGACCCTCAGGCAGCAGGTCGAGAGGAACAGAGGAGAAAGATGGATCGAGTGGAGAAGTCAGCTGGTGTCACCGTCCCAATGAGAACCTGAAGATTTCTTGCTGAAGGATGCTTTTGTTTTAGTTACCTTTACAAGGCAATAAACATAGATTTTTTAACTATATGAAAGCAATCTTTTTACACACATCCCCCTTCTCATATCTGATATATTTAATTTAACTGTATTCCAATACTACATGTAAGATTAGTACTAACTAAATCATTATTTATAATAATAATAATTTATATATATATATATATATATATATATATATATATATATATATATATATATATATATATATATATATATATATATATATATGTACTCATTATATTTAATTCAACTGTATTCCAAACACACGGTACAAACACAGCAACAAAACTGTGTTGTGATAGACTATAATGTGTACAAAGAAATTTCAAGGTTTTGTAAAATAATGTCTATTCTGTATACTGTTAAAATTTCTTATGTTAATGTATTTCTATTGTCATTTCTCTGTATCAATAAACATATATTCTCAAGACATTTTCTCAAGACTGACAGGAGATAAATAGATTTTGCTCAAATAAACAATACACACTGTTGCTACTGCTGTTGTCCTGAGGATGGCAGTGGACAGAAACAATGAGACTTTGTACACGTACAACTCCAAAAAAACACACATTTAACAGGTCAAAAAATAATTCATTGTGTTTCTTCAATAACAGACTTTTATCATCATTAACATCAGCTGGCCTTGCCCTACAGACTTCATATATAATATATGGTATAAAAGACACAGGACAAACAGCAGTTCTTTTGTGCTCCTTTTGTGACTCTGTCTTTGTGAGCTGTTTGGGATCCTCCATTGTTCATATTGTGTGTGTTTGTAATTGTTGCTTATTTCAGCAGCTGCACTCAGGACATCAGACACAGCAGCCACTGACAATAAGGCCACATTATTATTGGTCCTGTAACAGACAATTTCCAGTTCTCTTACTTTTATGTCATGTTTTCTTTTCCAAGAGTAATGTTTATTATTATTTATTGACCACAATATAAAACAACATTCTTAAAATAAGCTCACTGATCATGTAATCACTGTCTACATTTCAGCTCTGAAATTGAAGCCTCCAGTCTATATGCAGTTGTTTGAAAATGAAAAAGAGAAACATAATGTTTGTTATTCACATGCTCAATATATTCTCCTTTAAAACCAGTTAATAATTAAACATGAATCAAAATGAACATGGCATTTGTCCAGATGTGGTGTAAAACTACACAAGTCACTAACATGAAGTCTGCTAGAGTCTATAAAAGTGATACAGCAGATAAAAGTGTATCTATGAGGTATCTGTTGTTCAGGACTGTCAGCTCCACAAAACGTCAGTCTCTGTTTCTTTAAATGGACAGCACACTCTGTCCGAGAATTGACACAAATATGAATTAACAACTTTAAAATGTTCTGAATGGCTTCATGGCAGCTTTAACCAGCTTAGGTCATCTGATCTGTAAAAAACACATGGTTACCTTAGATACACCTGAAATCTTTAGCTGGGTCGAACTCATTCAACATACTGTGCCTCCATTTTGGTGATGACTTGTCCTGACAGGAACCTCTCGGCCACAGCAGACACAGCAGGGTCAAAGTTCAGGCTGACTGCTGCAATCACCTTTTCGTCCCTTCAAATACAGAACATTAGGAAAATAACCAAGTTCAGATGTACACCAAATAGATTATAGTTAGATCAAACCACTGCTTACTTTATGTACAGTCCCAAAAACTTCCTGTCTTCAACCTTTCCTTTTATGATGATCTCAGTGTAGCCCTCCCCAAAGCCTGCAGTCAGGAGACATACAATTATTGTGAACTATGTCCAGTAACTTTGTTATTACTCACTGTATTGACTGTATTGATACGAACATATGGAATGTTTCAACATTTTGTATAATTAAAATAATATCTATGGCGCAAAAAAGATGCTTAAAAATATTAATTCAACCTCCCATGAATCCAGGATCTGATTCAATATTTGTGTGCAATGGAAACTACACATGAAATAGTACTTGGCTTTAGAAGAAAGGGCTCACCTGCATATCGCATGGTTCTACCCAATAGGACGGTCCAATAATAAGGGACTGAGTTCAGCTTAGTATGTCTCCCCAACATGTTTAGAGCAACTATCTTCCCTGACAAAATGAAACTACTGTCAGTACATTAGAAATACACATGATAATATTTACAAAGAACATAATATAGTAGTGAATGAAGCTATGTATGTTACCATGAGCCTGGGCCATCTGCCAGTGCCCAATGTTGACCTGCTGGTCTTTGGCCATGGTTAAGGGAAAGGTGCACACGTCACCTCCACAAAACACATCAGGTACATTGGTTTTCATGAACTGCACAAAAAACACAAATTACTATACATAGAGAATGGGAATATTTTTGCTGGCTTTTACAAAAACATACAGCGTACCTTGTCAACTACTACAAATTTCTTGTGGTCCATTTGTATTTTAGTTCCCCAAAGTAATTCTGAGTTTGGGTTGACACCTAAAAGAGAAGTTCAGTAAGGTATAACATGGTAATAGACAACAACAAAAAAAAACAAAAAAATCCTCCTACTCACCAATACCAACAATCAAAACATCAGCAGGAATCACAGTCCCACTTTTTAACACAACATCCTTCAGCTAAAAACAAAGCCATGTAAATCTTTTTAATTTTTTTTTTTTAAACAATCAAATATAAATGTCTAATGCACCGCTATAAACTATAATTGTACCTTCCCGTTTGCCCCCCGGATCTCTGCCACAAATTCGTTCATATGAAACTTCACACCTTTGTCTGCCAACATCTGCAGAGAAACACAACTTAAACTCTGTGTAATGCTTCATTTAGGCTCAGTAGATTCACACACAGATTCTGACCGTGAGAGTGATTTTCCCAATCTCTTTCCCCAGAGTGTTCTGGTAGGGCATGTCACTGCTGCCAATCACTGTGATATCTGAGGCTTTGTTCAACATGTACGATGCCACCTCCATCCCTTAAAGTTAAACACAATTAGGCTATTTGCCACAAAAGTCATATTTCATATATACAGCACTAAAGACCCGTAGATAAAAGTAATACATTTAAAACTACAATAGTACACTCTTATCCCATTAGGCGGCATGGACCACACTCAGGACATCATTGAAAAAGAGATTCTTAATCTCATTTTATTTTAATTTATTTTTTTCCAATTTGGGCAACCTCTCAGGAGCAGTGAGCTAGTGTTCAGGGACCCATCTCCAGATCTTGAGCAAGGGTTAGATGGAGGATTAGCCCACAGAGCATTTTTTGGGGTCATGTTTTAAAAAGATGATACTTCTTAGAACATTGAGTTAGTTTGAACTAAATTGACAAAAGCTGTACCAACAAAAGAGGTTCCCACGAGGACGACTCTGCTGCCCTCACAGACTGCGTGGATCTGTCGTGCGTCTTCTGGAGTCTCCAACATCAGCACATTTTTTAGGTTCATCCCAGGGACATCCAGGATTTTAGCTCTAACAGGTTTAACATATAGTAAAATTGACACAGTCCAGTCCTCCTGATATTGTAAAAGTAAATAATCCAGAGCCAGCCAGTGTTGTTGATGTACCTGCAGCCTGTGGAGATGAGCAGCTGGTCGTAGCTCTGGACAGCCCCATCATCAAATGTGACTGTTTTAGCATCAGTGTCCAGAGACTTTGCCTAAAACAAAAGGTAAACAGCACAGTAATCTCTTCTCATTCATTAAAGCTACTGGCCTCATCATCTCACTGTGGTCTGGTGTGGTTGGTTTGACCAAAACAGCATCATCCATATTGTATAAAGAAGAGGTTCAGAAGAAATTCACATTATAACAATAACACTAATGGCTATGAAGACATGACCAGCTTCTCAAAGCACTACACTACAATAAACCATCAGTGAGTCTCTGCCGGCCCCAATCCCATCCATGGTTGTACTCATACGAAGCTGGACTCACCTCTTTCTTGAGCCATACTTCAATGTCATGTTTCTGATAAAACTCCATTCCTCTCAACAAGATACTCTCACTTTGCACATTCATCACCTGAAAATAAATTAATATAAGCAATTATCCTATCTTTTTATAAACTCTAAAGTGCATATGAAAGGTAAGACTACTCATTTCACTAAAACATGGTTAATTAATTATTATATTTTGGATTGGACTAAAAGTTTAAATCTTAGCTTTGCCTCGTTTGACAAGTTTGGTTTCATTTTATATTTTTTCTTCCTGGTTGAACATGAACAGATGTCATGGAAGAGCCACTCAAATTTACATAGTAGTTACTGTTTAACAAGTAAACATTTATGACAACAAATCAGTTTTGTTAAATGTATGTTTAAATAGTCAGAAAACAATCTTCCTTGCTCGTAATTGTCGCTGCATTTGGGATGGAATTTTTGGTACTGGTGAAAGAGATTGAAGGATTCTCTTTTAGACCTTTAAAACTAGTTTCAGCCTTTATATTTGCAACTTTTCTTCTCAAACTGCCACTTGACTGATGTAGGACTAAGATAAATATTTACCACAGCTATTATCCCACTAAAGTAAGATTGCATTTGAAGTACAGACCTTGCTGAGTCGTGTTTTGTCATATGGAAGGAGGTAATCTCGCGACACCATAATAATTCGACCACCATAATTTTCTTGGCGAAGAGTTTCTGCACAGCTCAGAGATGTGGCCCCTGAATTTACACAGACAACATAATAAATGTAGAATTAATAACAAATGAAACGAGGTAGTTGAATTTCTGAATCTAGACTGTAAATGCTACAGTAACTAAATAAATGAACAAATGAGCAATCTTTCTCAGTCAAGGTAAAATTTGCCTTGTAGTTAAATGTAAAGCATTTTGTTCATGACAATTGAATAGTGTGTAGCAATACCTCCGCCTATGAGCAGAACTGTGTGTGGGTTTCCTGGTTCAGCTCCTCCCATGTGCTTTATCCTCTTCCCCTGTCTGATGGTCTGGGTCACACATAAAGCACATTTTTAGATGTAGAATGTAAAATGAAATAATTCATTCAATATTTTGATAAGAAATGTATACCTTTTTGTTTATGGACACATACACTTTGCTGTTTTGAATCTTGACCTTAAAATGATACAATACAAAATAAGTAAAATAATATATATATATATATATATATATATATATATATATATATACACACACACACACACATACCATTCAAAAAATAATACTGGCACAAGTTAAGTTTTTGCCAGCCCAGTGATCTATCTATATTTATGTTATTTATACCTCAAGCCCCCACGTTCAGGAGGCTTGCACTTGGCCTGATCTACTGCAGTGAGGTGTATTGTACCTTGTGACAGGGCAAACTGTCAATACCAGGAAACTCCTCCACATCTCCAGTGTGAGTGTTGAAACAGGAGCCATGCCACGGACAGCGCACTTTAGTCCCAGAAATCACACCTGAACACAAACCATTTACATTTTATCTATCACACTCAACTGGTCAAAATTAGGAGTACTTAGGATCTATAACATACTTCATTGTTTCTCAATGAGCAGTACAGACAGGATACCTGAAGGCTACACAAGCACTTAACAGGAGGTACTTGGATGAAGAAGATGAAATTGAAGTTCTAGGTTTGGAAAACTAGAATTTGGGATTCACGACAATGTTGACTTAACCAACAGAAAGTTACAAATAATAATAATAATAATAATTATTATTATTATTATTATCAGTAACAATCACAGTAAGTAATGTCTTATTTTAGTATTATTACCTTTGCTGAGTGGAGCGCCGTAGTGGGTGCACTGGTTTTCCAGAGCAGAGTATCTTCCACCAGTCCTAGTCAGTAGCACCGTGTAGCCCCCTACCTCCACCTCCATCATCCTAAAGATACAAAATCAGGAAAAGTGGTTGTTCTATAGGACACACATAATTAGAAATAGCAACTGTCAATTCAATTAGTTTATTTTCCATTTTCTGTTATTCCTGTCATCGTGAAAGAGCAATGCATATCCTAGCAACTATACTCCTTCTACACTGTGAATCGATGAATGATTTGACCAAAGATTTCTAGCATAAATTGAGACAGCATTTTCATGAATCATAATCACCTATAATGACCATTTTGCATTTCTCAGTTAGCTTGTACACACAAATAAAAACACACACAATCTAAAATACAATTGACATTCATACAAAAATGACTTACTGTCCTTCTTTAAGGTCAGACTCCAGACACACAGCCTCTGTCACCTCATCCTGGTCCTCCTCTGGATCAGATTCTTGAAGCTGGCAGGCTGAACACACAGCACAAATGTGATACAAATAGTAATAATTGATTTATAGGACTTGGCAATAACACACAAAAATATATATTTTTTCATATTAATCAATCTCAATTTTCAATTTTATTTTCTCTTATTAAAAACAAATGGGTTTCAGTATTAAGTTTTTGAATATAAACAATAGTACCATTTAAAACAAGTCAAATTTCTTCCTCCAAAGTTTGAACTGTGTTCCAGATAACATGATTGTACTGACAGAAGATTGGACCTTAATAACCATTCGAAGTGACTGAAAATGTGATCAATTGCACAGTCCTATGGTTTTATCACAAAAAGTTATAGTAATATATACTAATACTTAAGTTACAAAATTAATGCTACAGCTAATACTGGGGCACATGCACCACTCAATAGCTTCTACTAGTTGGGTAGAAAAAAAATCCATTATTGAAAATTATATTCTCATATCTTCTTTCTCTATATTTTTGCCTGGCAGGTTACTCACGTGGCTTGGTCAAAGACATGTTCCTGGTTCAACGGCTGTTCCACAAATGAACAAATTCTCCTCTGACTCACAAAATGTCACACAGATAATATATTTTATGAAAGAAGACCGTCATCCATAATGAGTACTCCATCTCTGCACTTACTACAACAAAAAAGTCATGTTTAAAACATCTGCTGTAATAAAGAATCCTTTTAGATTTAGTTTTTGTGGCACATTTAGGTGGTTGCCTGTGCTCCTGTCCTGCTCAGTATTGTCCACAGAAAAGTGCTGGTCCTTTTGTGAGGGACAAACGGCACAGGGGGAAAAGGCTGACTGGGCATCCACTTCTGAATGGACCCAACAAAGACCAGGTTACAACTGCAACCAATTCATTTCAACTTGTCAACTTTAAACATGTTATGCAAAAGACTGACACACAAGAAGAATAAAGCTTCACTGGTAGTTTTTAAAGATAATAGTTGTAATATGCACTCAAGCAGTTTGGAAATGTCCATAAAATCACAACTGAAATAGTGAGGCCTTTAGTTGTCAGATATTGAGAACACATCATATCACTGATATTGAACTGATTTTATTCATATATTTAAAGTATGAATTATATTATAATATTTTAATTTGTTTACTTCATATCTAGAAATTTAGATAGGTCATGTTTGAATTATTATCAAGTAAAATTTTCAAAATTCTACATGTTAAGTGTAAAAGTTACAATCGCTATAGTTTGTGGATTACTTTATAAATTAAGACCATTTATTTACTGATTTCCAATACTTTTATTACCATTTAGAGTTCAAGCATTTATGCATGGGTATATAACTAGTGATATTATGTACAATCTGCACTTCATGAAAAATATTAAACCCTCTGCTCCTCTGTATTAAAACATTTCAGCTGTTGGCCTTCTTATGCTGCATAACACTCAGCTACGACAACAATACTTTGTATAATTTATTTTATATATACTTTCATAATTAGCATTTCTAATGAAAAGAAATCCTCCCTTCATTCTCTACATGATGAGTTTATTGTTCTTGAAAAGGCTAACCAGAGTGGGCCTTTTACAGTTGGTGTCATTGTGGAGCTGTTCTCTGATTTTGGGCAGTAAAACCCTCTCGGCCCTCGGCTCTGTCTTGTAGTATGGGCACATTCTGAGGTGCTCCGACAGCGGTGGGACGTCACGGTAACTCCAGGAGTCCACTGGAGTGAAGAAGGTGCTGAACTCCCAAATCTGAAAAACATCATTCTATTATTTACACAACAATCATAACATTTATGTAACAACATCCTCTGGTCTTTGCTATATTTTATTTATTTATTTATTTGTACATATAGAATGTGTGCAGGCAATGTACACATTATATATGTACACAAAATAAAACTTTTTTTTAAAAAAACAATACATTTGCACGTACAGTTACATGCATGATTTAAATGTCATGTCCAGACCAGGTACGACCAAAACATGGCCATTGCTTTAAATGTAGAGTAACTAGTTTTACTGAACATTTAAAGGCAAGAAGCCCTCTCTGTGTCTACCTTATGTGCCACTCTCCACTTTGCTGTCCCATTGGAGTATGTCTTCCTGTCCCAGTGTAGGGTAACCATGCCCTTGTCCTGCAGCTGAGAGGAGCACACCTGTCTCATGAGGCGAGACACCAGGGCGAGCTGAGACAGAGACAGACTGTCCAGGAAACTGGCTACGTGACACAGCACCTCGTAGGGCAGGGAGCTCAGAGCATCCTGTCCCCCTGCAGTGTGATGCCCTCTCCTCTGGAGGGCGCTCTGATGAGAATTGGAAACATCCTGAGTGCTGTTATTGTCCTGGGACAGGAGAGACAATGGGTGGAGGCTGAAGCAACCCAGTTCTACACTGGATGGAAACAGATAAATCATTATTGTTGTCACCATCAATAATAAAATATATATTTCTTGCCAATGTGCCAATTCAGTCTTACAAGAACTTATCACTCTCTTTTACAACTCATTAGGTCAAAGTGGGAAGTCTGAAAATTTTACCTGGCACCACAATGGTACAGTGTTAACATACTGTACAAATTATGCAGCTATTAATATGAACACAAATGTCTAAGATGCACTACATGAATATGTGCAATGTGCTACTGTAACCAGTAGAGGGTGCCAAAGATGATATGCATGCATCAAATCTATCATATTGCTTTATATTAAATATATGTGTTAATTGACTCTCACTTGTAGTTGATAGTGGCATCATAGGTTGTTGGGCGAAACCTCCTCTGACTGTAGGTACAGCCCAGATATGCCAAAGGACAGCGCTGCTCAAACCAACCATTTACACACATGTGGATGTCACTGTGGATGTTCCTGCAAAAATATCACTCACAGTCTGAGAGCAGAGGCAAGTAACTCGGCCTATGATAAAAACAAACACATGAACTTCTCCAGTAGGATAATGTAGCGTTAATGTAATGTTATGGGAACTGATTCAATAGAAAGTGAAAGTGAAAGAAAGTTTAAAAGCTAGTAAGATAAATACATACAACAATAAAGAGGCTATATAATATGTGAATTGGGGTGTACTGAAAAGCTTATTATTCATTATTAATTAGTTACTAGTAATAACTGAACCATTTACCACGAACACGTGTTCCTGGGGCACTTATGAATCGTTTGAAAGAGCCCAGGTTTAGAAAGACTGCTAATTAGTGCTTTTAAATTTACTTTTGAAATCTGTTCATATAACCCTGTTACAAGTGGCTAAACACGCCCAATCAAGTTTGATCGGCTTTCCCTTTGAGAAGCACAGAGCCAGTGCCGCGCGTATACGTCCTGCAAGAGTTGCCGGTGTCCTGTCGATTTGAGCTCCTAGCACTACTCCGCATGCGCGCCACCCCCAAAGCGCTGTAGAGTGGAGTAACAAGTAACATTTTAAAAGTGTATTGGTTTTATTGTATGTTTTGACCAATTAAGCAATGACATGTGCATGCTAGATTTTCAACAGAATACCTACGGTAAATGACTGAATAGTTTGGATTTAATATTTGATTTTATTGTTATTATTTTCATTACACCATATTTTATTTTGTTTCCATGGGTATAAAACATTGTAACTTTGTTTAGAAAGACGGTGCATAAATAAAATATAACTATATTCTAATTGGAAATTCACACTGTAGCCTGTGATATTTATTTATAAAGATTTCAGTGTTTCCAGTAATTTCTTTCTCTTATATAGTGGGCGCCTTAGTTGATAGAAGATATAGGCCTGTTGAAATGAGTGAATAATGGTGATTCTACAGTGGGAGCATTATTTGATGGCTAAATTGTCCTGTTGATATATGCTCACTTTAGTCGGAGCCCTGTTTGAGCATAATACGACTGTCGAAAAGAACTACCTACACATATTCATATAAATGAGTTTAAATTGTACATAACTAAGGTATAAGGTGTGATCACCGTGTGCAAACAGCATCAAACCTGCTGTCTCTAATCCAAAGAAATCTGTTGTAAAACTGGGGAGGGTAGCTTTATTGGATCTATACAACTTTACGCGGAAAAACGTAAAGTAGCATATTTCGACGGGGTAGCATGAATCGATGGGCGTCACTGTCGGTTTAGTCTGGGGTAGCTCATTTCAACTGGGCAGTCCATTTTGACAGAACACCGGTGTGGCCTCTCTCGCGTTGACGCGCGGCTGTGGTTTTTGAGGTACGGTAACGTGTGTGTCCAGGCCCATAGACTTGACACAAATAAGAATATAATGTCTCTCACTTGTAGTGCAGGCCGTACTCGCGGCGCTGGAAGCTCTGTCCACAGAGGAAGGTGAAAGCGGAGCTGGCCTTGTGGTGGCGGCTGGTCACGCTTTCCACTTGCAGCTGCAGATGCAGCTCCGAAGCTTTGGTCTGGGACAGGTCCCAAAGATTCGCATCACTGGGGAACGGAGTAGACAGGAAGTGGTACGTCTGTGTGCCTTCGTCCGTGAGCAGAGCGTCTGTGCACAAACGCTCGGCGATCATGTGACCACGCTGTTCCCTCTCCAGAGAGCAAAGCAGCGAAGCCTGGGGACAGGGCACCGGACAGTTGAGACTGAGAGCATTTACGACCAGAGAAAACATCTATTTTACTTTTCTCAAATAAGGCTTTGATGAATTCAGTTGATAAGAAAATTGCCTTAACGCTATGTATTTGTTACAAACAAGTCAATAGTGTATTATTCAAACTCAACTTCAAGGGTCATATAGACCAACAGGAATATGATTCTAATGTATCTCTCATAAATTGTACAAACTCTTGGTCACATTACCCCACATCTAGGCTTCACTGCATTTTTGCAACATGAGATTTTCCTCACCTGTATCTCCTCCCACACAGGCATGTCCTGCAGCGCCACCTCGAGATCGCTGGTGTCTACTGCTTTATTCTCTCTTCTTTTGAACCAAGGGTTTCTGATTCGACTGGACCTGGCTTCAAAACTGGTTGGAATTTTGAACGTGCGCACTGTAATAATCTTCATAGGCTCTATTCGTCCGTAAGTGAATTGCTTCTTTTTCACCGTGGGACATGTAGCAGCTTGACCAGAAGCAGTAGTCTGTTTATTCACAGCTGCTGCTGCCCCTGAACACCCCTCATTGGACTCATCCTCTTCTGATACAGTACCCAAACTCTTCCCTTTTGCTGTCCCAGATGCTGCACCTGCCTCTCTGCACCCGCCCATCTCCATACTGAACATGCGCTCCCAGGCATTGTAGCTCTCCAAAAGCTCTGGCTTGACTCCTTCCTGGAAAGCCAGAGCCTCTCTCTCTGCTTGGGTTAGTTCTCGCTCTGGAGCAACCTCCAACAACTCCTCCAAAATATCCTCCTCTTCTTCTTCATCATCATAGTCTTTCTCATTGTAGACTCTCGAGTCATGTATAATATACTTGTCAAAAGATTGCCATGTTGTTGGCTTTAATGCTGCTTCTTTTAACAGTGCAGCCTTTTTGAGTTTTTCTTTCTGCCTTTTCTTCTCCTCCTCTTCATCTTCCTTCTCCACTCGTTCGGTCAGTTCTGGAAAGAGTTTTTTCATTTTTAAGGAGTGAAAAAGCCTATCCTGATCCTTCAGAGCCATCGCTAAATCCAAACATTCTCCTTTGGCCCCTTCACTCATTAGATTTTCATGTAGCTCTGTAGTTTGGTGTGAATGAGCATCTTGAGCAGGCCATCTGTTCCACTCCATGGAGCAGGAGACCACACTGGCAGGGCAGTACTGGAGGTGCTGTGCCCTGGATGAACGAGACATTTGGAGGGGGCAACCGAACTCAGCATTGATACATGGGACACGGACATTGGGACAGAGCAGTAGGTGGTCCTCCTCTTTACACAGGTGGAAGAGCGCCCCACACAGGAGGCGACAGGTACTGAGCGGACAGCAGACAGAGGGCTCGACCCGGGCTCTGCAGCGGCGCATGTAGCAGGAGTCGCAGTGGGTGTGACCTCCTTTGTGACGCTCACGGGATGAGCGGGAGCGTGAACTCTGAGGTGAGATATGCAATTTATTGACAAAAAATACACTTGTGCCATGGGTGAATTTACTCAATTACCAACTACAAACAGCAATAGTTGTAAATTAGTTGCATTTTTAAATCACAGTGTGATGCCTGGATTGGAGCTGCAGGCAAAAAAAAAAAAAAAAAAAAAAAAAAGTAGCTAATGTAGCTAAAGATTTGGGGATAGACATATTGGAACAATTGGATAAACAACTGGAAATTCACACAAACAATTTTGTCTCTACCTGTGTTAGAGCACTTAATACTTTACATTTCTACAGGTCACATTGTATAACTTAGTGGTCATTTTGAATACGTCATCGTGGCAACACATAACACATTTCTATTGGCTAAAAATGATATAACACATAAGGCTATATTTATTGCACCTTCTGGAACTTGTGGAAACATTAATTTGCTGTGTCCCGTGTAGTATATAGAGTGGTAAAGATACATGCAAACACACTGTAGTTGATATAAATGGCAAAACATTCTGCAACGCACAAGATGAAATGTATCAAGTTTATGCATGCCTTAAACAAAATATACTATTGTATAATCAAGTATCCTACCATTTTAAGCTCATCCACTGGTCCCACTTGAGTACTAAGCTGTAGATCTGCAGTAGAAAAAACAACTATTATAAAAGAGAGCAGAGATTTCAGAGTTCATTCCTAATCATTTATGCGTCTAAAGGACATAGACTCTCCTTGTGCCCTGTCATGTATTTTGGGGAGTGTGTGACTGCACTTAAAATGTGTGTTAGTTAAAAATAGTACTGACCATGAAATGTTACACAGGTGCTCTCCAACATGGCTAGGGTTACAGGCCCAGGACACTTACATCAGAGGAACTCAATGATTCAGGTCATTTTGTTTAGGTGACAAGACATAGATAAGCCCTTTTTGTACTTTCACTTTTTTGGAAACTATTTATGTTTCTTTTTGGGGGGTTTTGTTTGTGGCTTTTTGCTATCTAAACTGTTTTTATTCACATATGAAGAAGTCTTTCGTCTTGGAGAGTCTTGGCTAATTTTAACATTCCCTTTTAGAGCTCCAGGGATTGAATACATGCTCTTGGGTAAGAACTGGCATTACAACTTTATTTTGTAATATAATTATTAGGAGCGTTGTGTGCGAGTTGTATTCATTTCAATGCAAAAGGCATATACCAGTGAGTGGTCATGTTAAAGGCCTTTCGGCTGTTTATCTCTATGAACAGACTGCAAAGGAAATATGGGTCAGTGGAGCTCATGCTTAGAATGTTGAAATTGCAAGTAGAAAAAACTAGTTTTTGTACTTCATTGTCAATATAGCTACAGATCAGTCATGTCAATTGAGTTGTTTCAGATTAGCTGTTGTATGCTCTAAGCACAACACTACACACTATTGTCCTCCAGAAGGATAGGTGTTAAATGCATTAAATATTTGACCATTTTGTTGACTGTGTATATTTTCAATTTTGCAGCAGTTACTGAAGTCTATCACCTTCAGCTATGGTGAGTAGCACATTTTACACTCTTTTCATTCATCATCTTTACAGCCACTGGATGCTGCATTGTATTATATACTTCAAAGATACATAAATCTGTTCATCATACCAGGCTGATTACAAAAATCAATAATCACGACTATATGGGTCATAGTTGGATCAGAATACAAGACTTACTGTAATTTTTGTAATGTGGTCCACATTTAAACAGGTCTCTAATGGCTTTTTTCGATGAACAGGTGTCCTGCTGCCCATGAATTTTGTTTGTATCAATCAAAGCAAGAATTATAATCAATTAAAAATTCAGTTACTTGAATAGCCCTAAATCAAACCTTCTTGAATTTGTTCCTCAGAGTTCACGTTCCCGCTCATCCCGTGAGCGTCACAAAGGAGGTCACACCCACTGCGACTCCTGCTACACGCGCCGCTGCAGAGCCCGGGTCGAGCCCTCTGTCTGCTGTCCGCTCAGTACCTGTCGCCTCCTGTGTGGGGCGCTCTTCCACCTGTGTAAAGAGGAGGACCACCTACTGCTCTGTCCCAATGTCCGTGTCCCATGTATCAATGCTGAGTTTGGCTGCCCCCTCCAAATGCCCCGTTCGTCCAGGGCAGAGCACCTCCAGTACTGCCCTGCCAGTGTGGTCTCCTGCTCCATGGAGTGGCTTAGGTGGCCTGTAGATGAAACAAACCCAAACAGTTTTTTGGTTTTACAAGAAAATCTGCTGAAAGAGAGATGTGAGCAGCATGAAGAGGCACTGGATATCAGTTTGGCGTTGGTGGATCAGGCAGACTTATATTCACGACTTAAAATGAAGCCACTGTTCCCAGAACTAATGGAGGAGGAGGGAGGAGGAGAAGAAAGAGGAGGAGGAGAAGAAAGAGGAGAGCGCAGTAGGAGGGACTCTGTATGGGGAGGCTGAGGCAGAGCAACGTAAGGCTACTATGTGAAATTTAAGAACTAAACTCTAACCTGTTCTAATAACTGTTTCTTTATTATTCTATTTTTTGTATGTTATAGGACTCAGTGACAGTAAGAGCCAGTTAGAGCTGGATTCAAATAACTTGAGTCATTATTCTCATCTACAGCTCTTTTGATGTTCTGGCAAAAATGACTTTATATAACACATTTGTTATTGATACATTTGCCTTAATTGTGTTGTAAGTGTATAAATGACCACAGCAGGGGTCAAAGTGTAATCTTTCTTTCCATTAATACGTGATTTATCTCTCTTCACCTCCCACATCAGCATCTTTGCCTGCCCCTGTGAGTGAGCCTGCCCTAGAGGAACCAGTGAAAATGTCTCGCAGCCAGATGTTAGGCCTCATCAAAGAGAAGAGCAGCATTATGGACATGATGTTTGGGATGGAGCGAGGAGCATGCACCGTGGCTGAGTCAAAACAAGATGAGCCAGCACAGAAAGACAAAACAAGAGAGAAGGAAGAGGATAAAACTCAAATTTCAAGGGCAAAAAGTGAGGATCCAGAGAATCATGGAGCTGCTGCTGAGGCTCCTGAAGTGGACACTAGTAAAACAGGACATGCCCCATGGCAGCAGGGGGTGCTAGAGAGAATTGGGAAGGAGCTGACCCCTCAGGAGTTTAACATGTACATAGTGCACCATGGACGCATGCTGATGGCGTTCGGACAAATCGAGGCCTGTACTCCGAGAGAGAGAGACTTTGTTTATGGCAGTTTGGAACCTATTCCAGTCCAGACAGTTCGCACTTTCAAGGTATGAAATGTTAAGGTTTTAGGTTTGACTCAGGTAAGATAAGTCAATTACACTATACTGTCAATTTAGCAGTAACAGTAGTAGATTGAAAATAAGGTATTTGATTGATTTGGTTATTAACAGTGCTTTTTTTTTTCAAACTCTTAACATTTTCAACTCTTTCCCTTCCCACTCAGGTCCCAGACAGTTATCACTACAGATATAGAGCTCATTTATACGACACTGCGGCTCGAGTTCAGACTGAGACTCGGGAGACGGACACCTCAGACCTGTGCTCCTCTGAGGACCAGTGGTTCAGCGATGAGGCCAAACTCACACTACTGGGATATGCTGAGAGGGAGGTCATGGGCCACAAGGTATAGGATAAATAAATGTGCTGCAAACTGTACATAGACCAATACATATATGTGTTCAATCATCTTCCATTACTAGTTTTTCTAAAATGTAAGTAACATATAGCTAGAAAAATAAGCATTAGATGAGGTGTTGCATATCATGATCGCATTATCCCAATAAATTAAGTAAAAATCAGAGAATTATAAAAATCTGACATGCACTTGTCAATTTATTGTCAAATGATTGGACTGTTAATTAAAAAATTGCATTAATCATTGCCTTCATTACCAGGTATTAATTTTTTTTAATAGAATCAACATACTTTCAAGGTATATTCATTATACTTCATTAAACTATTCATTCTTACGCTTTACAAACTTAAAACTATGCATTGATGTATGGAACCTGTGACTTTTTTTTATCAGCAAAATACAAGCAGATCAATGGGCACTCTAAATGTGTTGATAACAAATAAATATCTTGACATTTGCAATGTTTTTGTCCTGTGATTCATTCTGTTCTAGATCTGTGAGATAAAGGCTTCAGATGGACTCTACGTTGACGAGGGCACACAGACTTTTTCTTTCCGCTCAGCTCCGTTCACCTCAAAAACCAAACTGTCTGATGTCATATCAGATACAGACCGGACAACCATACTTCACCTACAGCTTCAGGCCGAACCTGTGAACAGTCGAAACAACCGAGTGAGCGCCTTCGCCTTCGTCTGTGGACATGTTTTCCACCGCAGGGAATACCCCACCCATGTCAGGTATCTGTGAATATATCCTATTTCAGTCAGCAATTAATTAATTAATTATTTATTTATTTATTATTAATGTATTAATTATTATGAACATCTGTCTTCACTTATATTATTTTATTTATGATGGTATATTTACATAAAATCTAAATAACTTGCTTACTGCTTTTGATCAACATAATATAATACATAACACATTTATTTAAAATGCATGTTTTTGAGTGTCAATCTATAGTTTCTAATCTAAACCAATAATACCACACAAAGGCTACTGTTTTGGACTATGCTTTTAAAATTTCACAATTTGAAACTCACTCAAATATTCATGTCCCTTTTTATTACTTCCAGCACAAACCTAAATATAGCCGCAAGCGGCAATGATCGGCCCTTGCGCGTGCTTATGCCGCGCCCCGCAAACGCCGCACCTCACACTGACCGTAATAAGCTTAAACCTTACCCTAATCGTAATTCTAACCATAGCCCCAACCCTAGCCCTATAAATCTTAATTTAACTCTGCAATTTTCAAAATTTGGCAAAAGAAAATATCCAAGATGGCGGACTTCTGGTTTGTAAAGGGGCGTGGTCACAATATACATTTTTGTTCTTATTGCCATGATGCATCTGTGTACCAAATTTGGTTTGGCTACGCCGTTTGTGTCAGGACGTCCCATTGGCAAGGATACAATTTTAGCTTGTTGCCATGGCAACACAATGTAAATGGGGTGTGAGCATCATTGAGTTTTTTAATCGAGACCATGTCACAAATGTGGGTGCCAAATGTTGTATATCTGTGACAAATAAAACCTTATTTTTACATACACATTTTTTAGGGGGTGCTATTGCACCCATTTTTGTATTTACTTACATCAGTCTGTTTAAAATATGAGTGAAATTGGCCAAAGTTTGTGCAAATTATCAGGCGTCGAAGTTTGATGGTCAGCCCCAAAAACAAACCCGAAATTTGCACCGTTGCCACGGCAACACCGTTTGATCTTTTAAAAAGCTTTTAACAAATTTTAATGTCCCACTTGTCTAGATGATACAGAATGATTCTGGTGAGTCTGGGTCAAACGCCCTAGGACGAGTTCGTTCAAGTATGAGGACAGGAATTTGTGCCTTCGTCGCCAGGTCGCCCGATCAATCCAATATGGCCGACTTCCTGTTGGTTGCCTAGCAACCACGTAATATACTTTTTTGTTCCTATTCCCATGATGCATCTGTGTACCAAATTTGGTTTGGCTACGCCAAAGTTTTTGTTGGACGTCCTATTGGTGAGGTCAGATGTTTAGCCTGTCACCATGGCAACACGATGGGGAAATGGTATGGGGTCGTCCGAGACTTTTTTGATCGAGACCATGTCATGAATCTGTGTACCAAATTTGATATGTCTACGACAAAGTAAATTTTGGCACTATTGTGCAATTTCCCTAGGGGGGGGCGCTATTCTATGTGCCAGAATTTGTAGATTTTACCAATGGAGAGTTTATGTCATCGCTATGGCAACGCCATAAAAAATATGACATGGGTGTCATTGACTTTTGGATCAGGATGCCAAAATGGAATTTTGTGCTAAATTTCAGAAACTTTTGAACAACTATTTGGGAACAAATGATTTTCTCACATATTAAATTTTGTTTCAATCTATAGGGGGCGCTAATGCGCCAAATGAATAATTTTCACATTAATTAGCTTCAGGGCAGAGAGTTTAACAACTGTTTCAAATTTCATTGAAATCGGAGTTCGTTTGAGCAAATGGCAGCAATTTGTAAATCTCCAAAATTTGGATAACTTTTGATGTTCCACGTCTTGAGATAATGTGGACCAAATTTGAGCTCGTTCGGGTGAACGCCCTCGGAGGAGTTCGTAAAAGCTTAGCAAACTTTAAGACAATATTGCTGCCCCCTAGTGAAGCGCACTGTGTTGGTGTAATAATATTTTTTCCTTGTCTTGACATGATCGACTTCTGTGTCAAATTTTATGATTGTACATGCACATTTTTTTTGTGTCATTCGTATTCCCTAATGCATTTTTGAGTCGTTTGGGGGCGCTGACGAGCCATTTTATTTATTTTTTGGAAAATGAAAATAGCGAAAAGTTAGAGAAACGCGAGTTTTACCAGATGGCAAAATTTCAGGACTTTTTGTCATTGTTCAGTGGGTGAAAAATGGGTGAGATGGTTAGGAGAATAACCAACCGATACGAGAACAATGTTCCCCTTTTTTTTGGCCGACAAACTATACATTTTCGGAAACCTCAGGCGCATTGCTATGTGATGGCGAGGGTCCCTGGTCACTACGGGCAAGTCACATCGCACCATTCCATTTTTCAGCCACTTGGAGCATCGCTTTGCGATACTAATAGGCCCTTCGCCAGCCTCTGGCGCTCGGGCCTAACAAGGACATAAATTAGCTTTTACTGACAAATATTTTCCAGTGGCACATACAATAATGAAACTATCATCTCTGTTTTTCACTCAGTGGTTACAATTGGTAGTTTTTATATATGTATTGTTACAGTAGTGTTTGACAGGTTTTCTTTTTTCATAGAAATGTTCATTGTGATATCCACACTGGGCTCAGCGGTTGGTTCCAGCAGAGATGTCCTTTGTCTTATCTAGGATGCACTTTCAGCTGCATGAGGTTTCAGCCATCAACTCACAAAGCTAACGTCACCTACAAGTAAGAGTAACAACTAAATGTATTATATAATGCTTTTGTGTAATGTTATAGCTTTCAAGTATAAATAAATACATAGAAATTATCATAATCAATTTAGTTTATATTCATCAGATATAATTATGGTTTAACATTACAATTTTGTCTTCATTCCCTTATTAGCCATGAGCTGAAGACTTTTAACCTCCGCCCTGCTCCTGTCTGCCCTCTATGGAATGACTCTCAAACTGCAGGAGAGGACCCTCTGAGCTCCCTGCCATATGAGGTGCTGTGTCACGTGGCCAGTTTCCTGGACAGTCTGTCTCTATCTCAGCTCGCCCTGGTGTCTCGCCTCATGAGGCAAGTGTGCTCCTCTCAGCTGCAGGACAGGGGCATAATCACCCTACGCTGGGACAGGACCAGCAGTTCACGAGGAAAGAGCCAGTGGCGGGCAAAACCTGTAAGTATTACCAAAATGTGTCTATTATATAAGACTATTATAAATATGTATCTAATCTGTGTCCTGTAGGTTTGGGAGTTCAGTCACCTCTTTTCCAAAGTGGATTCTTGGCACTTTTCAGAAATGTCTCCCATCTCATCTCATCTAAAAATCTGTCCATTTTATGAGCAGCACGTTCACAGTGCCCGTGTCCCTCTGCCCAGTTTGAGCTCAAAACAGAAGAACAGCACACACAAACCAACTCTGGTTGATCACTTCACCAAAAACAAAAAATTATAAAAAAAAAAAAAAATCTGCATTTTGTTTTGAGATGGTGTTTTGAGACATTCTGTTTTGCTAGTTTTTGTCTTTAAAGTGCACTTTTCCTTGTATTTTCCTGCTGATGGCTCTAATAGTATTATGCAATATATTGTTGAATTAATAATGTAAAAAATACAGATATATGAAATGTATTTTATTTTTTTCTGATTTGCATTACACATTAGCTTTGATCTCAAAAGTGGGTCACTGAGAAGATTAAAGCATTAAAACAGCCCATTGAAAAAATGAAATGACAATAGGCCTATGCATATCAACAAAACAACAAATATAGCCACAAGCAGCAATAATCAGCCCACATAATAACTGAATATGATAGTCTTGTAATAAACCAGTGTTTCCTTTCCTGTTGTATTTTGCCTTTGGGTCTAGTGAGAATTGTGATGAGATCATTTTCCATTTTTTATCATTGGTTATTTGGTTGGTTATTTATTCATCACTAGGGCAAAACTCTAAGAAATATGGCACTGACACTTTGATCAAGCAAAATTTCAGACATTTTTCAAAAATCTAAACTTTTTTTTATCAGCATATGGGGTAAAGTTAAAACTAAATTTCACTGAGTGTATAGCACTCACTGTTGGTAAAGCAATAGGGGCTTGGGCTCTATAGGGGTTCGGCCCTAGATTGTTCATATGCTGTTCCTTTTAGGATGATATTGCAATATAGTGGTTATATCAAATTTCATGATTCAGAGCTGTGGTACCTGACTTCTCCATAGATCATATTGTAAAAGCAGCTCATAATGAAAAATCTGAACACTACGTCATCTTGCATATATTGGTAAAATATTTTAACAATCACAGATCTGAAATAAACAGTCTGATACGTCACTAAAATTGTTTTGAGCAATGCATTAGCATCAAACAGGAAGTGGACACTCCAGCAAAAAACAACATAGTGCACGTTTAAGGGGCAATCATTAGGCCAAAAAGGAACTGAACAATTTTTTTATAGTCAAAATTGGTATATTTAGATTTTCACGATAAAGGTAAATGCATTTGATGAGATACAGCATTGTTTCAGGGATGTAGGGGAGGTGGGGGGCTAGGGAATGAAAGTCGATTGTGAGGAAAATAAAATCGTTTAATGTGGCTGAGAGGGGGTCCTTAATTTTTTCTTAATTCCTCTTTATTTCATATTAACCCCTCCTACTTTTTCTGTGTTTATTTGCTTCGACTTATAACTTTGTCTTTTATTGTAAACAATAAGCAGTTGTGGGCCTACCTCTCACAACTGTCAACTTGCTCTGTGGGCGGGGCCAGTCCATTAGGGAATCTAACTCACCTTACTTCTCTCAGCCCCACAAGAGCCTGATAGGGATACAGGAAAATAAAAACAAAAAACAAATAAATACACTCACACACACACACACACACTCACACATACACATTTATTACATGTACATACACATATACACTTTAGGAGAGAGAAATAAATAGAAATTATAGCTGCAAGTGGCATCAAATGGCTCTTGCCTTAGGATGAGAATGCGGAATGAAGCTCTCAATGTACTAATTATGGGCTGTGGAATAACATGGGTGTTTTCAAGTATCGCCATGGCCACACACCCTGCAAAGTACAACACTGATCTCAGGACTTTTTTGATTGGGATGACATGAAGAGTCACTATTTACATTATTCCATGATAAATTCATGGCATTAATGGGAAATTTTGGGATCACTCCCATTAGAATAACATTGGTGCTTTCGCACATCACCATGTTTCCATTTATATTTTTTGACCCAAACTAATTTTGTGTAAAATTTCATACACTTTTGAAAAACTAAAATTTTGCCCTTCCGTATAAAATGTAGTTTTATTTTGTTGGGGGCGCTATTGTGCCAAATTACACTTTACAAATTAACAAATATGTTTAGGCAATTAGGCAAAATTTTACAAGTTTTACAAGTTTGTGCCAAATCTGACTTTGTATGTTAATGTAAGCAAATTCTGAAATTATAACATTTTATTTCCAGCTTAGTTGCACTTAAATTGTGATAGTTATCAAAGTAAATAACAAAATGTTTTGAGTTTTTCATTGGTTTCAGCCATGCACTCTTCGATGTGGAATTAATTTATAATTAAATAAGCACTGAATTTATATAGCACCTTTCAAAATACCCAAGGTGCTTTACAGTTCATTGTTCGTTCACTCCACACTTGGTGGCGGTAAACTACTATTGTAAACACAGCTGCCCTGGGGCAGACTGATGGAAGCTGCCAATCTGTGCCATCTGCCTCTCATCAACATGCATGCACACTCCACTTTCATATTAGGCAATGTGGGTGAAGTGTCTTGCCTAAGGACACAACGACAGTTTTTGCCACTGACGCCCCACTGTGGCACCTGATTTTCCCAGTGGTCTCCCATCCAAGCACTGACCAGGCCCGGCCTTCCTTAGCCTCTGAGGGCTGACGGGATCAGGCTTTGACAAGTCGGTATGGCCACTCGCAGGCTCTACGCCCTATTGTCTCATAAAAACACCACCACTGTCCCTTTAACCTAAAATCCAAATAATCAGCTGATAGCTTTCTGGAGCCCCGCCCCCGCGCTCTGTGGCACCGTAGAGCAGCTGTTGTGGGCGCTGCAGACACACGTACGACCAGAAGGTTACAAATAGGTGATTTGTACCGTCCGCTGCATACATTTTCTTGTGCGAAACAAAGCAGCAATATAATCTCTTTTGCATCCGAAGATACCGCATCGTTTACAGTCGTTTAGCACCGGGCTTTTGTTTTCCGCTGCATCAAGGACAGAGCCATCAGAGCGAAACGGAGATCCATGAGAGGCGCTGGAGGCAGGACGCCGCTTCAGTCTCAGGGTAGGCCACTGCCACTGCACTCAGAGCTAATGCAAGAGAAGGGGAGGATTAGACCGATATCATCAAGAAAATAACGACATGACTGTCTTGTTGCTTGAGATGAATGGTCTTATTACGCATCTATTAGTTCTCAACATGGACCTTGCAAAGCTCGCCCTGTGTCTTGTCCATTCTTGTCCAGCACTAAACTCTCTTGCCTCTGTATGTGCTCGTATTGATATTGCTGCAGGTTGTTGTGAGAGCGCAAAGCCATGGCCGCAGGTAGGCTGGAGCAGCAGGTGGCCAGTGTGGAGCGGGGCATCGCCTTCCTGAAGCAGGAGCATCGGGTCATGCTAACCGGGCTGCACGTGGAGATAACGAACCTGAAGAGACGCTGCCATGGTCAGTCTGTTTACTAGTTCTGATGCGGTAGGCATCCATTATGCTGTGCAAATGAGGTGCAGATGAGGGTTCTGTTGTCCCATAACTACGGTCTTATTATTTGCCCATCAAGGGGTCTCATGTGTACCTTCGTGCCCAAGGCCCCCAAATGTTGAATAATATTTTGTGGTATTCATATTATGCATTTATGGAATTATTATGTCTAATAATCCTCAAAATAATCATATTTAATATTTTATGTCACTTGTCTTTACTTTTGCAGAGTTGGGCTGTGAGCTGGACTCTAGATTTCCCGACAGAAACCCTGCAGGTATCTAAATATATCAGAGAAAAGAGGAAGTATACATTTAGCCTACAGACGGTTTTTCTGGTCATTGTCACAGATGAGATTGTCTTTCATTCAGATCAAATCTGGGATAAGGTTACACTGATACAAGAGATTGGAAGACAGAGCTACATATAGAAAGTAAATATAGAAATAACTCAAACTCTAAAACTCTCCTCATTAGCATATTCAGAGGCATTGTTTGAAAAATTACTGATTTTTTTTGGAGGAAACTGTGTTATGAAGTGCCATTGAGTTACACTATGGCCTATTGGCTAGTGCCAATATAGATCTACAAAACAAGATCTATATCTACAAGATCTTGTAAAACCTATCTGGAAATCACTACATGCTTGTAGGCAGATTCTGACTGTCTGAGTCTAACTTCTGAAAACAACAATGAAAAATATGAATGATGCATTCAGATTAAGATTTTTTTTTTTCTGACTCACCTCGTTTGCATCCTGGGGAGGTTTAAGATTTAAAAGTGCTAAAACAAATAGCCTGCTGCTACCTTTTGCAACAACAATACAATGCATTTAGGCAGTTTTCTATTGCCACAGTCCATGATATTAGTTTGAATTACTTTTCTTATATTATCACACATAGGTATCAAGATCCCAGTTTTTATTAAAACCTTTGTTGTTCCCAACTTCCAGATGAGGAAGCAGAATTGGAGGCGCGTTGTGAAGCAGTGGAGCGCCTCCTGGAGGACCAACACTGTATGACACTGGCGGCCCGCGGTGAGCTGCGCGCCGGACGGGCCCGAGTGTCCGCACTGGGACGAAGCCTCAGGGAAGAGGAGAGATGTTTTTTGGAGGAACTGAAACGCAGAAGCCATAAGATTACGCTGATGAACAGAGAGCTACAGCGACAAGATTCAGCTACATCTAGTCTCTGTCAGGAGCTCCACAATGCCAGGTTAAAACTATTTCAACAAAAACAGGGCGAAGAGTGTAGGGCTGAAGGGACAGAGGAAACAGCCAAAGACCAACAGGAAGTAGAACAAGAAGAGGATGATGATGATTATGAAGATGACAGCTCTGATTGGCTTTTATCCCCGCCTCCACCTGAGTCCCCTGGCCAATCAGAGCTTAGAGTCCAGCGCAGCAGACTGAGCATCAGAGAAGAGCGGGTCCGAGCCTGTGTCCCACGGGAGAGGGTCACATCTCCCCAAAGACCCCTCCCCATGCCTGACCCTGCTCTCTTCCTGGTCCCTCTAAGGTACCGGATGCTGCGACTGAACCGGCCTATCAGACAGAAGGAAAGTGATCAGCTGGATGATGAATGGGAGGATATAGATGAGGGAGGGATACACAGCAGAGTGGACATGGGTGCAGGGGAGGGAGAGACTGCCCTGTGAATGTTACTGATGGGTTAGAAAAGTGGTCTTCCATTGACAAAACCAGCACCAAATGCCCCCTTAAAAAGATATAGGAAATAATGGAAATGTGAGAGATGTAACTGTGGTTGTTTAGTGAGTTGTTGGGCTGTGTTTGAAATGGCATACAGAAAATATTTAGAAATCATTGAATTTAAACATTTAAGTAAAAAATATATTGCAATACATATGATCTGGGGTGGGCAATATGATAAGAAATGTATCTCAATTTTCTTAGAGCCTACAAACAATTTAGATATTTTACCCCAATAATGGTCTGTATACTTTGTAGCTTTATATTCACTTTCAAGAAAACGTACAGCTCCTTCAGAGGCAAAATTTTAAGAATGAATTCTTAAAATGAATTCCCTTGCCAGAGAGCAAGGGAAAGGGGGGTTGACAAAGAAACAGTTTACATTAACATACTATTCACAGGATGAAATAATCTATTAGTAAAACATTTACACAAGTCCTTAAAAATGTCTTTTACTTTACATATAAAAGCAGAGAGAGAGACTCCATTTTGACTGACCTTTGAGCCAAGTTCCTGTTGTTTGTGTATCAGGCCGAAAGATTCAAAATCATTGCAAGATTAAATCACAATTTGATTTTAAATGCTCACATTGCCCACCCCTACATATGGCTATACTTTTCAACTGGGCACTAATTTATTAACCAAACGTGTTTAGTTATTGTGCTTAAAATAACTAATAATTACTCATTTCAGTACAAGGAAGTTTTAACAATCTGTGAGAAAGTATCTCAAATTAGTTTAATTTGTTTTGTCTTGTTTAACCAGATAAGAACCCCTTTTAAATAACATTTGATGCAGTTTACTAAAATGAATTAAACTGATCAAATGGTTAGCATACATTTTCAAATGTACATTAACAAGTACAAGTCACATATTAAATCAATAAAACATGCATAGATAAAGTGCATAGTAGAAATAATATTACTCATGTAGTTTAATATGTTTACATAAATGGTTAGCTTAATTAAATAATTTTCATAGTATAAATCAGCTAAAAGAACTACTAACATGTGTACTAACCCGAATATAACTAACAATCCCAGGAACATATGTGTTGAAAAACACATTCATACGTATATATCTCATCTCAGATACTATTAAACAGTTATGCTTACTAAGTGGTATTATTTGTGTGGAAAACGGTGTGTGTAAGAAGGCTACTGTATGCCACTTCAAATAGACTATGTAAGAAATAATTAGTTTCACTGAGGTTGCAATTGATTCATTGTACTTGTCCAAATAACTGTCAACACAACTAACTGGGTGAAGATGCAGCTGAAGTTGTTTGTGGGAAGTACGGTCATGAATACTAAAAGGTCTCCTGATTGTTCTTGTGTTTCGAACAGGGCCTCACTGTTGGACTGAGTTCTTGGGACAAAGTTTCAGGAGTTGGACACAGCTTTGTTGTAGCTGCCAGTCCTAATGAGATGCCTCTGTTAAAGGCTGTGGCCCTCCTCTGCTTGTCACTGCACTACTGTGTCCAGGCTTCAAATCCACTGTAGATGGCTTAGTGACATTTTGTATGATTTGCACTTTATTAAATTCATGCAATGTGCCTCGTAATGGCAGATGGACAACTGTGTTTTTGTCTTAATTGTATTATTCTGTGTCAACAATATGAATATAGGACTAATTAACTAAATAAGTAGTGCCCTTGTACTTATAGGCTTAATATGATGCATTATTCAATAAGTATTGTAATTCAATCAGATAGTCGGTCTGTAAAATTATTATAATATGCCAAGTAGGCTATATCCATTCAGCACAGCTTTTAGCCTGTAGCATATAGCCTATTTGAGTCTACATAGTGGCAGTAGTGGCTGCTGACTACTGTCTGTCTGCCATTTAAGTTAATTTAGAGTTAGTTTTACATTTACAATGTAGATCTAAGCAAAAACTTAGTAGTGTAATCACCATAAAGGAAACTGACGCCAAACTTGTCTCCAAACGTCCCTTCTCTCCTGGAGACCGTGCTCAGAATCTTTAATGTCCGCCGCAGTGCTGCCATGGCAACCTGGAGGATGCTGTAAAGCTCTCGGTAAAAGTATGTAAAAGAGCAGACCAAATAATTGGGCAGACACTTTCAGGCCAATATTTAGTTTATACACTCATATAATACATTGTTGTTGTTTTTTGTAACATTCTAATTCAATTAAATATTTTGTCAAGTCTTGCTCGAATACAGGAAGTTGCATCACAAACAGAAGTAAGGTCTCCCCCTGCTGGACATGGAAAAGAAGTTACTACTGCTCTCTAGCCTATCTTCACCTGAAGGGCAGACACACGGGACTGAACAAGGACGGAGAGACTGCTGGTCAAGAGGGCAGCCCGCCTGGGGAAGCCCAGAGCAGCCAAAAGAACAACAGAAAGGCTTAGAGGAGACAGTTTAAAAAGAGCAACCCTACAAAGGTATGGAGGACCACTTCATTGCTTCAGTGCACATGTATGTAATGTGCCTACTGACTTTTACAAAGAGTGTTTTGGCTTAGATTTGTTTGTAATATTATGTACTATTGCATAATATATTTAACATGATTCAAACTTGTCAAACGTCTATTATTTGTATGATATCATTGTAATGCAATCTGCTGTTAATTTCTGCCTAGACAATATATTTTCTAAATTTCCACAACATGAAGTAAACATTTGGTGACTGTATCAGTTAAAATAACACAGTTACTCTGGCAATATGGCAACGTAATAGGCTTAGTAATGAGAAACTAGTTGTTACCATTCAGCACTAACATCAAACTGGACAAAGTAGTTGCATCAAGTTAGAAAGTGTTGTGAACTATCTGCGCCATCAGCCTCTCTGACCACCACCAGTCACTCACTCACGACATATTAGGCAAAGTGGGTGAAGTGTCTTGCCTAACTAAGGACACAAAATCCACTGTGGCACCTGGTATTCCCAGCTGTCACCCATCCAAGTACTCACCAGGTCCAACAATACTTTTGCTTCAGATGAGATTGGTCTATATTGCATTAACATGTGTTTTATGCATATTTTTATGTAGGCATCATGGGAAATGTCCAGTGCTGCCACTTTCTCTCCAACTATTTCAAATGTCCAGACGCTTTAGCACCATCTGCGGCTGAGAGGTCTCCTTTACTCTCCAGTGATGAAGAAACCAGGTCTAACTCCCCAAGTCTCCATGATGACACAGAGGATGACCTGTTGACCATGTCTACTGATCTGACCAACCCCACCCTCGAACCTGAGCATTTCCTGTTTCCTGATTTGATATTGAGTAGTAAATTAGGGGTAGATGCAGCTGTGGTGGAGCCAATGGTTTGTCTTTTGGTGTCTGAGGAAGAAGAGGGACAAGGAGCAGAACGAAGAGAGGATACTACATGTAGAAGAAGGCTGTACTCTGAGGTGGAAACTCAAACTGAAAATGAGACACAAATTTTAAAATCTGGACAAATTCACATGCACGTAGAAGTTGAGACACAAACTGAAAGATTATTGAAAAGTCCCAAGAAACAAGAGAAAGAAAAACTGACTGAAATTAAATTAGACATTTTCGGAAACTGTTTAAAAGAGCACACAGATATTACAAAACATTTTGAAGATGCAGCTGATAGTGTAAAAATAGATATACAGGCAAAATCAGACAAGCAAAATATGAATATTATAGATACTCAAGAGGAAATGGTTTCAAGTTGTAGGAATAAGGATTTTCCTACCAAATTAAGTAAAAACAGCATTGAGCATAATACACAGAAGATTCAAAACAATATGGTGCTAATAGTAGAGCAAAGTGAACTTTTTGTAGAAGAGAAGGACAACATAGTGGTAGAGAGTAATAGTGAAGTAAAGTGTGAAAAACTGGACTGTTATGATGAAGAGGTTTTGGATACAGTTGTGATTAATTCTGAATGTGTAGGAAATATTTTGGTTATGGAGGATACACAAGAGACATTAGCTTCTCATGATCAGAAAGAGGAGTACACATTTAGCAAAGTAGACACATCTACTGAAAACCGTATTCAAAAGGAGTATGAGGATAGTGATGTGCCATTTGTTATGGATTTGGACACTGCTCTTCATGCTGAAAATCTGAGTCTGTCTGGAACAAAGCAAATGACCCTCTTTCTGGTTGATAAGTTGTTTCTAGAAACACCTCAGTTTAAAGGTAAATATGTCATTTCATTTTTCATTGTAAATGTGTAAATAAACAATTGTTTGAATCTTGTTCAACAGCACCGCCTTGTCAAACTGAAGAGGAGTGGTCTGAAGAAATGATTGAACAAAAAATAGAAGAAATAGTGGCTCAACAGGAGATGAACTTTACTGTAAAAATTCAACCTCCGGGAGCAGACATCTTTCGAAATACAGGTGCTTCATTGCAAAAGCACAACAGCAATAGATTGTGAATAAAAAAGGTGGACCTATTTGACAAATGTTGGGATCCAGAATACACACTCCTTCAATAATTCAATATCTCATTAATGAATCTCACCGTTTTATAATAGACTTGGATTAGCCAGTCAGGGACACACATAGTCCATATTGGAAAAAATAAAGGAAAAAATATCACAAGGGCTGTTAATATGAGGAGAGATAAATATGATTTTATTTGTAAATTGTAATTGACCAATGAGCTTCAGGTGCATCACTGAAAAAACAAACAAATCTGATTGCACGATTACTTGGCCCTTATAAATCTGTTTAAAAATACAGAGATATAATTTTGAATTTGCCAGGCATGTTAACCAATGCAATTCAGAATAAACTGTAGAATACAATTTTAACTTTAAACCTTGGATCTAAATTTGTTTGCAATTGCAACTTTCTGAAAAGTGTGATAGGTGTAAGCAGTAGTCTCCTATTTGGTTTTAATCTGATTTTTCTTGCTTTGATCTTGATCTCTATATTTAATATGTCGTATCATATGCCACGTAATCATTATCCAAATTTTTTTTCAATTTGCAGGTCTCTGGACAAATGCTGGTTGCTGAGCTTCACCAAGTTTTGATGGACCATGAGCTCACCTGCCATCGCACATGCTTCTCCCTGCAACTGGGGAGTGCCGTTCTGGACAGCCTGTCAGAGCTACAGTCCATACAGGGTCTGCAAGAGGGAGAAGTCATCAAAGTAGTGGAAGGTAGTGAAATTTGTTTATTTGATTTTGTTGTAGTATGCTAGTTTTTTTTTTTTACACCACACACAACAGCACCCTATGCAGTTCGAGATGCTCGTCTTCATCTCAGACATGTCAAAAATCTCCTGAGAAGTTTGGATCATACAGAAGCATACAATGGACAAAAAGGATGTTCTATTTCTTTTGTAAATTTGATCACCCAAATGGACAAAGGTAAATCCAACAACAAATATTATCATTATAATTACTCTTATTCATTATTCACCCATAGTATTCCTCACAGATGGTGAAAGCAGGGACCAAGAGAGGTTTTGTATGCCTCCTGAATATGTCCTCCCTGGATGCAAAGACAGACCACTAGCTCCTCTTCTACCACACAGAGATGATTTGAAGGTAGAAGATTTCATACTTTTTGACACAAAGACTGTATAACAGCATTTGTAAATGACAAGAAAAATATCGATAACAACAATGTTTTGTTGTGATCTAACCCTCAGTGAAAATACTACAAGCAATTCAGTCATGAGTTCCACCTTGTTCTTATAAATTAAACAAACTATGCCAATAATAAAGCCATATTCAATTTCAACTTCAAATTCAACTTCATTCCTCAATCAACATAGCAACTTAAAAAATGTAGTGCCATGTAGTGTGGCTGTATTTTAAACATTTCCCAAATATTCAGTTAACAGTTCAATAGTTTTTGGACTTTGTGTTTGAAAGCCACTGCAGTGTCTTCAAGTGTTGACTTTGAGTAGCTGGAACCCTCCTCCAGGAAACAGGAAGATGCATGGAGACCTGCTGTATTTAAATGTTCTGACTATTGAAAACAGAGAATTCAATATAACTGCATCAACCCGGGGTTTTTACATCAATCAGTATGTGTTTAATTACATTATATAGTTACATATTTAGTTACATTGCATATTTCCATAATTTATCAGTTGCTATTTTTGCAGATCTACTGCCTTCAATTTCAATCCCAAACCTGCATCCCCCACGATCCTGTGCCATTCTCTGGTGGAGCTGTTGAGCCAGATCAGTCCTGCATTCAAGAAAAACTTTACAGCTTTGCAGAAGAAGAGGTGAGAAATTATTTATTAAAACAGGTTGTAAGTTTCTTCCCGTTTTAAAAAGTGAAACTGACTGGCAGGACATGCTGATCAGCTGTCAAAAGGTAGACGTTCTGTCCTGGTTTATAGTTTATATCTCTGTAATTACTGAACCTATCCACATTAAACATAAATTAGTAGAGGAATAGTATTAAAATCATATAATAGGAAAGTGTTGGCAGGTACAAGTGACTTTGATGCAGTAAAATAATTGTCTTTTTTCTAATCCATGACTCTAAATTAATGACAGACAAAAGATTTTAAACTCCACTTTGTTTGGATGTTATAGGGTTCAACAGCACCCTTATGAGAGGATACCAACACTGTTTCAAACATATGTCTGGATCGCTCCTTTAGCAGACCATTCACTGGATGGGATCAGAGCAGAGGAGACACACAGCAGCCACATGGGGCAGGATGACCTCACTGCTGGACAGGTTAAATAAATCATACCATCTTAAAGGTATAATGCACCCATCACTGTTAGTCTTACTGTTTTGTGTTGTGTAGAATCGAGACTGGAATGAGGAGCTGCAGGGATCCAGAGAGCTCTCAAAAAACACTTTACAAGACCGAATCTTAAGAGAAAAGAGCATTTTCAAGGTAAAAATCTGTCAAGATTTTTACCTTGAAGAATACTGTTAAGAAATGTATAATATAATTTATATGTACTCACTTCATGGAATTAACTGGTCCTGTGTTTTACTTACTTTTCAAGCTCGATTTTAAAAAGGAAAAGGCTTGATACTTTTGATTCCACAATGATAATTAAAATACTCTTATAATGATGGTGTTTTTGATATTACCATGTGGTCTGGTACTAGTTTAATATAGATCAAGACCCAATTTTTGTCTTATTTATGTAATTTCGTCAGCGTCGGTATTTCGGTATCTAGTTTGATACTAGTTTTAGTGTAGAGGTATAATTTTTGGCAAACCCAAATTTACTGTATACAAAAATCCTCCCAGTTAGTGTAATATTAGAAAATGTTATAATGATGAAATTGCTGCTCTGGGTGTTGGGTCTATCTTCTTTATATTATTCTCATTTCCAGACCAGTGCTGACTTCACAGTTGCTGCAACACGAGGAGCTGAGTTTGTCGTTGATGGTAATGCTGTGCCTTTAAATCCAGGAGAAGCCCCTCATCTACAAATGTTCATCTGGAACAACATGTTTTTCAGCCTGGGTTTTGATGTGTCAGAGCACTTTCGTCCTCTAGGGGGCGACACTGCTGCACACGCTGCTGCTCTTAGAGACCTGAGAGGGACACAGGTAAGGGCTAAGGTCAAATAAGAGTGAAATGCATATTTGATTGATACTTTGCAGCTGATGTCATCAACATTCATTGGGGGTGTGATGCAAATGTAAGCACTGCTCTGTTGAAGCACTGTTACTCAAGTGAAACTTGACCTGATTTGAGCTTTGTTTTAAAATAATCTGACAAAAAAGAGCTGCCTTAATCAACACTGCAACAGGTGAGATGTTAAAGAAGTCCCTCTCTAATAACATTACAGTCACAATTTAGCTAACAGTTTTTCAGTTCGTCACTCACTTTTTTATTCAAAATCAAACACCTAAATAGGACCTTTAACGTGTGTATTGATCAAAGGCTGTTGAAAATGTGCTGCTTAAATCCATTTTGTATTTTTTTCTTGAGTTTTTAGACTATATTGAAACATTTTTGCAGTTTTTGTTAATGTGTGCACTGTGTCACTATGGTAACTGTTCAACATTCTGCCAGTAGGGATACATGTAGAACACCTCCAGCATTATGTCACTGCAAAGTATCAATAATCACTACATTTCATAAAGCCTATGGCATTATTATTAAAATCTCTACATGTTAAGGAAGAGGTAGTTTCTTTACTGTAGCAACACTGGGTCACACTTCACAATAAGTATCAACATGCATTTTTGTGTTCATTCTGGGTTCAAGATCAAATGATGTAGGTCAATTATTTGAACTCATTAAAAAAATCATTTCCTCAAGGCTTATACATCACTGGACATCAATGGTCTTCACACTCTTGGGACAGCTGTGATAGACTATCGTGGAGTTCGAGTTATTGCACAGTCCATAGTCCCAGGATTATTGGAGAAAACTCAGGAGCAACCTCTTGTCTATGGATCTAATGACTATGGGAAAACAGTCTATACACACCCAAGGTAACATGCACTCATATATTTTTTTATTTTTCACCTCTTTCACCTCACCTCTTATTTACTTCAGACAAATCCTTATCTTAGGTTTGTGGAGCTTTTGGATAAAACATGTCACTCTTTGAAGATCCAGCGTCACACTGTACTAGACCACTCCGGGACTCCAGTGGATCTCTGCTCTGGAGTCGAAACTAAAGGGATTTTTGGAAATGATGGCCGAGCCTACATCCTGGACCTTCTGAGAGCTTTCCCCCCTGATCTTAACTTTCAGCTAACAGAAACAGAGCATAAAGACAATGAAGAAATCCCGAAAGAGTGTGTTCAATATGGATACCCACGTCAATGTCGTCACAGACTGGCCAGCCACAGACCAGAGCTGGTAGAAGCGTTTGTCCAACACAGGTCAGTACAACACAGCTACAAAATCTGATTTGAACATTTCTTTTTCAGTTATGATTTAATGTCTGTCTCTTTGGCATCCTTACTTTACTGTTGAAATTCTTGTATCTTGAATTTTCTTCATTGTGGGACAACAAAATATTCTTTTATCTTGTGCCAGGTATGATATTTATGCCAAGGCAGTATCAAAAGGGCTTACAGAAACTGACAATTGTGGAAAGAAGCAGGAAGTGGTGAAGGAGTTGACGAACTGTCGTGAAAACAACAATTCAGCACTGAATGTTGAAGGTAAGTCATGGGAGTAACTTTGAATGAACCTGAGAAAAGATGGTGAGTATGAAGTGAATGAATATTTGTTATGCACTTCAATATGTATTATTAAATTAAATATTATTATTATTATGAAAAACAACATTCACCTGATATTGTTATTACATGGCCATTTATAACCCAACCTAATGGACACAGCTATACTCCAAACTGGTTCAAAGCAGGTTTTAAAAGCTTTGTAATTGTCAACCCCTCAATGAAAATCTATATAGTAAAATAGAATTGATGTAATAAAGACCAACAATAGTTATTTCACCGACCTCAAGCACTAGGGCTGAGAAATGAATTTCATGTTATTTGACTCTCCCATTTACATATTTAACTCTTTTGTTTGCAGATGTTCTTAAACAAGCTGTGATCCTGGAAGCGTGTAGGTCTGTGGGATCAGTGAGTGACTCCAGCTTTGACATTCGCTTCAACCCTGATGTTTGTTCTCCAGGTATGGGAAAAGACAACACATGCTGTCCTGGTTTGGTCCTTGTTTGAACCCTGTTTACTTCAGCTTGGTTTGTCCTGGTTTAGTTTTGGCCCACACTATTCCAGGTGTAGGTACAGATATAGTCCCAGATTAATCCCAGTTATGTGTGCCAAAAAATTAACTAAATTAATGTGTTTAAATATAGAGTGTATAATTTATTTGTTCCTGGCTCTTATAGATGTTACTTTCCCCGTGGAATGTGCAGAGGAGTTTCTGAGGCAAAGACAGTTATTGTGGCATGTAGCTGCTTTTCTGCTCTCTCACCAAATCCCTGCATTGGTGAGACATTAAATCCAAAAGCCTAATAATCTATTATATATGATAGTGCCGTTGTGGTTGGTCATAGTGTCATTGGTGTTAGTGATTTTCTTGCCTTTTCCCTGTGCCTTCCCCAGCTGACAGAATGCCTGGCCCATCCCACTGTGGTGATGGATGGGGCAACCTTGACCTCTGAGCTGCACCGGCATGGCATAAATGTGAGGTATTTGGGAACTGTCCTGGAGCAGCTTGACTCAATGGAGGAGTGTGTGAGACTCAGTCATGTAAAGGTACACAAAAGCAAATAGTATTTTTAGATAGACATATTTGGTTTGGAGCATTTAATAATAATAATAATAATAATAATAATAATAATAATAATAATAATACCTTACATTTGTATTGCACTTAAAACGCGGAAGGCAAGGCAAGTTTATTTGTATAGCACAATTTGTACACAAAGTCAAAACATAAGTAATCATGAAGATTAAAATTTAAAAAGAGAGACATAAATTGGAGAGAAGAGTGTGGAATGAAAACCTTTCAGTCATATGTACAGTCAAACAGAAATGTTTTGAGCCTGAATTTAAACAGCATCACAGAAGAGGCCTGTCTCACATGTTCAGGAAGACTGTTCCAGGTTTTAGCTGCATGAACCTGAAACGCTGACTCCCCTTGTTTAGTCCTGACTCTGGGCACCAGCAGGAGGCCGGTCCCTGAGGTCCTCAGAGTGCGAGATGGTTCATATGACACTAACATGTCACAGATGTACTTTGGTGCTCGGCCATGGAGAGACATGTACACAAGCAGAGCTGCTTTAAAGTCTATTCTCTGAGCCACAGGAAGCCAGTGCAGAGACCTGAGCACAGGACTTATGTGCTTGTACTTCCTAGTTCGAGTAAGGACCCGAGCTACGGCGTTCTGGATGTTCTGCAGCTGTCTCACAGCTCGTTTGGAGAGACCAGAGAGCAGACCATTACAGTAGTCTAACCTACTGGAGACAAACGCATGGATAAGTTTCTCCAAGTCTGATTTAGACAGTAAACCTTTGATTTTTGCTATGTTTTTTAGATGGTAAAAGGCTGCAGATGTTATTGATTTGATGTGGCTGTTAAAGTTCAAGTCTGAGTCCATTATTACCCCTAGATTTCTTGCCTGATTTGAAGGTTTTAGAGAGAGAGAGACTGGAGGTGACTGCTGACACTGCCCCTTTGTTTCTGTGGACCAAACACTATGACTTCAGTCTTGTCAGAGTTTAGCTGGAGAAAGTTGTTTTGCACAAGCCACTCAAAGCGCTACACTTTTGTCATTATTTATTCACTGCATAAATTATGATACATAGAAAATGCTTAGGTAGACAAAACAAAAATTAGACTACCAATCTGTGCTAGATCTGGACCTTTTTGTTTCACAGAGAATTTGTGTCAGTGAGGTCATTGTGAGAAGCACCAAACATACATTCAGGACCTACCTGCAGGTACACAAATTCTTTCATCACTCCACTGAACACATGTATACAGAAACACTGTCCATTGTTTTTTAAAACATTTGTTCTGTTTTCTATAGGACGTGGATCCGGCCTCTCTCTCTGCTGCTGTCAGTCATTTCCTGAACTGTTTCCTCGGCTCTTCATGTTTCGTCCCAGGAGGAAGATCTGAGGAGATGGTCACGAAGCGCAGGAGTCGCAGACGGCGCAGACGACTTTCAGGAAGTGTTTGGGCAAAGTTGACCCACATTGACCTTTGGAGCAGGATCAAGAAAGAGGCACAAGAATATTTTGGCTACCACATAGAGAGGTGTGGTTCGAGAAGTATTTACTTATTTTTTGGAGTGAATATCCACGAAAATAAGGGAAAAGAATAACTAACAAAGACATTACAGGACAAATGCTGTCGTGTCATTGTCTCTTAGAGCACACAACTGAAGTTCAGCACTGATGATATAGCAGGCTACCATGTAATGTTGCTCTAATGTATAAAATATTCGACTCTGTTGTTCTTGTCCTCTCTATGTTCAGTGGGAGCATGGATGAAGTCACTGAAAAGCACAGCCTTCAGAAGATTTCTCTTCTGCGAGCGATTTGCCTACAAACCGGGATCCAGGTCAGACATCTCATACATGTCTTCATAAAACATTTAGATTTACATTTACGTGTCAGACAAAGTGGCTGCCTCTTGGAAAGGGCATTCACATATCCATAGTCATTATTTCAGCAGCAGAAGATAAATAATTTCTTTCCCTCAGAACCTATAAGTAGTACTAGTACTGTCTCTTTCTCTGTATAGGTGCTTTTGAAGGAGTATGTATTTGAATCTCGTCACAGACCAGTATTTACTGAAGAAGATGTCATGAACATGTTTCCTGTCATCAAACATCTCAATCCAACTTCGTCAGATGCCTCTCGACTCATTCGGGAGGCTCAGAGGGCGGTACAAAGGGGTGAGTCACAAATAGAAAATTTGTATATACATTTAAAAAAAAAAAATTTATTGGAATTTTAAAAAAGGATACATTGCTCCATATTATATTATATCTGCATTTTAGATATAAATTGGATACAAAAATAATATCTATCATTAGACCAAAATCTAAGGTCTAAACTTTTGCTATGTTTGTGTTTTTGTTTTCGTGCAATATGTAATTGCACTCCATAGTGATGTCGTTAAAGTCAAGATGATTGATATCTTAAGGAAAATAAGTTCAGCAGCGGCTGCTTATCAACAAACTCTTTCAACCTGGTTAACTCAAGATTCATATTCTTTAGGTCTTCTTAAAGATGGCTATGACTTGATCAGCCAGGCCATATCCCTTTTTACCAGCGTCTGTGGTGTGCTGCATGAAGATGTGTGCTCCTGTCTGCGCCTCCAAGGACGACTCAGCTACATACTGGGACAACACACAGAAGTAAGACATTTGTCTTACATTTGTTCTTTTATTTCTACTCTTTCCACCTCTTTTTCCATGTACGACAGGCTATAAACCTCCAGGAAAAGACTGCTACTAGTAGTGAGAGAATCAAAGGTGTAGACCATCCTCAGACCATTCAAGATTATGTAAGTTTCAATAACATTTGAAAGGTTAGTTTAGTTAATTAATCACTGTATTTATTTATTTATTCTGTTGTTTTCTGATTTAGACTTACCTGGCTCTGTACTGTTTTGCCGGAGGTCAACATGCTACCTCACTTCAGCTCCTTTACCGTGCTCGGTACCTGTCTCTACTTGTATGTGGGGAAGACCATCCACAAGTTGCATTAATAGATGTAAGTTTGTGTTTAAATATGAAGTTGTAAATCACTGCTAATGTTGTTTGTAATTGTTTAGAGTATGCTGGGTTTAGTGCTACATGGACTAATGGAGTATGAGCTTTCCCAGAAGTTTCTTGAAAATGTCTTATGTCTTGCTGTAAAATACTATGGTGCCATGTCTCTGAAACACGCTCAGAGGTAACTATAGCTTTCTTGACAAAAGTTCAGATTTAGTGGAATGCAAAATCTCAGCTCAAAGCCATTATTTCACAATAGGTTTTTGTCCTAAATTGCTGTAATCCAAAATTGTATGTTCTCTTTTCAGTCATCATCAGCTTGCCACTCTTCTGGAAAGTAAAGGTGACTTCAGAGCTGCTCTACACCATGAAAAAGAGGCCTGTTCTATATATCAGAGCCAGGTGACATATTATAAACAATACAAACTTAAATATTTCTCTATGATTGGTGCTCATTGTGTCAACTATTTAAATTGTTACAATTTAGGTTGGGGAGGACCATGATCGAACTAGGGAAAGCAAAAACTACCTGAAGACACTTACTCAACAAGCTGTGAACCTCCAGAAAGCACTTAATCAAATCTACTGTGAAACACCCTGTGCCTGTATAACACCTCCAAAGGTATGCTTTTGGAAAAAGTAAATACATTATGATTTGAAAAAACAACAAAAATGGAACTACTGCAACTATTCCATTGCAGTTGTCTTTTAGTGCTGTAGTAATTCTTTCTAGTAGCATAGTAGCTTTTAAATTAGTATAACAAATTCTCCTGCCTTGCCCTACTGTTTTAAGATGTGTTGCTGCCCTAAAATCATACAAAAGAGTAATTATATTTTAAAGATTATTTTAGTTTTTAGGAATTATTTTAAAAAAATTTGACAAATGTATAAATAATGTATAACTTTGTTTTTAGCTCTCGGTCCCAAACACAGCTACAATCCTTCAGCAACTGAACCTCACCTGTGGCATTGTTCTCGTTCCTCTCAGGTATGTAACTATGACACTTGACTTTTGTATTTAGAGAGTTTGAAGATAAGGGGTTCCTGTATGTCTGACCCAGTTTGTCAGCTATTTGTGCTGTGAATGGACTGTCAGATGCATTTAATGAACCACTTTTTTCTGGGTTATTTTGTGCATCCTTTCCAAATTGTCACTAATGGTAATCTTTTCTGTTTTTCCCACTCTCAGTGCAGAAGAAGTGACCAATCTGGGGACAAAGATCAAAAAAGAAGAAACACATAAAGTGAAAAAGCAAGAAAACATCAACTAAAGCCAAATCATTCAACACCTGCACACAATACCACAATGTTGACTGTATTGGATGGTTGCAAAATAAAATGTCTCTTTTGTCAGACTCTGCCAGACAAAAGGAATAGAAAGTCAAAACTGGGTCAAATACATGTTTCTGATGTTTGATGCAGGCATTATGACAAACATGTACAGTTTAGTTTTTTTCTGAAATTGCAGTGCTAGAGTAAATACAAGTAGGCCTATAAAATATTTTTGTGGTGCAAGTGAAAAAAAACTAAATTATAAAATTGGTATATATGCACTGGGGGTCGCTGTTGGGACTGTGCTGTTCTAATACAGTTTTGGGAACCTTAGCAATAGAACTTCTGTCTAATATTGATTTTGGTTTGGTTTGAAAAATTTTATTAAATATGGAATTAAAGATGTCACTCTATTCTCATGTTCACGTAAACATCCTGTAGCCTAAATTTTTGAGCCCAAAACCAGTTTTCTTAACATTTTATAAACTTTGTAAAAAGAAATGCATTACTATTTTGAACAGGTCTTTTCTCGTCTACCAAAACCCCATGACCAAAACACGTAACCCAGCCACCACTTTGGGTGGGTATGTGGCTCTAAAATTATAATACAATGTTTTCATATAGATTAGCATTACTAAATCATATAAAATGCATTTATACTTGTTTAACTGATCACACTCTTTAAAGGTTTATGGTTAATCTAAATATAGGCATATTGTCATAATATTTATTGGAAATCTGCAGACGTCTTTGTACGTCACCGTCATCTGAACGTGCGCGCCCCCGTGTCCCAGTCGCGACCGTTAGCTGTGGCCGGAGAATGCGGCGGCTCCACTGAGCAAAACCTGACCCACCGAGCCGGCTACAAGGAACCGACAACACCGGGCACACCAGGGCTTCTGCGCATGTTTTCAACAGGATCTGGACTATGAATTGTTCTATATGTCTAAAGGTAAGTTGTCTGTGCTTAGACCTGTTCGTGTCTGTGTTTCGGCACTTCATATACTTGCTATGTTGACGACGATTTGGCTGCAGTGTCTGCGCTCTCCCGTTCAGATCTCAAAATGGCGGACAAGCTAAGCTAAGTGGGCATAGTTGGCACTGGCAGCTCCATCCATCCAGTGGGTTCACTCCAAAGCAGCATAAACACTTGCTCTGTTATATTTGGATGGACTAAATAGCATTTCATGCATAAACGAGAAGGGATGAGGTGTCTCGCATACTTGTTGTGAGGTGCTGCTAACGTTAGCTTATTTTAGAAAGTTGACAAGAGTGAGCTAACGTGGTTGGTGACCCGGCCATGCTAATGCTGTCATTCCAGTGCCATGTCTGCGGCCCCTCAGTAATATACACAAATACTAAGAGTTAAATGGTGGGTGGAATAATGAGTAACACCGCTACAACGTTTATCAGCGCCTTGTGCCTTCTGTGAGAGCCGAAGTTTGGCTTCTCAGCCTTAGCATTTGTTTCACGGAGCCATTTCATCAAAAGCCCCATTTTAGTTAAATTATGCATGTAGATGTTTGCCCACTTGACGAGTCAAATACACCCTTAAACATACTTTAGATGTATAGTAAATGTCTAAAAATATTGCTTATTGAGTTGACAGCCTCATCCTTTACGTCATTTTGCTAAAGCTAACGTTAGCTTCAAAAGGGCGTTGCTGAGCCATTGCTGCAACTTTGCCCTTGTGGCCATCGATGCTTTGAAAGACACTGCTTGCTCCAGATTTTATTTTCTACGCCAACGATTTAACACTAACAGTTGTAATAGTAAGGGGGTGTGCTGTTTTTGTTCTGGTTTGTCTTCAGCGAGCCGATTCACATCGGCTAGTCAGAGGAATCACGATCAGGGTGGAGACTGCGCGAATCCACAACATGATGATGTGATGGTCATAACATCAGACCAGGCTTTAGATACGCTCACGTGTTATGGCTACAGACATGTCATTTCTACCTCAAGCAACGCATTATACAGTCATATTTGTCTCGTAAAATATTTTTCCCATTATTGCACATGCATCAATAAATATTGTACATCGCATTGTGATGCTCCTATTTTTATTTAGGCTTAAGAGTTTGTATTTGATTTTTAAATTTTTGTTGCCGGTTTATTATACATTATGTATATTTATATAGATTAAACGGCCTATAACTTGTATAAAATGAATGTCACTTAAGTTGCCTGAACCATTTCTTACTTAATTGTTCCGTAAGACATTGTTTCATGATTGTATTTATATTATTTGTTTGAAAGTAGAAAATTGGAAACCTAATTTTTAAATATGTAAAGGAACAGTGAACAGGTAACTGACTCACTTTATTTGATTGCCTTTTACCTTTCAGTTTTATACTGAATCACACAATCTGTGTTGTCTGAAGGTCACTCATAACAAGGGCCATGGTGAGAACAAACAGCAGTGGTTTTACTTTGATGCACAGCTACAATTTATGAACTTGAACTGACTGATAACATGAACCAAATGGTGTTCAAATGTGATTCCTCTTGTGATGTTTCGGTATGTGCTAAAGTTTGTGGAAGTTCTGCACTGTTGATTCACTTGTCTAAACTACAGGAGTCTGTACTTTCCCAGTTCTAGCCTGTATGACCTGTTGATAGACTGTTTCATATGTTGTTCTAACAGGTGTGTTAAACTTTCTCATAGAAATGTAGCACTATGTCATGTTGAAATTTGAGTGCAAATCCAGTATTGTGTGTGTGCAGGTTAGCCCTTAGTTTGGAGAGAGACATACTTAAAGCACTGTGCCAAATGCCAGTTGATTCCCACAAGATTATTTGTCTCAATTTTTGAGTGGACACAAAAGATTCAGCTCAGATTTAATAATGATAAATCCCATTTTTATGTTACAAAATATGGGCTATGACCACAAATGTATTACTTCATTTACTCAATAAAACATAATTTAGTGACTCAATATATCAAACACAAATGAGTTTCACTGAAAAACATGAGATACTGAGTGCAGGTCTTTAAACGTTTGCCAACAGTAAGGCATGTGACTGAGATGCTTGAAATCTTTGAAAATGCATGAATGTTTTTCTGCACTTCTATTGAATACCCTTTCAAGGAGGACAGTTTTGGTTAGTTTAGACCTGTGTCAAAGATAAAATTGGCTTTGCTCTGAATGTTGACTCAGTCGAAAGGTGGTTAAGACTTTTGTCACCACTACCTCTTCATTAGATAAGCATGTTTTAGAGGCAGGACTTTGCTCTGTTCCTCTTGATTTACACCTGACTATTACCTGCATTAGGTGAGCTGTAGATAAGTGCACACACTTTGATAAGGGGAGTGTGCATGTCCTTCTTATTTGCATAGACGACTGTTGTTTATCTCCACTCTGACCCTGACGCAGGTGTGAGTTGGCCTTATGTAATGCTTGTGTTTGTCAAAAGGCTGTTCTGGAGCTCAGAGCAGGAGTTGTGTCCTGCGCTCATGGCTCTCATTAAGTTTGCAGCACAGTGGTTTCTAGGACACTTGAGGCCCATGTTTTGTCTTGTCTTGTGCACCTCCTCCTCGCTTTCACTGAAAAGTGATCCACTCACGATTCCCTACATCACAATGGCAAATGTCACTGGTGCAAACAACAAGGATGCAACTATCTTTAGTTACTTAAGTTTATTATCTCAAATATTCCATGGGCCATAATTCGTGCTACAAAAGCTCTTTGCTTTTCTTTTTTACTGGTTGTAGCATGCTTGTTAAATAGATTGGTGTCTTCTGCCTCTAGTGTTAGACTGATCTTGTCAGATCTCAGAAGTTGAGCAGGGCTGAGCCTGGTTTGTATGTTGACGGGAGACCGCTGGGAATATCAGGTCCCACAGTGGGGCGCCAGTGGCCAAAACTGTTGTTGTGTCTTTTGGCAAAGCACTTCACGCACACTGCTTAGTATGAAAGTGGTGTGACTGTTGATGGTAGTCAGAGATGGTGCAGATTGTCAGCCTTGCTTCCGTCAGTCTACCCCGGGGCAGCTGTGGCTACAGTAGTAGCTTACCACCACCAGGTATGGACTGAATGAATAATGTACCAAAATGTAAAGTGACTTTGAGTGTTTGGAAAGTGCTATATAAGACTAATGCTTTATTATTATTATTATTATTATTATTATTATTATTATTAGAGTGCCCCACACTGATGAAGTAATAAACAACTTAGACTTAAACAGTAGCTCCACTTTTTGTTTATAGCTTGAAGCTATTTTGGATTCACAAACCTCAGATACCACAGTGAGTTGATATTCCCCTTTGGTGTCTTGGCTCTAGCCATGATTTCAACAAATATTCAATGTAAGCACCACCTAGTGCCTCTGCTCAATTTCATTTCTCTCCAGCAACTAGGTCAGGATCAGCTAGGTCAAAATTAACTAGACGGTTCACAAAAACCACAGAAGTGCAAGTTCAGGCACCAGCCAATCAGCGAAGAGCCATATATTCAGTGTTGTCAACGATTCCCGAGATCGAGGATTTAAAGCCGGAATTAAGAGAATGTTTGGTGAATTTTATCAAGGGGAAAGACGTTATTGCCCTTCTTCCTACGGGATTTGGGAACCAAATACCAGTTAGCCCTGTTAGCGGCACATTACATACGTGACTACCAAATAGCAACGATTGGTTAAATGATAAAAAGTACCCGTCTACCATCGAGCGAACAAATTCTAACACTGCGAGGTCAGACGGTTTCTATGAAGTGGAACTGTCTGATGACTCAGGCTACATACTACATGCATTTTCAGTTGAACATTGTTTTGTGTTTTATTTAAGATCATGGTGCTTTTAATGTATAAGTTACATAAATAAGTCTTGTAGACTCCTCCATCAGGAGTATTCCACACTGTCATCATAGATCTGTAGTTGTTTTTTTGTAATGTAATTTCTCCCATTACTTTGCTTGGTATCAGCATTATTGGACCCTGTAGTTGACCCACACAGATAGACTGTGCTCTGGTAGCGTGTGTCTGGGGTTAATCCTGTTAGTGGGTGCTCTCAGTCTACATCTCTGAGTCACTGAGGAGTAGCCTAGTCGGGGACTTTGTCTCGTCGTCATTAAGCAGCTTAATGCCACTGTGACCCCAGGTGCCGCTCCGGCTCAAGAGGTGACTGTTTACAACCACAGCCGCTCCTTGCAACGTGGTCGGCCGTGGTCATTGGCACAAACCTGCAGGACTATGCACTGATACTACTATTACTTGACACATTACGCAGTATCATGGTTTCAGTATCTCGAATGAGCCAGTATTCCGTAGCTGGGATATTCCAGTGGTAATTGGGATACTGTGGCATGTATATGCAGTATCCCAAATACGGTAACATAAAGTTGAGTGCGCATGCGTCCAAAAGACAAACATTCCTGCGGCGAGTTCTCCTTCTTTCTCCTTATCACTAACCTCTGAGAGCTACTTCATAAGGTCAACTATAAGGACCAAGGAGGAGGAAGGAGCAATGATGCTTTAGGTGGATTCGAATCCTCCTAACCAGCGGCAGGAACTACAGTCAAAACCACAACTACCAGAAAACAGACTACAAGAGCACCATCTCCACTACTGCACAAGTCTTATGAGAATTATTTACACCTTTCAGTCTTTTCATCACAATGGTAGCCAATAGGGTTGGGCATTCGATAAAAGTGTTTTAAATTGATTGTCGGGAAAATTTACGATAGATTTTCGATTAATTATTAATGTTTTAATATTAAAATTATCATCATTATTATTACTATCTGCACTACTAATCTGCATAAATAAACTCAACTTTACAACATATAAACCATAACCACTATAGAGCCACATCATACTGTTTGAGATTATAATGTGTTTAATGCAGCTTTGCGCAGGTCTTGCAGAAACGAAACTTAAAACCGCATGGCTAATTTGCATAAACAAAGAAAAAACAACTCTTGTGCGCTGATGCGGTCAACTTCTGTCGGACTAAAGGACATAGCTCAGTGGAATATGACTGTTCTTTCTGTGACAGAGGGATGTTGATGCTAACGGTGAGTGTGTTCTTTGCGTGGATCGTGTTGTAAATGGTTGATGAGGCAGCAACTCCAATGTTTGCACTGTCAGATGCAGCCTTGTCTCCTTACACTACTCTAGGGTGACCATATTTCATCATCATCATTTTTTATGCAAATAGTTAAGCCGCTGCGTTTCAAATTAGAAGTGAACATGGATGCGCTTCCGGGTCCATCCACTCCAATTCACCTTGAAAAAAATGTCACTCCTCTCTGCTGTAACTGCTGCACTCAGACTCATCATATTGTTCTCAAAACTCTACATGATCTTCGCGGTTTTATTTTGATATTTTGTCTGTAAATTAAGACAACATACAAATCGGGTGCCTGCTTTCCCTGTAGTCACCCTTGCTAGTGTTAGCAACAGGTTTGAATGACAATGTATCTTCCACAGCCTCACTCTGAATTGGTTTTTTGGTTGCTATGATACTCACGGTTGGAATTACAAATATGGAAGTCTGCCCCTTGATGAGCTTCATTTGGCCGGAGCTGAACACTTAATTGACTTTTATACAGTCTATGTACTGTGCTTTATTTTTACGGTTATAAAAACTTAACTAGTATATTTAAAAAACATTTCCAGTGGTTATTCCTCACCTTACCTTATGCATTCCGAGAATCCTAATTATTCACAGCAATTAGTTTATAAGCAGTGACCAGAGACCAGTACGAGTTTTGCTATGATGGTAAAGCTAACCATTAGCATGCTAATGCACCCCTCCTGATACTTGGACAATAAAATGCCCTCTAGTTAGATAAACACAGGCAGCATGCAGCAAAGTTGTTTTGACCACAAAAGCTAATGCAGTACATTTAATACTTCCGTCAGTTACAGGCCCTTTCTGCTCCATGTTACAATACACTCGGCACAAATGTGGGGTCCGCCCTGATTGTATTAAAAGCACATGCCTTAATTCTCATTGATTTCATATATAGATTTAATTAAACTAATGTAAGTTGTCCATGTGAATCCAGGAAGCAGCTGAAGATTTATGTTTGAATGCACCATCAGCAGCTGTTGTCTGGTTAATTTAACCTGTGTCAATGCAGTAGGCGAGTCATTTTAACCTCAGTTTGTTGTGCTTTGAGTGCTGCATTTGTGTGTGTGTAATGGTGGGTTGTATTTTTTTCTGTAAGATCATAGTTTTTACATTATAGTTGATATAAAATGACGCATTCTTTCAACGAAGACAAATGAATAGTGATTGTGAACCAATGTCTCTGTTCTAACTGTTTGATTGATATGTTTTCAGCATGAGAAACTAGTGTCACTGTGACTGATGCACCTCAGCTATAATAAAAGACCCCTTCCACATAAATCATACAATGGCATTCAAATATGACACTATTAGACCTAACAGGTTTCAGACCAATTCCACTTGCCCTCTTTCCTGTATATTTCCTTTGTAAACAAATTGTAAATACTCAGATTGTTAAAAAGAGCCTTTTGCTGATTCTACAGAACACTGGGCACACCCCGGGTTACCAGGTTGACTCTAGATACACATTGACTGCCAGTGTGTCAAGTATTTCTGTCCTCTGGTTTTGTCATTTTAGTTTTAAACTCATTTCCACCTCTCTCTCTTCTGCAGGTAATGGGAGCGTCTGATTGGTGAACTGGTTGTCCTTCTCATCAAGCCTAGACCTCCAGTTGATTGACAGCGGGATATCCCATCAGCCCCTGCCCTTCAGCTCTTTGACGCAGCCCCGTTGCTGTGGGACCCTCTTCTCTTCTGCTTACTCCAGCTCTTGCCCCCAGTCTCACTCCCCCTGAGGGGCCACAGCGCCATGGTGCTGTCGCAGAGACAGAGAGATGAACTGTGAGTCTACCACACCAGGCACACCTTGGGATGTCTTGTTGGGCTGTTATTAGAACACTGGTGGCACGTAATGGTCCATTGGATCAATACACTCCAGCCTAATCTGTGCTCTTAACGGAGTCGCACATCACACACTTGCACGAGGGACCCACAGTTGCTGAAAATGTTGACATTTAGTTTTCATTTATTTTGGTGTATCGACCAAACCTGCTAGTTTAGTCTCACATGTTTAGTATCGTGTTCATTTTATAATGTCAAGTAGACTGTAGATCATGTAGGATCTGCATGTTGTAACAGATGTGGTCTTGGAGGTGCTTCACTTCACAGCGTCTTGGTGAATATTTCATAACCTCATGACAGGACCCAGGAGGAGGAGGAGGGGCTGCTTAATGTGATGCAGTGGAGGAATCTGCCCTGTGTGCGATTACATTTACAGTAGATAAGGAGGAGGCTAATTTAATTAACACAATGTGAAAATCTAACAGCTCTACAAATGGACCTGGCACTTGGGCCTCTAAACATAACTCATAACGCACACGCTGGGTCAAGTCATGCTGATGCCCTGAGGAGAGTATCCAAATGTTTAACACTATGATGATGATGTGGCTTATAATACAATATCAGTCTGGTTCAGATTGATTTCCTCTGGTCAAATCTGTGCCAAACGCCTCATTTTGGCAGCATCACAATCTTGTTGTGATCCCCATACTGCTGTTAATGCACATTGCACTCTGATGCTTTTCCCTTATTTCACACAACTTAATGAGTATGAGTTTTTTCAAACTCATATGTATTGAAAACATTGTTTGTGTATGAAAAAACATTGAAAGTACAGTTAGTACACTGTAAGAACACCAATAACCCAGATAGTGATGGACAATAATATTCAGTACTCTGGTACAACAGTGTTTCCCGCAGCGCTTTATAGTTAAGGCGGCAAGTGGCCCCCGCCTTGACTATGTCACAAAACTTCGGTCATCACTCGGAAACTCTGCGCATGGAATTTCTGCAAACTTAATTTTTTTTATTATAGGTTGGTCAAAAATATGATCACATCTTTAGTGAACATAAAATGCATAGATGAACAGTTTAATTCAGAGAAATGCAGTCTCCTTTATATTCTTCTTCACATTGTATTCATGACTATACCTGTGAATTTATTTTTGATGAAAGTTAATTCATTGAACTTTACAACTTTATAATTTTTTACATTGCTGAGTTTCTCTGCCACAGTAGTCCTTTACCAACCATAGTACACATTCTGCACAGTGGTTCATCCTTTAATGTTAATAATCCACCTCTGGGCTACATGGTAAAATATCAGCTCTGCTCCAAATCTCTTACAAAGTTTAAAAATAGTAACTTTACTTATGAAATATTTAACTCCTGACGCATAAACGAGCCGCTCCACTTCTTTATATAACATGTAGCCAGTGGGCGTCTGTGGTTGCCCTGTTAGCTGCCTGCTCCAAAGCTTCACAAAGTGGTTTTCAGCTCAGCCTCTTCCCTGATTTAATGCTAATCACATTCTTACATTTGCACAACTAGAAACTCCCAAAGGTCCCAATGTGAGGCAGGGTGTGCCCTCCTCTGTTTTTAAGGAGGATCTGCTTTGTTTTTAAGGTGGTGCTGAGAATGCTTTGGGGTCATTGGATAGTGTAGATGTAAACTGATCCTTAATCAATAGTGATTTGAAAAGCAAATTAATAATATGTTGTCTTCTTTTGTCAGAAACCGGGCAATAGCAGACTACCTCCGCTCCAATGGCTACGAGGAGGCATATTCCACTTTCAAGAAGGAGGCAGAGTTAGATATGGTACATTGAAATATTAACCCCTTAATGATTTGTAACGTCTAAACTGTAATAGTAATATCCCATCTTGTGTTTTATTTCTCACAGAATGAGGAGGTAGATAAAAAGTATGCTGGTCTTTTGGAAAAGAAATGGACCTCAGTCATCAGATTACAAAAGAAGGTAAGAAGGTTTCATAATATTTTTGATCTGTGATCGCCTGAATATTTACGTAATGGATGCAACTGATTTATAATTCTAATTGAATTGGTCATAGAATACAGTGTTGCCGGGGCACTTGTGCTGGTTGAAAATGGTAATGAAACATAAACAATGATTTGTAAAAGAATAATTAAAAGATTTAAATAAGAGTTAAAACTGGTTGTAATTGATGTTTGCTGCTGTAGGGTACTGATGAAGGTATGGTGTGGATTGAAGAAGTACTATGGTATAATGTGTTTACCTTTGTGCTGTGCAGGTGATGGAGCTGGAGTCGAAACTGAACGAGGCAAAAGAGGAGATGACACATGGAGGGCCTGTGGGACAGAAGAGGGATCCTAAAGAGTGGATTCCTCGCCCTCCAGAGAAGTATGCCCTGAGCGGTCACCGTGCCCCTGTCACACGAGTCATCTTCCACCCGGTCTTCTCAGTCATGGTCACAGCTTCTGAGGACGCCACCATCAAGGTTTGTGCTTCTGCTTATTGCTGGTACGGTTCTCCTCACAAGTGAAACCTTACAGTACTGAGTAGGGGCGGGCGATATCTCCATACTTTAAATATATTGAGATAATGCGAAATGGATTCTGACATATCGTATATACTGATATAATGCTTATATTTAATTCCCATTTCGCCGTTTTACTTGTTTGCTTTCTCTGTGCTGTGCTCACTCTTGTGCCCCCACCTCCTTGATTTTGTTACCCCTTTCCTCTCACGCTTCCCTTGCCTGTTGGCTCATTCACTACTCACTACTGCCATGAATGCTGAAAGTTGGTGCCAACCAAAAGCTTCTAGCTCCGTGAACCTCTTCCACCATTTACAGGCTCACCATCAGCATCACATCCTTTCACAAAGAGAATACACACATTAGTTTGACGAGTCGTGTCCTTTAGTCTGACAGAAGCTGACCGCATCAGCATACAAGGTTCAAGCTGTTTTTTTTTTTTTTTTAGTGCTTATTATTTATGCAAATGAGCCATATAGTTTAAAATTTCATTCATTTCTGTAAAATGTAAACAAATGTGTGTAAAGCTGAATTAAACACATAACATAAAAAAACACCTTGTGGAATTTAGCATATTTGTTTTTGCAGTAGTTTTTGGGGGTATTATCTTTCCTGTACAGATATCGAGATATAGCGAAATATGTCGAGATATATTTTTTGCTCCATATCGCCCAGCCCTAGTACTGAGTATGGAGAGGAGGCATGTGAGTTTAACTTTAGTGCAATAAATCTTAACCTTTAAAAATCTGTCAGTACATTTTGCTGTGTATGTTGACCCCTCTATTGGACACTAGATTATTTTTATCTGATGAGACAGGAAAACTCAAAATCAAACCCAAACCTACTGGTTAGTATTTCTCCCCTAATAAGACCCAAAGTGTAATTCCTAAACCTGAGTGGATCCTTTCTGTGCAAGGTTAACCTGTTCCTCAGTTTTAGTAAGTATGGCTGCCCTTTTGAACAATAAATTAAATACAATTGGTGCAAATAATTGAATGAGTCCGTACATGTCTGTCTGATGGTACTAAATGTTCACTCACTGCTCAGGGTGCTGGAGCTTCAAAGCCTCTGCAGTTGTGAGCCTCCCACCCCTCCTCCTCCACCTCCACCTCCACACCCCTTTATGGCCCTGGATTCACTTTGTACTTTTGCCTTGTCACTGCTGGTTTGTGTGGATGGACTGATGCTCCTGTTGTTGGAGGCGTCTTTTCCCCAGAGCAAGGCATCATGGGAAATGTGCAACCCTGTTTTCTTTCGAACTCTTCCCCATTTTTTCTTTTAAAGGCTTTGTATTGATTATTTGAGAACTGTGTCAGCAGGAAGTGGGTTTTACACTGAATTAAATGGACAGGTTTCATGCTCCAGACTTCAGTCAGATAGGTTGCTTATCAGTTATTGGCAGTATCCTTTGTGGTACTAGATTGCACTACATTAGCTTGACAAGTAGGTGTGTAACTTTTTGACAATGTAATAAAATGGTGTTAAATACAGTTAAATATAAGTTTGAGTACAGCTGCTGGGTGGAAAGGAGAGGGACCTACATGGACCATAATCCTTAAGCACTTAAATCTCTTCACTGACTTTCTAAAGAAAAAATAACAGAATTCTACATTAGTGTGAGCAAACCTTTGCTATTGCAATATGTTTGGATAATGGATAACAGAAATATGATGAGAATCAAATCTTTTTACGCCCCTCCTTTTGCAGAACATTAAAAGGCTGCATATTATTTTGTTTCCAGGTGTGGGACTATGAGGCGGGAGATTTCGAGCGCACTCTGAAAGGCCACACAGACTCTGTTCAGGACATCTCCTTCGATCAGACGGGGAAGATTCTGGCTTCGTGTTCCGCCGACATGAGCATCAAACTGTGGGACTTTCAGGGCTTTGAATGCATCCGAACAATGCACGGTGAGAAGCATGCTTTTAGATGTTGTTGGGAGTGAACGCCATGTTTAAACAATACCTGTTTGAAAGTATGTACTTCCTCCTTTCCTGCGTCATCAGTCCTTTGTATTCATATTCTCTAAACTGGTCATTGGCTTATGGAACTCAATCGAAATGCAATGTCGGTTTTGTGTTTCAGGGCACGACCACAACGTGTCGTCTGTAGCCATCATGCCAAACGGAGACCACATCGTGTCTGCCTCCAGAGACAAGACCATCAAGATGTGGGAGGTGGCCACCGGGTGAGTCGGAGCATGACTTGAATAATCAGACATGTGGTATAACATGGAAATTACAGTGGTAATGTTAGGATTTATGACAACTCATATGTTTGAGATTATTCATTAAACAGGGGGTATTGTGCCAAATTGACGACTTGCAGCTTTCTACTGTGTTATAGCGTTTTCTCATCAAAAAGTGTTTTTAGCTCATTCATGCATGTTTGAGTATTTTGACGATCTCTCCAGGGTCTTAATTGAACCCTCCTTATGGTTAGTTGTAATAATCTGTGCAGTGCTCAGCCCACACGCCAACATCAACCATGCTCCTGCATAGCACACCATAAATATACAAAAACATTACCCAAAAGTGTAGACAGGAGCTTGACAAACCTGGTGGAATGTGCAGTAGTTTCATTAGCAGGTTGCACTCAGGTTGTTATGATGGCGATTTCAAGGGGGAGTGACTTACCTCAGAGAAAGAGTCAGCGTGTCAACAACGAAAGTGAAAGTATAAAACAACATTTCTGTGAATGTCGTATTTTCAAAACAATAAAAGGTAACATGGTGATAAATATGTTACATGTTTGCTGTTAATATCCCATAGAAGTCAAATACCCCTCTTTAAAACTTATACAGACTCTAATCATTTTATAAAATGTATTGATAAAAGGAAATTATACATTACTATTGTAATGACTTAATCAATTAATATTTCATTTAAACTTTTATTATACATTTTGTTTTTCATGCTGTCAACATAATAGTTAAAAACATAATGTAAACCTTGTGTGTGGTGCAGTTACTGTGTGAAGACGTTCGCGGGCCACAGGGAGTGGGTGCGGATGGTGCGTCCGAACCAGGATGGCTCTCTGATCGCCAGCTGCTCTAATGACCAGACGGTGCGCGTTTGGGTGGTGGCCTCCAAAGAGTGCAAAGCTGAGCTCCGGGAGCATGAACATGTGGTGGAGTGCATCGCCTGGGCTCCAGACAGCGCCCACCCTACCATCCTGGAGGCCACAGGCTCAGAGGTGTGTGCTACTCTGCAGCTAAATGCATTTCATCTTTTCTGTTAGCATTCTCATAGAATTATAGGTTATCTAGGGTCTTGGTAATCCTGAGATTTTTTTGTAGTTTTTAGCATTTGTAACCACATGTAATGTGCAGAAGACATTTAGAAAAGAGAATATACTGTATATGCTAGGCAATTTGGACAGAGAAGTCAGGCATAACCTTGGAGTTACAAGAAGATGAGTTGTTGAATATGTGTGAAAATCAGAGCACACATTGGACATGTCTCCACCTCCTGCTGTTGTCTTTGACCTTTGGTGTGACTTTTACTGGCTGTAAGTTTTAGATCAGCAGCATAAACAGGACTGTCCCCATTGTTTTTGAAGGCACTACACCCCTCTGCACTTCATGCTTCAGTGCTCCTTTAGCAAATGCGCACTTTCACAAAGTGCTGTGAGCGTTGTGAAGCCGAATAGGACTGTAGTCCTGCCACTAGGTCTGTGTTGTCAAGGTGACTGTGGACTTCAGGGCTCATTATTATGGATAATTTATGATACTATAAACAGGCTAACCCAAATGACCAATTTTATTGTTCTATAATGCACTTTGATTGATGATGTGGTAGCTTGTTTGATAAAATGTACATGCAAATGTACTGTGAGCAGCAGAAACTGGTGTTTGAGGTATATTAATAGAATCTAACTGATTCCCAGAACAAAAAGAGTGGAAAACCCGGCCCATTCCTGCTCTCTGGATCTAGAGACAAAACTATTAAAATGTGGGATGTGAGCACTGGCATGTGCCTCATGACTTTGGTGAGTGAAACTTGCTTTTATTTAGAATTTGTAAAAGCCATTTTAGTTGCTTAGTAACTTGTCATTTTTGCTTATTTGTTGTAGGTGGGCCATGACAACTGGGTGCGTGGCGTGTTGGTGCATCCTGGAGGCAGGTTCATAGTGAGTTGCGCAGATGATAAAACTCTACGGATCTGGGACTACAAGAACAAACGCTGCATGAAGACTCTGTTTGCCCATGAACACTTTGTTACCTCTCTGGGTAAGACCCTGCCTCCACAGTCATTGTCCATCAAATCTATATACTCTGTTTACTAATGACTCTACTCCTGGAACTTTGCAGATTTCCACAAGACTGCCCCGTACGTGGTGACGGGCTGCGTTGATCAGACAGTCAAAGTGTGGGAGTGCCGCTGAGATTTATTCCGAGCCCCTCCCAAATCCAAAAAAACCCACCCCCTCTGCCCTGCCCCTACACCTTCACCTGCTCCTGTCCCGACCTGTGGCACTCCGATCCATAGTTGACCATGGCGCTTTTCCCTCTCCCTCTGCCCCTTCTCTAACAACAATCCAGCCCTTACTACGATGACTATTGTCCTTTTATGTAAATTATTCTGGATGTAGGGTACGCTTAATAAATGTCACGCAGTCTCTGACACATGAACACACTCGAAAAGATAAGAAGTATTCCTTTGCATGGTGAATCAAACTTGAGAATTGTATACTGCTGGAGTTGACAGAATTGCATACTGTTGTCATGACTTTCCATCTTGGTCAAAGGGTGTAAAAAATTGCGGTTTTAACAGAAAAACCAGTGTATAGCCTCATTGCAGAGGTGTAGTTTTTTTGTTTTGTTTTGTTTTTCATGTTTTCATTGTGCTGCGTGGATGAAAGAGGGCACTAAAAAGGGTAAAAAGATTGAGAGAATGGGGGATTTTTTAAGAAAATTTGAAGTAGGATTTTGAATTGAGAGAAAGCTAAAAGGTGTGTGTGCGCCAGAGTGTGTGATACGACAGGAGAAACTACCTTAGCTTCTCGTCCACATTGTCCATCAATTCATCTCTTTCAACGCTTTATACTGTAGTAGAAACACTCACAGGACCTTAAAGCTGCCCCGTGCTGCTCAGAACACGGGCCCAAAGCAAGACCAAGTGTTTTGACAGAGGAAAAGTAACAGGCTCACCTTTTTAAAGAGGTTTTTGTGTGTTCGTATGTCGTCCCGGATGATCTCTTGCCCAGTGCTCGCTATCTCTGCCTTGTTCAAAACCCCATAGAGGGCCTCCACATTCAGGGCGGTCATCCTGCTTCTGTGGTCTCACCGCTTTCTCTACTACTACTATTACACACACACAAACGCACACACGCACAGTACAAGTTGTGTATCAATATATCTGGATGTCATTGTTTGCAACATAATAAATAAAATTCTGTAAATATAACTTATCCATTTGTGGTCTTTTCATGATTTCATTATTTTAATACTTATACTTTACACACTAGGGTAGTGCATCATCAGTTACAGAATACTGAATACCTGCTTTAAGATGTATTTTGTAATGTATTCTGAACTGATACATGGTCCAATCCGAGTACTGTATTCTGAATGCTTGAAATACATTTCCGTCACATTGCATAATAGTGTAAAAACATGCTATATAACTATTAACTTTATTTTGTTAAGCATTAATTTATGTCTAATTAAAGATGAAAAATCACACATGCATTCACCGCAAGAGCTGTGTTTTCGTTTGTTCTCTCTAATACTGAACAGTTCAAAGCATAAATTGCATGAAGAAGTTCCGTGATGTGTTCCTTCAGTGTAGGTAAGTAACTATTTTGACTACCACCAAATACAAGAGCGACTACTGGAATACACAAAAAATGTGTATAATTATTACTCAGAATATGTATTTCCGGTACATATATTCAGTTACTTCCAAACACTTCATAATATTTAAGTAGTGTACTTAACCCTGTGTGGAAAACAAATCTGACAACATTGTATAAATTATAAATTACAAATAAATGTTACCTTATCAAAATTGACATAAGCAGCTTGGCAATTTCTCAGACTCATTCCTCAAAGATCTGCCATACTGTATTTTTAACTGCATATGGATTTCCAAATTGTGCTGTAAATTGTCCGTCTAAAAATATTTGACCTCATGACCCAAATTGATCACTACAGAGTAATCAGAGACCCATTCACACATTTACGTCACATTACTGGTGGGGCCCTAAGATGGTTCTCAACGTAGCTACAACAAGCCCTGGCCCTAGGGTTAAGAAACACACATTTATTAATATTGTATGATCGTGCTGTGAAATGTTGATCTACTAAATTTCAAAACAATAAACCACAATATTAGGAAGAGCATTACATCGTCTTTGGTATTACTTCACATTTTGATTTAGTAAGACAATGTTGCCTCTCCAGTATCACTGATGTTAGAGCAGGTTTCTTGAGTGATTAGTGGTTACTACTGTCGAAGTGATAGTGGCACCGGGTACAGGAGCAGTGCACTGGGAACAAGGCAGTTAATATACCTCTAATTCAATTCTTCAGGACCAATCACTTAAGCTGAGTGAACAGAGTAAAGACATCAGGGGTCAGTGGGCCAGTTCATGCTCCTTATAAATTATGTAGTCCCCCCCCATCTCTCTCTCTCTTTCTCTCTCTCTCTCCTCCTCTCTCATTTGCTCTGACTCACCCACACCAGTCTCACTTCCTGTAACCTCCACTGCAGTCTCCTGGCAACAGTTTCCACGGCGGCGAGACATCATCAGTACCACACCCTCTAACATCCAAAGAATCTACAGAGAGAGTGTGGGAAAATGAATACAACGCATGAGAACAGACCTATTTCACTAGAACTGATTTTGTGTGTTGGATTCTAAAATACTAAAGCAAATACTTCACTGATGTATAATCTGTTAGAGTAAGAGATTACAACAACCACTAGAGATCATCAGTGTTGGGAAGGTTACTTTTTAGATGTATTCTCCTACAGATTACAGATTATATACCCCAAAATGTAGTTTGTAATGTAATCCATTAAATTACTTAAAGTTAGTAACGTAATCTGAATACTTTGAATTACTTGATATTGTCATGCTTTTTAAAACTACATGAATGTAGCAACCATATCCTGCAAATTCTTGTTTATTCTCTTCAAACTGGCTGTTGAGCCCAAGTCTCCATGAACAGGCATATGTTTGCTGTAGGGAAGCAAAGTGTAGGATCTTAACATAAGATGTTTAGTTCTGTCTGCTAAAAGACATTAAAACGCCCAGTCTTTCCTTAAGCATATTAAAAAATATTATTGACAGAGAAATACTTTCTATATGAGATCACTGCTGCCTTAAAGTATATCCACCCTACTGTTAGGTATCACACTGTTTAGACCTGGTTTAGTCCTGGTTTAGACCTGGTTTTAGTCCTGGTTTAGTCCTGGTTTAGTCCTAGTTCTAGTCTTGATTTTAGTCCTGGTTTAGTCCTAGTTTAATCCTGGTTTAGCCCAAAATGTGAAAACAGAAAAATACCGCTATGTAATCCATTTATTTCTAATTAACACTCATTGAAACAGTAACTGTAACTGAATACAGTTACTCATAATTTGTACTCTGATTACGTAACGCTGGTACATGTAATCCGTTACTCCCCAACACTGGAAATCATTAACAAAATAAATGTGAACTAAATATGTCTTATCTTATATGTATGAATGATGAGGCGGAATATTCTGATTAAATGCCTATAAGTGCAGCCTCTAACTTAAAGGAGATGTTATTGCTTTCCCTTCTGCAGATAGGGGCGCCTCTCCACAGATCTGCTCGTCTCCCTCGTGAAAGATAGGTTTAATCTGTACTGTGGAGCATTCTAGACAAAGCAACAACATTTCCATGGAGATAAGCAGCAAGCATAGCAGACCCTCCACCATAAAAGTTGCGCAGTGCACCTTTAAGGAGTTCAAACGAAGACCCCTACTTAAATTAGGCCTATAAGAAGAAAAGTCAAAGCTGAATCCACGTGGGAGACACTGCGGGGCTGCTAAGACTAGACTCTGTGGCTTAATGAAAGGATAATGACCTGCTGCAGGCACGAGACCAGTTTCTCTGCAGAGGCAATGGAGGGGAAGAATTGGCCTACTTTTGGATCTCACTACTGCCTTTCCTTACAGATTTAACAACAAAACATTAGACCAGGCCTACCGTTTTAGAGGCTGCGCTATATCACCAGTGGCCTACCAGGGTTAAATAGTGCCTACTGGTTTGAGAAATCAGTAGGAGTAACATTGACTAAGGGACCTGAGGAAGCGCTTCCAAGGTCACGCCTCCATCTGACTAGTGTTTTTGATGCTCCAGTACACCTTTAATTCCAATAATGGAACGACGTGTTACAATGCTTTTCTCCGTGCGTAAAACAAGCTACGCACAGTTGTTTGGAGGTTACGTGGAGTTATAGTTGGCATTAGGACTCCTTGGCTCATATATAGGTTTGTGTGTCATCGTGCTATAGGCGTCCTGCGATAGTTTACGTGACTGGCGTTTTAATCCGATCAGAGTCGCTGGAGGTTGTCGAGGAGGTTGTAGCTTTAACAAAGCCGAGGGAGCCGTACAATGGCGTCCTCTAGTGGTGATGACGAGAGGGTGGTGGATATAAGAATGAATGGGCAAAAATATAGGCTTTGTATAGTAAAAATAAACCAATTGCAATACTTGATGCATAAAACGTATCGACAAAAATGTAGACTATAGGTCATTGTCAGAAGGAGAGTGGTATCAAAGATGTTTTCATCTAACATTTTTTATCTTAATGTTTGACAAGGCATGGAATAGACTATATTAAAAAGTAGTCTATAGGAATATGTAACTCTAGACCCAGGGTATAGGCTCTTATTCATTTGCACAAAGCCCTTTAACCTACTATTATAGGATTAGTCCTGTAATATCACACATGTTTATCAAAGAACTAGGCCTAAAGGTTTAGTGATGAGTGACGTAAATGTCAGTACGAAACACATAATGCATATAAACAATTTATAGATGACTTTTGATAAGATAAGAACACTCAATTGTCTTAAACTTGTTTAAGAAAGAGGAGTGACATGCATTTTTTACAAGCTGCAGCTACAGGTTGCCTAAACTAACTAAATAAATAAATTATACATACAAATATTTTTACCTTATTTAAATATTTTATCTCACCCTAAAGTTTTTTTTTAAACCTAGGCTATACAGTATATTTAGATAGATCATAATAACATCTAATTATTTGCTTTAGATCAATTTTTCCAAATAAAAATAATCACAAATGGATTAAATATTTTTGTTTCTTGGAATGTGTACACATTTAGACATTTCTTCCATAATATAATCTACATTAAAAGTGATCTTAAGTTTTGCCTTAGAAGAAGTTACCCATCTGCACTGTCTCTTCTTCTTCACATAGCCGTGTTAAAGTAGAGAGCGCAGCATTGATTGGCTGTTGACTGTTGATGCTCTAATGATGCAGCACTTCTATGTAGGTCAGACCCTCCCAGCTGTGCTCTCTGTCTCCTCTGTACATTCAAACCACTCTCATCCTTTTTCCCTTTTTTTCTACACTGCAGCTCATGTGCTAACCATGTGCTCTGTCTTTCCCTCCTCCCATCTCTCCTCCTCATTCATTTGCCTCATACAGCCATACATGCTGCTGTAGCCTGTTGCAAAGACACTCCCATATCCAAATACTTGATTGTGTTTTGTGCTGATCTTTAGAACCACACAACCTCTGATACAAAAATATTCAACTATTTCCAATGTATTTGAGGGCTTTAACTCAAGCATTAAAGAAATAAAACCTGTAATCTCCGCCACTTGCTTGTCTCTGTGAAGTCATTTTGCTTTGCGAGGAATGTTCCACAGGATTGCATTAAATATGTATACGTACAAATATCTGTGAAAGTCAGTTATGGAGAGGTAAACCCATGCACAGTACAAATGTATGTTTTTCAAGGTATTTTTAGCACTGTAAATGCAAGTTATATATGTTTTTTATTCCTTAGGGTGGAAGGTGTAACAGTAGGCTACTTTTACTTGGTTTGATTGTGGTGAATACAGGTATACACAGTTGTTATGGCAAGACACTCAACCCCAGTAGTACGTATGACCAAGTGATATCCAATCACAGACTGTCTCCATGGAACACACTACACCTCCATATAGATTACATATAGACAAAAGCAGCTTTTCACCCATTGTTCTTTAGTATTTTTTATATACCACTACTGCTGTTAATTCCAATAAGAAAGTAAAAGTCCAATAGGATATCTTACTGAATTGGGTTTCACTTCTGGATTTAAAAGAAACAGACACAAGATAGACGTCTGTTGGCAAATTGGTATATTTTACTGTCTGTGAAGCTACAGATTTATCTGTAAAAGTTTTCAATGATATAGGCTTACTGTATATTTTGTAGCATGTTATCATGTGAATCTAATTAAAGATGTAAAAGTTGCGTTATTGGAGGACTGCTTTGGTTACTTTGTTATATTTGTAATATGAGTCAAATGGAAAGTGAAACCGCATTACTGAAAAGACTCAGAGCATTCGGAAAGTTTAGAAATAACAGTTTCAAAACCTCATATATGGACATATACTATTGGATAATCATCAAATAATTGAAATTAGGTAAACACATATTTAGAGGGTTTGTAGTCTGTTGGAGAATTCACAAAATGCAATGTATTCTTATCAACAGGAAATATAAACTTCCTTTATCATCATTCTGGGTGAGGCAGTTTTGAGAGCAAATTTCTTTTGCCTACCTGGTCAAAATCATAGAATAAAGCTGAGTATACAGCTGAAGTCCCGCCCCTCGGTTTGACTGACAGCATGGATCTCGAGACAACGGGGTGGCCAGTCACGCTCTCGCCATGCAAATGAGGCTGGCCCGGGCCGGGCGGGTGCCCATGTGGACCAGCACCATGCCTTGTTGTTCTGGACGCTGATTGGCTCTGTGCTGCCTCATCGGACTTCACGCGCTGCGGGCTCGTGGTCTTCTCCAAAGCCAGGAACAGGATCAGACTGGACTGCTGCTGTGGTGCAGAACTCGGTGACCTGATTTTACATTTAAGTGCAATTTTGAGATATGTTTGAGAAGAAATGGCTATGCGTTTATGCTGGGATTGCGTAGAATCTTAGACATGTGGCATGGATTACGTTGTGTCTTGTACAAAACATAGGCTTATGAGTCTGAAGCCATTAATGTACGCGTCATGATGACACGGAAAGAAATATTTATACAGTAGACGTAACCTATAAATCATGACTTTATAACAACCTCTTGTTCTGTCTGCCGAGTGATCAGTAACACATAAGGAACTGTTCTTTAGAGACGGTCACTGATTTGACTCTTCTACACGGTCAAATGCTAAAACGCATCCCATCAATTGTGTTTCCGGCGCAGATTGAGGGGAGGGTGTAGTCGCCGTGTTTTGGCGCAGACCGTAGTAACGGGGCGGAGCGGCAGTGCAAGGGGCGGAACTTAGGAGAACACGACTCGCCTTGTTGTGTGTATTCCCGTGCTCGCATCGCCATCTTGTTGCAATCCTATTTTTACGTATGCAAGGATCTACCTTTCGTTCTGCTCTGTTCAAAACCACTCGTGTTTTTTTAAAAGACACGAGACGCTCAGGTGCGAGGGACTAATTGGCGCTTCCTCGCGGACACCACCCAGCCTCGCTCTTTTTCCGCCTCTGTCCCAGGCACCGGGTCGCCGTGCTGAGCATTTACGCGCAATGAGCATCGACACACTTTTGGAGGCGGCCAGGTTCCTGGAATGGCAAGCCCAGCAACAACAGACCACACGTGGTGAGTGGAGTCTGCAGTGCCCCATTTTCACCCTATTTCACCCTATTGCCTATTAACTGTCTCTGTGCGCACGGAACGAGCTGAACAGACTGGGGGCACACGCCTGGATAAGTTAGAGCGGTTTAATGTAATACTTAATGCCGGGTTTTAGCTTGTGTTTGTAAAGAAATGGAGTTGGCTATTTGTGAAACAAGACTTTACGCGCTCTTGATGTGTGTAAAGACAATTGCAACACTCCAGTGAGTCACCGCGCGCGTGTTTGTGTGGCTGAGGAGTTCCTGTCAGCGCTCTGCTCCTTTTATGTGCACTATCTTTGTTGTGCAGCAGCGCTGGTCCCAGGGGCGCAAAGTAGTGCAGGGACGGTGTGACACAGAATCAATGCAGATAAAGACAGATTCAGAGGGGCAAAAAAGTCTATAAGCAAATCTCAAAACAACTTGATGCGCAACAGAGTGTATGATTATGCGTTTCAAAATTTCTTAAAAAGTCTTATGTAACTTACCTAATATTGGTTTAATGTAAAATGAAAGCCCGTTTGAACCACTTATCCCTAGACCATTGTAACTCGTGTGAAGTCTGCACATTTATCAAAAAACACTGAATGCGTTGGACTATTGATTTTATAGGCTAGAAACATTTGTGCGCTTTTTGAAGCCGTGTAGTTTGGGTTTGGCCCAGTTTTGCGCGTCGACTCTCGGCAGGGCGGTGGCGAGCGGAGGCTGCTCTTTACATAATGCCCTGACATTGCTCAGAAAGATATCTTATGACACACACTGGGGCGGGACCTCGCGCACACTTCACGAACCGCTCATAGTGTGTGTGTGTGTGTCTGTGTGCGCGCGCACACATAGGTTTTGTCAAATGTCCGACTGTCTTATAATTAAGTCAGGCCCATGCAGTGCTAAAGATGATTATGATTGGTATCTGCGCTATGTGATGAGAAAGACAGAAGAGGGGGCTGCTTTTTGTGTTTGTGCCCTTTGATGACGTGTCAGACACTTTACCCCTCCCCCCTGCATACCGCGTGCTATGGCCCGCCCACAGCACCACGTGCACTCGGCCTCACCCCTCCCCTCCGCATCACCCACCCCACACACTCACAAAGATCACGGCAGTCTCCTCCCTGCGTCTCCCATTGAGCGCGCTGATGGTGGCGGGCCAGGCTCAGAGAAAGGGGGGTAAGTAGGCCAGCCTGCCCCCTCCTCTCAATGCTGGAGTTATGTAATACTTACGTTGCGTGAGGATGGCAATCTGGAGCATGGATGTGCGCTGTATGAGCCCGGAAACCCAATTGGACTCACTACTGGGTCAGGAGGCTCAGATGCGCAATGTAACAGTCTCTGTTCTGACATTGTGTTGTTAGGGTTTATTCCCAGGCAGTTTCAAAGTCATACAGACTTCAATAATTAGATCAAACTTGATTGGTACATTTTTGCAATAAAAGACAATGCTATTCATTTCTTTGATGCATACAGGCAGTCATTTTGGTAATATTCTCTTAAAATACAACTGTATGCGCTTTAAAGTAGTTTTGCTTTCAAATCTGAATTGATTTTGTCTCTAAGATTGACAATCTGTCTCTAGTTTGATGAAGTCACTATGAATGGCGGAAATAAAACTTAAATTATTGTTTCCACTGTGGGTGTGGACAGTATTCAAAGAGGACATAGGTGCAATGATGTCATACAAGTACTTCTAAAGACCACAGTTGTTACCTAACACTGTAGCATGTGGCAAGTGTGTGTGTATAATGCACCAGTATGGGGACTGCAGTGTGTCAAAGCGGCTCTGAGGAATCCCTGGGATCTTCTGCCTGTAATGTCGCTGTTTCCATGGTAACGAGGACTTTCCACATGCCTTGGATCCTCTGCTACCGGACCAGGCTTGTGTATGTGTGTGAGGGTTGGCGTGGGAACATACAGCCTCTTCTTCCATTTTTGGTGCTTTTTGTGCTACCGTGATATTACATTGGGCATTCATGATAAAAATGAAAATCAGATATTATTTTTTAAATCTATCAGAAATTAAATGTGCCTTTAATGTGCCAATACATGTTCAGGATCTAGTGTTACACAAACAGTAGATAGACTGTATAATTTAACAGAGAATTAAACAAAGAAATATTTACAGGTTTGTTTTTATCAACTCTTTGTACCATTATACTAGTGCTTATGTTCAGTTTTGCATATTTTCAAAACAATGATTTAAATGATATGTTTCAAACAATATAACGCCCACATCGTGTACATGTATAGACTGTTCCTTTTTTGGCTTATTCCGTGTTACTGTTATTCATCTGTTGTCATGGTGCCCACTCGCCAGAACCCACCTGCTCCTCAGACCTCTTCTCCTGTTGGTCCGGAGGCGCTGTCGTATCGCCCAGGGGTGCAATGCCTTTTTACCTCTGCAGTCCAATCATTAGGCGCAGATTTTTGTCCTATCAGAGTCAGACAGTCAGATGTTAACCCCCCTTTGTCTAATCTCCATTACATCATCTATTTCTGTCGGTATGTTTCAGTGAGGATTTTGTACTGTTGCATGCTGTTTTAAAATGTTCAAGAGGACAGAATATTTATCTTATATTTAAAGCAAGATATAAACATGACAAATGATCGCATCAACCACAAAAGAAAAAACACCCCTAAAATCATCATCATTCATCATTTAATCATTCATAATAATATTCAGATGTGTCAGAGGCTGCAGTATAATTTCGTATGCTGTGGTTTACATTAGTAGGTTTTATTGCATTCTCCTGCCAAAAGTACTCCTTGTACTTTCCGCACTTGTCAGTCTGAAGTTAAGGGTGCATTCACACTTGCACATTCACTTACTACATCAAAATTGAGGCTAAACCCAGAATTATACTAGGATTATACCAGGGCTAGCCATACCAAGTCTACTTCAGGATTAGTCTGTGCTTAAACCAGTACAAAAACAGGAAATAGTTTAATCTGACAAGGTAGTTTTTCACATCTCATCACCAGTACAGAATAAATAAACCACATTTTATACAATTGTAAATGTACAGTGGTATGTTTTTTTTTAAATTAACAATATTGTGTGAGAGAAAATTGATTGCTTTGGAAAAAGATGTATGCCATAACAGTGTAATATTTGGTATATTATATTGTTGTTGTGATCTATGTTGTGGTCAGAGATCTATACAGTGATTGGTGGGTGTGACTGAATCTCTGTGGGTCATGCGCAATGAGCACTAATTACTTACATTAATAAGCCTCACCCCTCTTCTTGTCTTGTCAGAATTAATCATTACTAGATTTTTATATCAGCTCCAGTTTTCTGCCCAGCTACAGGGCACTTTCACTTTTATTTTCTGCCTACACAATCGCCCACTTACCCGGAGACAAGTAGTGCATTCCCCTACTGTTGCACAATGTAATTTTGTACTTTGGTAAAACATTTCACCCACTGTTTATGATGGAATTGGTGTCCAGAGGCCAAGGGCAGATTGGTAGCCATTTTATATCAGTCTGCCCTAGGACAACTGCAGCTACTAAAGTAGTTGTTAGTTTCTACAGAGAGTACTAGAGAGTAATGCACCAAGTGGTATTTATTCAAGGGCGTTTTCCTGTTAAGGATGCCATTTTGTGGTCATGCAAAAGATTTTTAATTGCTATGACAAGTGTTCATCTCTCTGAAAACCATGGTTCATTTGACAGTATATAAAATTACAGCTTTTTTTCATGTCTTTATCTTACAGAGGATGATCGCAAAGACAAGGGCATCATCAAAAAGGAAGCAGAACCAATTCACATTGACCTGGTGAACTCCTCCTCTCAGCCAATCAGAGCAGGTCACATCACCTGGAGCGATGACAAAAAACGGCAGCACCACTCCCCTGTCTCAGCCGCTCCCCCATCTCTGGCGCCCCCACAGGTGCCAATCGCTGTCATCCCCATGGTACCGGTCGTCACAGCAACCCCCTCCGTCCCACCTTTGCCCCTGACCACGCCCATTCCCACAGCTGCCACGCCTCTCAACACCTCCTCTCCGCCGGCCAAAAAACCCTGTTCTCCTCCCCAGCAGAACCATCGGCATCTCCTCTGTGCAACCCAGGTGAAAGTAGAGCCGACCCCAATTGCATGTGGGAAGCCCGGGCAGCCTCAAGTCCATATCCCATATGCAGCCTCCATGAACGGACCAACATCACAGCACCCCCTAGTGGCGCACCAGATGCAGCCTGCACTACAACAGCAGCGGCCCAATGGTGTGGCCATGGAAGATATGAGGTTGGTCCAAGGGAAGAGGAGGCCAGGAGGGTCAGTCTGTGTCCTGTCTGTGGGACTTGAATGAATTTGAAGTTTATGTATATTTGTTTATATGTTTCTCGTTTCTTTACAGAGCGGGGACGAGAGAGGTGCACAACAAGCTGGAGAAGAATAGGTTTGTGTTTTAATCCTGAATCAACTTTTTATGCATTTAGACCTTTTTACATTATTATTACATTTTAACTAGGACTGACGTGTTATCTCATTTATTAATATAAAGTAATCATTTGGTATAGTTTAATTAGGCTTGGAACTGAAATAGATATTTTACCAAATTACTACCGAATACTGGAAGGCAGCTTCATAGAAGTTGTCCATCTTTCTCTCTGTAGGCGAGCACATTTAAAGGAGTGTTTTGAGACTCTGAAGAAGAACGTCCCAAATGTTGATGAAAAGAAAACGTCCAATCTCAGTGTCCTCCGCAGCGCCCTTCGTTACATTCAGGTAGGACTCCCCATTGTAGAATTCTTCAAACATTATCAGCCTGATCTTGCCCCAGTCTTAGCACTAGTGTTAGCATTACGGAGGGGGCGTGTCCAGGTTGGGCTGTACTTCGCTGCTGCAGGCTGGAGTGGGATGGTACAAGTATATATATGGTGATGGCATCTGAACCAATCTGTGACCAGTGTAGCATTTAAAAGCTCTGCTAGTGTGGGTAATGTGATGTCTACAATGCTTGCCTCACGACCAGGCAGCTAAGAGAGGTGTGGGGAAAACCTATATATGGGTACAATAAAACAGCTCCAGGAATATAGAATTTTGGATGGATTGTGACAGAACTGGCTGAGCTTGTGTACCAAACACTTCCTAACCTTCTCATGCACGTGCACCCCTGTAAGCCCGTGCACGTGCCCACACGTCTACCTTTTTAGTTTCCTCTGCGTTCTTCTATTCGTTTCCCTCCCATCACGCAGCAGACCAGTGTCTATCTCATGCAAACCCCATCCCACAGCAGACCCGCTGACTGCTGTTCTCCCCCTGGTCGCACCCGGTGCCCGCTTCCACTTCTCTCACCTGAGGTACGAGTGTCCACCACTGGTACTGCTGATCGCACACTTTCTCATCTCACGAGTGTCAGCTGCATTTGGTCCCACACAGGTGGATGTCTCGTGGATTATGGAATACGTTTATTGTCATATAAATGTTTCTGATGTTACCACATTGCGCACAGATAAGGATTAAACCATTAATACACGAGGAGGGTGACTGCAAGACCTGCATTTTGCAGGTGACTGATAAGCGCCATGAGTGCACAGAGCAGGATGCGCAGGTGTCTGTTCAGAGCAGTGCTCATGTGCATTATATGTCTCTTTAGCTGCTGTACAAAGCTCTACTGACCACTGCTGCCAAGAGGGCAGCACATACGAGACATGCTGCTCTGCTGTCACAGCCCTGAGCTCAATGAATGTGCGTGCTGATCTGTGTCTGTCTGCCTGGCCGCTCCACGGCTCCGTGCAGTTTTCTACAGTTCTGATGGTAGTTTACCTACATACCTAAAGCGGCACAGTGGGAATAATTTAGTCACGAAGTTAAATGGAGCTGATGACAGAAAGGGTAAAAGAATGTGAGGAAATCTGACATCGCAGCATTAGGACAGCAGACAGGATAAGCAAACACACTTTAGGACATTGCTGTAAACGGCCTCATGAGCAGCTTTTGTATAGGTCCAGATCAAACCAAATTATAGAGCAGCGTTGAGCCGATATAGGAAGCAAGTGAGGGGCCGTGCTCTGCTGTCGGAGGGCATCTGTACGGTGCACAAACATCTTATGAATGTTAAGCACTTATCATCGTAATATATTTCTAAATAAAAGCATGTTGAGCATGTTGTTTCTCAGTGGACTAGTTTTTTTAGTTTATTTTTATGATTCTGGCAATTCAGTGAGCACGCCATACCATGCCTTCAGTCTGCTCCACTCCACCTGATAATTCAGTCATGACACACCTTGTTTAGAGCTCCACGCCCCACACTTGCACTAGTGCTAAGATCAGTGGCAAGATCTGGCCCTATGTCTCTGTAAATGTGACAAGACATACTTTTAGGATACATCTTGTACAATGTGCCTTAGTTTCTGTTTCTCCCAGTGTAATTCTGTACAATATTTTCTTGTTACAATATCTTTATCTGGTTAGGCTCTTCTTGCAATCTGATAAAAATGTCAAATTCAAGAAAGAGACCTAGACATCTCAATGTGTTTAACCAATAGGCCTATATTTAAAAACATCATACTCACCTTTACACAGTGTAGGAAGGAAACGGGAAGACAAAGTGTGGGCTTTTGGTATGATAATAGGATAATATTGCATTTATTTTATAGCCTAAAGTTTGATGCTTTCGGTTCAGTGGGTGTGTTTTTTGTTAAGATTAAGATGCAGTCTAAATATCACTGCAGTATTTTTCATCATGGTGTTGGAGTGAGAAGAAGTGTAAAACAAGTCTGACTGCTAGTTTTTGAATATACCTTGGGGATGGCACAGTGGATAGTATGGTGCACAGTCTGTGTTGTAGTTTATTGTCTTTACGACCTAAAGTAAAACCCAGGTTTAAGTTCAATCAAATGATTTGGCCCAATATCGACTGTAACATGTTAGCTTGAAGTGAGGTATAGCTATAGCTATCATTTACCTTTTTAAAATGAAGTCAGTTTTACCAGGTAAAGTTTACCCCTTTGGGTTTTGTGCTTCTGTTGAAATATGCACAATGAACATTTGAATTTGCACAATGTAAGGCAGGTGTTTACTGCTTGTGCCCATAGAGATATTACTTTCACCTTTTATAGTAAATAATTAAAATAGCTGACAAATTAATTAAACATGTTAATGCAATTTATGTAAATGTATAGGATGTAGCAGGTAGAGCATCTGGTGTGAAACCTTTTCCAATTGAATATGCAAATAGCTGCATATTGCACAGTGGGAAGCAGATGACTTGACACTCCAAAGCCCAGATGGGGATACAGTTTTAGATTCACAAACTCCAGATAGTTGAATAAACATATAGCTCCGAACTGAGAGACTAATAAGACAAATAAGAGACTCATAATGATGGGTGAAAATGAAAGACCGACAGGCATATAGTTTGGTTTTACCCTTCAATAAAGTCTGGACGACACACACAGATCTCTGATCCTGTTCTCACTGATACAGTCCACCTGTAACAGACATGGGCATAACACAAGATGATTCTCCGATGCAACCTTTACTTTGCTTAAACCAAGAATTAATGCACTGAAAAAAAAATTTATATAGAGCCATTTACTGGAATAAGCTGCCTCAAGAAATTATGCTGATACACAATCATCTTGTTTTTAAAAAACATCTAGAAAAATCAGTGTTTGCAAATGAAGAAAAAAACAAAACAAAATGCTACATGGTTAATTCTAACCAAGTGTTGTGGTTAACTTATGTAGTCTGTGCACTTGCAGAGCCTAATGGGGATTCTTAAATAAACAAATAAACAATTCACCTATACATGCACATCTTCACCCATAGCTAAACCAAAATTATTCTTGAAGTTATATATAATTTCTTTAACTACTAACTACCAGGACATTTAAATGTTTCATTTTCCATCTTTGTAAAATTGTATCTAAATCGGTTGCTGTTATTGTAGGCTGTAGCGGCTCTGTACCCTTATTTCACCTGCTGTTTGGTGAGACTTGCTCCCTCCCTCTCCCGGCGCCATGTGCGAACGGAGCACATGGCCAGTTTGTGCCTGATATCGTCACCGCTCTGCTCTGCACCTTTAATTTATGACAGGCGGGGGAGGGGTGAGAGAGGGATAAGGACGGAATCATGTATAGAGAGAGAGAGAGGACTGAGAGAGGAGAGGAAAAGACAGCAAGAAATGGAAAGTGAGTAGAAAGAGAGAGGAGCAATGGAGAGAACTAGAGGAAGAACAGAAAGAGGAGAGAAAGTAAAGAGAGGGGTGGATAGAGGAGTCTAAGGAGACAGAGGAGTACGTTTTGTTCAGACTGCCTTCTCATGAGTTGGAGGCAGTCACTGTGTTGCCGTGGTGATAGTGAGGGGAAAGTGTGTAGGTCATATACATTAAATGCTATTATTTTAATTTGACTCTTGTATTTCCATCGCTTTCTGTAATAGTGGCAGTTTATAGTTGTTGACGGTGCACAAGCCACATTACAATTATTGAGGAAAAAATTCTATCTACTGTGTAGTAGGAATGTTATGTATATATTAGAGCCCGACCGATATGGATTTTGTTGTGGCCGATATGAAACCGATATAATGGGAGTTGGCGCTGCCGATAGCCGATATAATCACCGATATATTTAGTGATGTAAAAATTCACTGTAAATCTTGAATTGATTAAAAAACTTAGGTTTGGCTCTAGTGGATTCTAAATTGGGTTTATTTAGGCAACATTTATTGTTATTTTGACTCTTTACATCATATTTACATACAGTAGATTGGCCTAATGGCATTTTTGCATCACATTCTAGCTACTAGTGATGGGTATTTCAGTTGTTTTTTTTTGGAGAACCGGCTCTTTTGGCTCGGCTCACTAAAGCAGCTGGCTCTTTCGGCTCCCAAGCGACTCTTGAGATTGTTTTGTTGCAAGCAGGACTAAACCAGAACTGAACCAGGACTGAGTGTCGGGACTCGGTTTCTATCTCTTTCCTGCACTCGAGCCCAAGATTAGTCCTGGTTTATTCATTTTATGCTGAACTGCAGCCAAATATGCACTTTTTTTGTATCCTATGCACACGCAGATTTCTGAAAGTTTCGTTTTCAGACGCTGTCAAACTATGGGTCTACATGCAGCATGAAGAGAAAAAGTGAGAAAAAGAGAAAACACGGCTCCCAATAAGAAGCAGGCTCCCGTTGCTTCGATCGCGACCGACCCATAACTCCTAGCTAGTAAACTATCGCTATTAGCCTTTAGCCATAAATGCTGCGCACCGCGGTAGTTAATTATATGTATAAATGTGGATCATTCACACGTCTATTCACAGCTCCTTTACATATCAATGCAGGTCCAGTAACAAATATACGGCCAATGTAGTCACTTTACAATAGACCAATAGAAAACAGCCTGTTTATGTGCGGGAGCTACAGCAGCTAACCGCTAACAAAACCTAAACTAACTTCAAAGTCGATGTATTTCCAACACTCACCGCTCACACAGGCTCCTCCTCACATCACAAGTCTGCACTAATAAATGTCCTTTTAATCCAGACTCAAACCGATTGTCCGAAAAAGAATATAATCTCAATGTTGCGCACGTCTGCGGGTGTAAACAAACACACGCTAGTGAAGTTACGTCACTCTGGTGGTGTGTTCAGGGACAGTACGGACACAGACAAATTACACAGCAGATAAATACTGATGCGGAGCCACATATTAGGACATTTATCTGTCTGTAAATTGGATTAAATGAACATAATGTAGAGAGTCTAAGCTTTATAACGAGGTATAACATGCCCACGTGAAATATCGGCCCATTTCAGCAAGCATATCGGCCGATAGCCGATATGTCTCCAGGTGCCCATATTGGCCGATATATCGGTCGGGCTCTAGTATATATCAATATATCATACTGTTGGAATTGGTCTCCATTCTCATTACAAATGATTAAAAAAACAAAGAAGGCAAACAAAGCAATGCAGGATACTTCTCATTTGTTATGGGAACTGCTCATTTAATTCTCTATTCCTTAAATTCATACCCAAGAAAATTCTGCTCCTGTTCAAATCCTGTAATCAATCTATTAATTCAGAGACAATGATGAGTCAACATCAGCAGACATTAAATACCCTTGAAGAAAAGTAAGTAAAAGAAAGAAAAAGTAAAGTAAAATAGAGAAAAAATGCTTCTAAAAAAAGAGTAATTTAAAAAAAAATGAAATAAGCAGAACAACACCCATTTAATCATTTAATCATTTAATTAGTCATCATTCCACAGCATGTCACTCTCGTGTCTCTTCCAAACCCCCTGTGAGTATAGTTGTCTTATTTTTAAACTTACTCATGGGTTTCCTGCCCCCTCCACCCCCTTCTCTCTTTATATCTTTTCTCTCTCTTGGTCTCTCCCTCTCTCTCCTTTCACTGTTGCTCTATTTCTTTCTATTACTCCCTCTCTCCCCTCCGCTCACGTCTCGTCATGTGTCCTCACCAACACCCGTTACCATAGCAACAGGCGGCAGGTGGCGGTGGTTTTCGTTGAAGCCAGTTTGTTCCTACAAGAAAAGTGTCTTTCTTTATTTTCTGTCAAAATTGTTTAAAGTAATTACAGACGAACATATACACAGTCCTTGTATACACACATTGCTCACCTGTTCCCCGTGGCTTTAAATGTCTAGCTATTATTTTAATATTGGGCCACCATAGAAGGCAAGTTGAACTGTTAGCAGTATATACAGTAAAACGCTTACTTAAGCAAATCACCACCTGCATAAAATTAAGCTTATGGATGAACACTTACCGATGGAAAATGTCTGCATGTTCAACAACATTATGAACCCAAATAATAAAATAAAAGAGATAATTTCCCTTAATATATGTGTGAGCAGGTTATTCAGTCATGCTTTTCTTTATTGATTACACAGTTTTTGGATGTTTTAAATATATTGTTTTGTTATTGATTTTCAGGATGCGTTAAGGATGTATAGATTTATTAAGTTTGGCATTTGGGAAAAGCATAGAGTGTAAGTGAACATGGGGTATGTGAAAGGTCCAATCACTCAGTGTATTTAATTACTTCCACTGTTTTAGCCAATCGGGACGCTCCATAAGATTATACTCTGAATCCTTTTGGATGTGGTCTCCAGGGTGACTGTTTCCTTGGTGATGATGGGATGCAGCCAGGGCATGTGAAGTGTGGCAATGATGGTGACATGTTTTCATGTGGGATATAGGCAAGGCAAATTTATCTGTATAGCACAATTCGTACACAAAGTAATTTAAAGTGCTTTACAGATTAAGCAAGACATTAAAATCACAATATAAAAATAAATAAATAATCATCATCAAATTACCATTTAAAGAGAACAGTGCTGAATAAAAACTTTTCACTCATATCCACTATGGGTGTGCAAAAATATCGGAATATCGATATATCGTATCGTTTAATGTGATGATACAGTATCAATATCGTGGGCTACTGTATCGATATATCACCAAGAGTATTTTTAGGTGTGTTTTACTAAATTATTTTGTTACAGAGCTACAGTTTTGTTGCTTGTGGAGTGAAAAGAAACTCATTTATGCAACACATTTGATATTTTTACTGTTTTGATGATTAAAATGTTTGTGTTTCATATGAACTTTGCACAAGAAGTGGTTTAACAAAGACTTTTAGTATCACAGCCACAATTTAGCCTTTATTTTTTATTGAACTGTATCGAGTCAATTTGAAATATATCATATCAAATCCAAAGTGCACTGTATCGAGGTATGTATCGTATCGTGGCCTGTGTATCGAGGTATGTATCGTATCGGCAACTTCTTACTGATACCCAGCCCTAATATCCACAGATAAACAGAACTGTTTTGAGCCTGGATTTTAACATAGTCAGAGCAGAAGACTCTGGGTGCGAGCAGGGGACTGATCCCTGAGGTTTACAGAGTGCGAGATGGTTCATATGGCACTAACATATCAGAGATGTACTTTAGTGCTCGGCCATGGAGAGACTTGTACACAAGCAGAGCCGCTTTAAAGTCTATTCTCTGAGCCACAGAAGTCAGTGCAGAGACCTGAGCACAGGACTTATGTGCTCGTACTTCCTGGTTTCAGTCAGAACCCAAGCTGCAGCGTTCTGGATGTACTGCAGCTGTCTTACAGTGAGCAGGTCGTTACAGTAGTCTAACCTACTGGAGACAAATGCATGGAGAAATCTCTCCAAGGCTGCTTTAGATAGGATAGCTTTGATTTTTGCAAAGAAAAAGCTGCAGATGTTATTGACTTGTTGTGGCTTTTAAACTTCAGGTTGCAGTTAATTATTACTCCTGGATTTCTAACCTGATTTTTTTCTGTGGGTCATGCATTTAAATATCTAGTGTTCTTACAACTTAAGGTTCAAATATGTATGATAATTATTATACATATATACATTTACATATACAGATTATTTAACAATTTACACAAAAGTGGTAGAATAACTTGTGTGCTTAAATATGTTTGTACCAGATGAAGTCCTAACATGCCCTGAACTGCAGCCACTGTCCCCATTTTACCCTCTCTGCTCTACATTGAGGGGGCACGTACTATTAGTGTATCAAATGATTACATTGGGTATTTTCAGGTCAAGCAACTTGTAAAACGGGATCTAGACTGAATGACTATACATCTGCATACCTGTTTATACATAAAGACACTAAAAAGTTTACACATACTTTTATAATGCAGTGTAATAGTATTAGTACAGTTCTTACAGGATCTATTTAAATTATCTTATGCCACTCAACCAAAACTACGTAGGTAAAAGCAAAAGACTGTGTGACCTGTGTTTTGGAGGTGATCCTTGTATTTGCGTTGAGCTGGTTCAGGTTCAGAGGGCAGCGAGGTTTTTGTGGTGCGGAGACTGGCCTCGCGTGTGCAGCCGTCACGTGCAGCTCTGACTGTAAACAGCTTTGCTCAGTGAAGGGAGCGTCCGGTAGTAGGATCATGTGCCCCACATGCTCAAATTTAGCACTAGATCCTGTTGTCTGGCTGGATTTTGTCAGGGCATACAAATTCAAAGTCTGTTTTTAATTTGTTAGATGTGCAAAGTATAGGGAAGAAAATCAAGTTTGGTTTTATTTAAATAATACACAAAATCACTGTCTTCTCTGTCTCTATTAAAAAGGTTAATATGATGTTTTTAGCATTCTATACTACCGGTATTTGGAATATACCAACTTAATACTTGTGAAAGTGATTTTAAATGGATCTACATACTTAAATGGTTATAATTAAATTTAAGCATATGAAAGAAAAATGCAGGAGATTCTCAGATTTTTCACAATTGGATGTGCTTTTTGTGTCCTTTATCCCAATTTTGACATCAAGTTTAACAAGGTTTCTGCCCACATCTGGAGTAATTCTCCACCTGTAAGCCCCCACCCCCTTCCTCTGTGTTCAGTCCTGCTGTAATCTGTGTTAATATTCTTATCCTGTCGTGTGTACGTCAGATGACCTGGACTCAAACTGGGTCACTCAGAGTTGGCGTCGGGAAATCTGTGCCGCAACTGATGGTCAACTTCCTCCAATTCACGTTACCTCAGTATTGTTTGGTTCAACAGGCCCAGACGAAAAGACTATTTGAACCTGCAAATACCTTTTCAAATATCTATAATAGACATAGTACAAACACAGGTCCAAAGCCAGGTATAAAGCCCCAATTTTATTATGCAGTCATTAATCTAAGTCTATTTTAGGAAAAGGCAAGCTCTAAAATGGAACTAAACCAGATTCAAATCAACACTAGGACTAAACCAGGACTAGACCTAGAGAAAACAGGACCCAACTGTCAACCACATGTACCTCTTTTTGAGCCATAACATTTTCAGTTTCTGTATTCACAAGTCTGGCTAATCTATCACTCCATAGGCAAGTTGGACCTGGGAAATAACATGTTGTTAAATGTTGATTCATAGGTGACTGTGAGGTTAGTAATCCGCTGATATCAGCTGTGACTGTGTGAATGTTTCGTACGAGTCTGACCCCAAAAACACAGGCTGTGTTCCCAGGAAGGGGCAGGGCGACAGCCTTTTAGACCTGCTTACATTTGCATGAATTAAAGCTGCTCCGGAAACCAAAAGTGGACAACTCTATGTGTACCTCTATTGTGCAGAGTGGAGGCATGGGGGGGAGTGTAGTGGTGCTGCTTTTGCAGTGGCAGTAAAGTAGTTCAATACATTTTACTATACAGTATAATTTTGTCATTTTTATTGTGACGACAGTTATTGCTCAAATCAGTTACAAACGTATCACCCTTTTTTATATAGAATTGAACCGTACACATCTTACAAAAATATGTAGGTCAGTAACTGAATTATTATTATTATTTTGTTTGTTTATTTTTAATTTTATTTTTGGTGACAGTTAATGGTAACACAGGATTGGAGTATTTTTTCCAAACCACAGGTATTTCTATATTTTCTTCTATTTCTAGGTTGTGTCACCCCCTGGTATCATTCTAAACTGTTGTCTTGACGGGCCAGCACCCTTCAAAGGACAGAATATAGACCTATAGATGGGCATATTTTACCCTACATCTGAAACTATGGCATCTAATTGTTGAATGTTGTGAGCCTTTTTAGACCAATCATCTTATTTTTAGTCACTCTTTTTACAGACCCTGAAGCGTAAAGAGAAGGAGTATGAACATGAAATGGAGCGGTTGGCGCGGGAGAAGATCGCGACTCAACAGCGTTTGGCCGAGCTGAAGAACGAGCTGAGCCAGAACATGGATGTGGTGGAGATCGACAGAGTGCTGCGTCAGACCATCCAACCTGAGGATGACCAGGCCTCCACCTCTACTGCCTCAGGTAAAACACACAACTGGAAAAGTCGTATTTAAAAGTTACAATTTAAAAGGGCAGTATAACTTTTCTGGCGGACAATCTGCGAACTACTTATTTCTTTGAAGATGTTATTGCTTTGCCTGGAATGTTCCATAGAATGTTATTTAAGAAATATATTTCCATAGTGACGAGCATGTGATGCCACCAGACAATTTTACAAATACTGTATGTACAGAGGTGACCATGTTGACCGATATTTTCAACATATATTAGTTACTTAAGTTACTTTGTACATCTTTACGAGTTCAGATTCTCCAGTTTCATGTGCATTGTGCATGTGGAAATGCAATAGTATTGACAAATATAAAAAATAAAAAAAAATAAAAAAAGTTTAATGTTTTTGACTGTTCATGTTCATTAAAGAGAAGACATATTTTATCGCATGCATTTTTATTAAACATAACTTGAAACAAAATAACAAAGGTCTCTCTAAACCAGAAAATGGATCAAAATAATGTGATTGAAAACAGAACTAACCTATTCCAAGGCAAAACATTAAAACACTAAGCCAAGACATAACCAGGGTTAGATTAGGGATAAACCAGGACTAGCTAAATCTCTTAATGGAAATAACACATTCCACGGTAAAGTCTTTAAGGCACTTTTTAAGAAGAGCCTTTTTATGTGTTAGCATGTTCTCCCAGTGTGTTATATGTGTTACTTTTCCTTTTTCATTACTTTTATGTCTGAAGCCAGAACTGTTCCTTGAAAGTTATTCTGAATTGTAAAAATCAAGTAAATGTAATTGGAAAAAAAATGCAAACAAAAAGAAGAAAATATAACATATCTGGCATATTTTCTCTACAGTTATGGGCTTGTGTTTTTTGTTTTGTGTTTTCAGAAGGAGAGGAGAACTTTGAACAGGACATTGATGATGACATCCCGCCTCCTCCCGCCACCACCTCTGCTCTTCTCATCAAACCGGCACCACCTCAGGTCCTCCAGGCCCAGCCACTGCTCGCCCCTCACCTCTCCATCCAGCACGCCGCTCTGCCTCTGTCCGGGGTCCTGACCACGCCCACGGTCTCCTCCGCCCCGACCCCGCAGCCCATCGCCCCCGCCCCTGCCCCCTCCGCGCCTGTGGTCACTGCGGCTCACCCCATCCAAAACTCCGCCGTGCAGGTCCAACCCACCGTCATCGCACACGCCGCTGTCTCCCACGCGTCCGTCATCCAGGCCGTCAATCACGCCCTGCCGACCAACCACAAACATCTGACTCACATCGCGCCGTCGCCAGGTCCTGCCCCAGCCGCTACCCCTCAAGCAATCACAGCCGCCCCCGCTACCCACCAGCCAATTACGGCGCAGCAAATCGGACACATCACAGTGCACCCCGTGGCTCACATAGGGGCGCAGCTCCAGTCCCATCTCCCGACTCTGTACCCGCAGGGAGTGGCTGTTTCCCAGGGGGCGATGGTGGGACACATCACCCACACGTTCACCCACCACACCCTGCCCCACGTCCAGGCCAATCCCCAGGCTAACGCTAGTGCTCAGGTGAACGGCGCTACAGTGGTTAGTCAGGGGAACCAGTCTTTAGGAAAGCCCACAGCAGTTTTGGCACCGCATCCTCAGCTAGTGGGACAAGCAGCTGTTCTGAACCCGGTCACTATGGTTACTGTGCCCACCTTCCCTGTCAGCACTCTCAAACTTGCCTAAATGAACAGAAAACTGACAGTGTTTTTCACACTCCACAGAGACCTTTATCAAGAAATGGGACAAACAGCAAATATTTCATTATATTTAAACAGTGGCAGAAAACCTCAAGCCATTGTTTATGAAAATATACAGGTGCATCTAAAAATTACACTATTATGGAAAAGTGAGTATTTCTGTAGTTTAATTTCAGAAAAGGCACATATTCAGTGTGCACGTAATTCATAATGATACAGGTAAATATTACGGACACCCTTCCTGTCCCCTTTATTTGAAGTAAACACAAATAATTCAAGCATTTATTTAGATTATATAGTAGAATATGTAACCAAACTGTGCTAAATTTGGGACTTTCTTTTAAGCTCTTGCCTTTCATTATCATTACAATGCACAGGGTATTTTATTTTACTAAATCATACACTTACATTTAATCTTTACACTTTGAATTGAATTAATGAACCGCATTTTCTTTTCCACAAATAATTTTTAGATGCACTTTTATGTTTTATTTTTGTTGATTTTTTTGTTTCCTTTCCTAAAGCACTAACACTATAAGCTCCCTTCTCACTCAGGCATCAAGGATGTACCGTATTTCCTCCACTCACTGAAGGCAAAGAAATGAAAAATAGTAATATTCATGGGACACGTTTTTGTGCAAAATCTTGACACAAATGTTTCAATGAGCAGTGAATTAGGTCAGTGGTGCCACAACAACAAACTGATTCATAATGGTAACCAAAATGTTCATGTTTGTCTGTGTTAAAGTCATGACTAAATAAGCATTGTCAGTGGTATGGTATGTGAAAACCAAAGTGTTAATTATCACTTAATAGCCTGAAAACCCCAAAACCACCACCAAAACAAGGAATAAATATACTTTTTGGAAAAATGACAAGCCCATTGATCTGAATCTAAGAAAATTATAGGCTTAATATCTTTATAATTGGCATAACATTGAAGCCACTACATTCTGGACATTTGACGAGCTGCTTTCTGTTTACTTAACACGTGGTGTACAAGGTGTTACAAGGAAGTTACGTTTTGTAAAACATGGACTTTGTACTGTTATTTAACCAAAACCTATTGACTGTTGTGTATAGGTTACAATGTTCAAAGCTGACTTATGGTTTTTCGGCAAGAGGAAATGCACACCCCTGTACTAATTGATAATGAAACTACTATAAAACCTGAATAGTTTTAAAATGATTTTGATCATAAGTTGTAAGGGTTGCATGGTATAAAAACAATTTGACTTGAAAATGTTAATATCATTAAAACAGTTCTTACTATAATGATTTCCTAAAAAGATCATTGCATCTTAGTAACTTAAGGGCAAGACCAGACAAGAACAAAAATTGGACCTAATTGTTTCATGTCTATTTGAAAAGAGCAAACAACCCTCCATTATGTACTTGGTTACCTGGAAACAGAATGACATCCAACCACAGGCTTATTCCAACTTAACTTATAATAAATCAGACTTATTGTTCTTCTCTTGAACTTGATAGTATTTAAAATGTAGTACTGTATAATTATATGTGTGAAGTGGCTTAAAACTGCTCTTTAAACATTCAGTGACAGGTTTCCTTTTGTCATTGGGTCAGGTTACCCCACTAAACATGTCTCACTTACCCTGTTCATTTTGATGCAACTGCTCCCCCTGCTGCTTCACCCTGGTATCATGCAGCTTTTACTGGCTAAGCGAGGTCTGGACAGTGTCTTTTCCAATTATAGTCTTTGCAAAAACAGACATTGAAACAGTGGTTGGTTTGATTATTCAATGTGGTCATCTCTAAGGACAATAGTTTGCTTGGTGTAAATTGGTATAACTGATTCTGCTAAATTATCTACAATCTTACAGATGCTCCTTAAACATGTATCACTATTGTTCCTCTGCATTTAATGGAACAAAAATAAACATGGCATGTTAGCCTGTATAATTGATTGAGATATTAACTCAGCAACATCTTGAGCCAAACTATTAGCTTTTTTGTAACATATTTATGCCAACCCTGCCACTATCTGGAAAAGAAATATCAAAATTTCAAAATTCACAAATTAGACAAGTATTTCAATTTGAGATTGTAACTTTTCCACAATTTTTGAGCCCAAGTAAAATTTATAATTAAAAAAGATATATTTAAGAATTTGGAAAACGTGTTGTGATACCATTCTTTGTTGGTGTGATTGTCAAGCTTACATCACTGTCTATTGAGTCCAAGTTATTTACTCCTATTATTTCTGTGTAATGTTATTCTGCTCCCCTGTATGTTATGTACCTATATGTAACTGTATCCTATATGCTTTATATTATGTAGTATATTAATCCTACTGTAGTGTAGCATGGCTGTACTTTTGGGTTAGTTTTGCCCCTTTGTGCATGACGCGTGTGTGAAAAAGAGAGAAAGTGTAGCAAGTAGAATATTTTTTATACAAAGGTGATACTGGTATGAGCCTATCGTGTGTGCCTACAACTACAACTCAGATTTCCTCAACACTGTGACAACAAGCTTCTGGCAAAACACGCTCTCTAAATGTGCAAAATGAAAGAGCCGGAGATTACTGTTGAAAATGTTTGTAAATGTTTTTTTTTTTTTTTTTAGTGCACAGTGTAACTTTTCTGGTGAGGGGGTCCACCATCTGTTTATCTCTTTGGACATGTAATTGCCTAAATCTAGAATGTTCCACAGAATAGCAGTAAACTTGTGTCTTGCTTGTAACCACTACAAGTACTTAAATTGCTAAAGAAAACCACTAAGAAACTTTCTTCTTAGTGTAAGCTGGGTTGTCTCTCCACACTTGCTTGTAAAGATTGATAGGTTTAATGCCATACTGTGCAATATTCCAGTCAAACCAATAACATTTCCATTAAGACAAGTAAGTGGTGAACTCTTGAACAAAACGTTACATAATGCCCTTTTGAGTTGTTGCTTTTGTGAGTTTGACTGGGCAGAAATTATAAAAAAAAAAAAAAAAAAATCTAAAAAACAAAACAAAACCTCTTGATGACCCCAATATTCAAATTGCGTTTTGTAAAATTTGTATGTATGGAAATTTTGTACATTTGTGATCGTATGCACGTTTTTGGCATATGAGTGTATGTATCTAAAGGTAAACACAAAAATGCTTGTTCCTTTTAATATGTTTTGCATGTAGAAGGCTGTTGAGTTTTGACTTTTTGTTTGTACGTTTCTTTTTGGGACCATGTATAAAACTGTACAACGTGGGCAGGATCTAGGACCTCATGCAACATTGATATTATATATGAATATAACGTGTTTTCCCTATGGAGAAAGTTTAAGTTATATATCGCCTGTACACTTTGGGCTGCCTTTTAGATCTAACTGTCCACTGTTTAAGATGACATGATGATGAATACAGATATTAATGAAGAATTATGCTGATGGATTAATAAAGATTCTTATTACATTTACAGCACAACTGCATCTTCATTTTAATTGTGTATTGAGAATGTACAAATAGTAAGAAAAGATAATACAAAACAACACAACACAAAGTTGTAATAAAACAAAGTATTTTAAGTAACAGCAAGTAACATTTATCAGCTCATACAAAAAATTCAAAGTCATTACATATTCTGTCCACTAGATGGGGTAACAACTCTATTAAGATTGTGTTTCACCCAAGTGACTTCTAAGAATTCAAATCCAATTGATTTAATCAGTGACAGGTTAATTTGGGCACTAATTTTGTGTTCATTGAAGTAGGTTATACACAAAACTAGGACATAAACTTTTACTATTTTTTTATTTTAGGTGAAAGTTATTTTATAGTAGCAATAGTATGTATAGCTTTTCTGTCTCTCTTTTTATGCATTTTAAGTCATTATTTAGATTTTTGGATGGGAATATTCAACTATTCTCAGTGTACTAACTTTTGATTTAATGTGTAATTTTCTCCTCATCTCCAGGTACAAAATGAATGTTAAAATATTACTGAATGTTAAAATGTGATGGTCTGTGAGACTACATGGTGTTTTCAGCATCCTCCCATTTGGCTGTTCTGCATCTGCTCTTGGATCCTCTCTAGTACCTCCTGCATCCTCCTCAGCTTGAGTTACACACATGGACAAATAAATAAACATGGGTTATAATATAATCAGGGTAGTGTTGGTTAGTACATTACTAAAACAGTGAACATACCTCTTCATCTTTCTCAAATATCAGTCGCTCTGTTTCAGGGTCAATGCGTAAAGGTAAAGGGATCTCAGCCAAGCTCCCCTCACGATGCTTCTCCCGTAAACTAACCAGAAATTAAGCATGTTAGAAAATGAAAAGTGCTTACAGAAGATGTTGCTGTTAAAAATAGATTAAGTTTTTTCCTGGTAAAACACTTAATGTAATAAGTTTGTTAGACGCAAAACATTTTAGCCATACATTGGGTGTTTTAATCTTTCAAAAACAGCTAAAAAATAAAGACATGTTTAACTAAGATTATTGTAACAGAGAGAGTGTGTTTTGGTTCAGATCTCACAAACATAAAAAAAGAGAAAAATAAGTCATCTGAAAAAAGGGAAACATTGCCTACTTGCCTTAATAGATTACTTCATATACTTGCTTAATATGTTCACTTAAGTTGGAATAGTGGAAGTACAAATTCAGAAGTAGACTTTCTTCAGTTGCATATAACATACCGGTACATACTCTGTTTCTTTCCCCTTCTTCACCCAAAACCTCAAGTATGTGCCCTGTGCCCTTGTACCTGCGCTGCCTCTCCTGCACCACCATACGCGTCATGCTCTGGATGCACTGGGCCCTGTAGTTCTCGTAGTGGGACTCTCGGGTCACATCCTTCAAGTCCTGCATGTGAGTCCGCACCAACATGTTCCTCAAGAGCAGGAAGTCCGAGTGTGCTGGATTCTCCACTCCAGAGACAAATGAACACACTTCAGTCAGTGTAATACTAAATATATGAAACAATGTCAAATGTACCACAATATTAAGGCTCACCATCACCATCTTGTACTGACCCATCACACACCAGGGTCAATAAAAGTTAGTCCACTCAAATGAATGCAATAAGTAAATCATAATTGGAAAGAAATATCTATTTTCTATTGCTATTGATTGGTGATGGCAGATATATATCACTCAGGTCAGGGCTGAACAAACATTTTTCACAGAGGGCCAAATAGTGAATATTATTCATATTCCACATATTCCAAGAGGGGGACCACAGATTGGTAATTTGTACAGTCATTCGAATTAGTGCATGTAACACACTGTGTGACGTGACACAGCCACTGTACTGTTAATAAGATCTGTATCAAATATATCACTATATAAATACATTCATCACAAAAAATAGTGTCTATAACCACAACCAGGAACAATGTAACCAGAGGCCTGAGGGCCAACAACAATTGGTCTGAAAGCCACATTTGGCCCCGAAGGCCATTGTTTAGACACCCCTGATTTTTTTCTTTATCTTTTAAAACATGGCTTTTATGTACCAATTCCTACTATTACCTTCCTCAGAATATATCAATAAGTACCATGAAATTAATATTGTGATCATTTAAAATTTGGATACCTTCAACCACTCCCCAGGGATAAAGACGCCCTCTGATTCTGCGACCTTTGCTCTCCACTTGAATGTTACTCCCAATAATAGCAAATGGGATGCTGTCCTAAAGACAGAGAAGGGGAGGGGATAGTTAGTCTTAGTTTAAGTCTTTCTGGCTTACTAATACTTTCATTGATACTTTCATGACAGTAACTGCAAGAACATATCAATGACCACCAATATTTCACTATAAATACATGTATAAAATGTATTTATTTATATTATTTATATACACAAGAACATTTACAAACCTTGAGAATTTGGTCATGTCTTTTCAAATCTTCATCTTCATCTGAATCGTACTCTAAAAATTGATAGATGTTAATACCAAACTGCTTGATCTCCTCTCTGATCTGAAATACATGAACAAAAACACATTTTAGATGAAGCAATGATTTGATGTATTGATTTATTTTGCAGGCCAGTTTGTCACCTTCATCTTCTTCTTGTGCCTCTCCGCTGCTGTGAGGCTGTCAGCTTTGGCCAGAATTGGGATAATGTTGACCTTTTCATGTAACGCTTTCATGCATTGGACGTCAATGGGACGAAGCCTGGTAGAAAGAAATGTTCAAATATGACCTTGACCACTGATATTTGTTAATATTTGTCAGCTTGGTCTTTTTGGTCTCATCAGTCAAAGGAGAAATGTCACTGAGTATGGAGTGAATGAATAATGCACTGAAAGGGCTTTCTATGTCTTGAAAGGTGTTATATAAAGCCAATGCATTATTTATATCAAAATATGAACATTTCATGCTGTTATGTTTCGTTTTGTTTATTTATTTTTATTTTTTTACAACCATATGTACCCGTGTCCATAGGGTGAGATGAAGTACAGACAGCAGTGCACTCTGTTATCCTGAATGTTCCTCCGGTTTAGACCACTCTCGTCTCTGAAGTACTGCTCAAACTGCTGGTCAATGTAGTCCTCAAGGTGCTTCCAACTAAAAACACACCATTTTTGATTTTTCATTAAAAGAAAAAAAAGAGGGAGATTTAGACAGAGGAGGGAAATAAGAGGCAGTGGGTAGCTTGTCTCTAAGGAGATGCTATTACCTTTCTGAATTATTGACAGCGTCGCCAAAGCCTGGTGTATCTATGATGGTGAGCCTTAGCTTGATGCCCTTTTCCTCTATACTGACAGTGTGTTTGACAATGTCCACTGTTTGACTGATGCGCTCTGCACACACACACACACACACACACACACACACACACACACACACACACACACACACACACACACAGACAGACACATACACATTTATAAGCAGATTGTGTCAATAATAAATATATATTTCATGATAGATCTGGATGCACTCACCTTCTGCATTAGGGACCTTTCTGTCTTTGTACATATCAGTGAGGAACAAACTGTTGATGAGAGTGGACTTACCCAGTCCAGACTCCCCTATTGACCAAAACAAAGTTTGTTTAAGACTTATTTTGAGGTAAAATATATTTACAATACACTGTAGATTTCCAAATCATGGCTCAGTTCACAGAGCACAGTAAGACAGCAGTCTTTGCTAATTGATAATTGTAGTTTAAATTAAGTTAGAGTGAATTGTGCAAGCCCCTACACAACAGAAGCTGAATTAAGGTTCAGAATAAGTCAAGAGACTGACAAGTGTAAATTTTATGGAACTTTTTTTAAGCTTTTAGGGAGCCTATTACCATCTGACAGGCTGACAAAAACTAGCCTTTTGGCTAAATCAGGTACATTTATATTACTATAATCTTTATTACTGCACACTGTCCCACTGAAAACTAAATAAATTAATTAAATAAAACAATTTTAAAAACAGACAGTTCACAATATGTTTAACTATAGCCCATGTACTTACCAGCCACCATGACGGTGAATGTAAAGCCCTTTTTAACAGTTTTCCTGTGAACCTGGTTCGGAAGAGTGGCAAACCCCACATACTCTTTGTCCTGATCCTGCACAGAGAAAAACTGTTTCTGTAAACACAACTCCCACATGACCAGATGAGACAGGACACTGGGTCTCTGACATGAGATTTTGACATAATAAAAAAAATAAATAGTATGATTCAGTTCACAAGTTTGACCTCACAATTTGTATTTAATTGTGGCACTGCTTTTTGGAACTTCATGTTTCTCAAGAGATGTAACTCACCAGAACTTAACACTTTTTTGGTTCATGTCAAATATAAAAGACGAAAAATAATCACAAGAACATTCTATTCATATATGCTGTATGTAATTTTATCTCATGAGATCTTGTGGCATGAGATCTTGTTAATACTGAAAAAAATGTAACAAAAACTGACCTCTGGTGAGTCGTACGGGTCAAAGCGTCCCCAAGGGCTGCGTGGTCTTGAAGAGGGACTGAGGGGAGAGTCCAGAGACCCATGAGAAACCAGCTGCCTTCTGAATCCAGGACTAAACTCTGCATCTGACCCAGACCTGCTGGACCTGCGTGGGACCACTGGAGACCCAGACAAGCTCAGAGGAGCAGGCCGAACTAAACTGGGGGTTCCAGGCTGACTGGAGAGTCTGCCATTTATGGCCTCTGCCCCATAGTTTATCACTGAGGTGGGGTTTTGTGGAATTGATTGCACATCTTCAGAAAGACCAGATGGAGGCAGGTCTCTCATTGCAAAAGGACATTGGACATCTTCTCGATTTGAAATGGACAGACTCTCCAACTGTGACAGAAAGAAATAATGTACAGGAAGGATCAGTGGTGAGGGATAAGAGTCTAAAGACACCAACAAAAATGGCAAAATCCAGTTTAATCTTGGTTAATCCTGCAACACAAACCTGACATGGGGTAAACCCAGAAAGAATGCACAGTAAATACAACATACATACAGCATAGGCTAAAACTGAAATCATTTATGCCTTGAACATCTATGGGCAGCTAAATGGTTTTCAGATTTATTATACTATTTTCTGTTTCTGAGACTATAAACAGAATAAACAACTCAGAGCAGTGCTTTAAAAGAGTGAAATGCACTGCTCCAAATAGCTGTTAGTTTAATCCTTATGTATCCAATCGCTAATCTTAAATTTAAAGGTTACATATCCTTAGCTTCATATCACAATAGTAATTTTTCAAGATTTTGGGGTAAATAGAAAAAATGTCGATATGATAACTGGGGTACACTTTGCGTGTGTGTGTTTTTTGTTTTTTTTTTCATCTGTAAAATAGTTTTGACTGGCCGAGGCAATGACACCAACAATCGCAGCAGGGCCCATAGAATAGAATGAGACAGAAAATTCTATTTGGCCAAAAATAATTGGTTTAACTAAAGCAAGCATATCTGGACACTACATTAGCCCATGTGCTTTCCTAGTGTTTCCTAGGCTTTTCTTTGTTCTGTGATTAGCTTGTGATCTTATTATCCCTCCCAGACAGCTGCATCTGTTCAGTACACAGACACAGTGTAGCAGTTAAAATGTACTAATGCAAAAGGGTCTATTATTTATGATATTATATATATATATTTTTATAAAATAGTCTACACGATCAACACGCTATATGATAATACATGGTTAGGCCTAATTCAACTAAGTGCCATTTGAAAACTTTCATGAATATGCTGGCCCTATATAGACTATTATTTCAGGTTTTAATGAGCACTAGCCCATGTAATGTAACAGGTCTCCACAATTGTATGACATGATATAGGCTCCTCTGGTGTTTCCGCCATCTGTCAGCTTTATTTACCCATAAGGCTTTGCAGCAGGCTTAACCCAGAGTTCTAATGCTCTAGTGGGGGTGGGAGCTTTACTATCTAAAACAAACACCACGTATTTTCAAGTGTTCACAGCACAAGTTCACATGTGTCCTACCTCCTTTTCTGAAAGAGTTGCAGCTTGTTATAAAGAAAAAGGTAAAGAACATGCATGAAACAATAATTAACACTGGGAAAAATTTAATTCAAACAAAAGTATGTTTGTGGAAATTAGCCTATCCAGTGATACATAGGCTACCAAACAGACAGCGCCAACACATATTGCACATTTTCGTTATTTTAACTTAAAATATCAGGCATATTCAACAGGATCTAACGTCGTGCCTTACCTTTCTTGCTGTTTCTAAAGCGCACTGGAGACGACATATGCTCCATGATGTTTCTCAGAATAAGACTAAGACCAAGCGTAAAAAACGAGATGTCAACAACTTTTAGGACACAAGAAAGCATTAAAAGCAAGGGAAGATATGGAGGACAGAGAGACGGCACTCACTGCACAGGACAGGATACGGAGAGGTCAGTGGAGCAAGTGCGCGTGTTCTGGATCAACCATGGAGGGGTCAACACGGTGCGCATGGATGAACAGGACGAGAGGGCCACGAGGGGGCGCTACTGTCCTGCTATGTACAAGTAAGTCAGTTGTTCCACTGCTACTTAACAGATGAAATGACACACAAAAGTATCACCACCTTCATCACCACTGACTGAAATATTGGGTTAACATTATGTACAGTGATAGTAACATTTTATAATGTTGTTTCCTCATCACAAACATACCTGGAGTTGTGTTTTGTTTCATTCACACATGTTTAACACTCAAACCCTGCAGTTTTAGGTTAAGTCTTTCTCTCAAACTGAAAACACTGGTGATGTCATGTGGTAATACAAGAAGTTTTCCACTGTGTTTTTAAACACCATACACCTTCACTAGAATCATCAATTTCAGCCCCGGAATTGCCAATCTTTATTGAACTAGCTGTCAACTTGAAAACTACAGCTTCATGACATCACAAGATAGAACAGAGCATTTTGAGCTTTGGGGATGTAGACAGACTCATAATAAATGTTACTCAAACATGTGTGAATGAAACAAAACACACTTCCAGGTATGTTTCTGATGAGGTATCATGATTCTAACATAGCTAGAAGACAGGGGTAAGTTCAGGCAACTTTTCTTTGCCTTTTCTTTTTCCGAACACAACTTTGAAGTAACTCAGTAACTTTGTCTCGTATTTTGAGCCACATTCCCTCCGGAACAATTACTCTGTTTATCACAACAGTCTGTCAGGTTCCTCTGAGGCTTACACTGAAAAACAGACTGGACCTCCCCCGGGAGGATCTCAACTACAACTAGTTACTAGTTACATCAACAATACAACATTCAACTTTGACAACAGAATATCAGTACAGCTTTACTTTATTTGCATTTCTATGTTATGTGTAATGTTATGTATTATGTAACTTTTATTGTAATTGCAATAACCTTTTGTATAAATTATATTTCAATAATGATATTTGTAAATTAATGAATGAATGAATAGCAATACAGAGAATCTTATGAATCTAGCAGTGGAGTAAGTGTAATTTTATTTTTACAGTTCAGTCCAGCTTGGACCCATTTCCCAGCTTATGTAGCTAACTGCCAAACAAGTGTAGATTTTCCTCAGTTTGCTGTGGTAATATTTTTTCTTAAATATATGTTCATCATGCAGAGCAGAGCAAGAGTCAGTGCCCATACAGAGCATCAGACCATGGCCAACAAAGGGTATTAGACGTATGTATTTTTTCATTGAGGATTCCACCTTGTTTCTAAGATTTCTCCGGTTTCTCACTGGGGACTGATGTTAGCTGTTACACCTACAGGGAGCAGAATATATTAATGTGGTCACAAAACCTTAATAAGGGAATCCCAGGGGTCTATTAGAATGTGTCCAGAGATTTCACAGGTCTCCTATTGCAGTTAATTCAATAACTGTCAGTTGTCGAAAATGTAAAGCAAATGATCTGTTTATTGTACACTGGAAACGGCACCACACAATCAAAACTTGAATATCCATAGATCTTCACAAACAATTTAACTAATTAAGAACAGCATGGAACCAAATAATATTATATCTTTATCTACCTCTATATCTACCTACCTCCGTGGGTCCTTGGGCAAGACCCTTCATGCTACTGCCCACCTCAAACAATGATGAGAGACAATGAAACTTACAACATGCCGGCTCTGTATGTGTGTGTGAATATGTGTGTGCTTTGGTATACAAAAAATATAGTATAATTTGGCAGCACAGTCATATTATTTACATTTATTATGTTGCTTTAAATTTGTTAATAATAATTATTAGGGATACAGAGATACCAATACTGGTATAGAATATTGGTGCCGATACTGTCAAATTTGCTGGATCAGGTATTGGTCCCATAATGTCATTTAAGCTGATATTCTAGTTGGGCCCTTAATTGGATGTAATAAAACTATTTACAGGGTGATTTTGATCTAGAACAGACATGTCAGACCCAGGCCCAGGGGCCAAATTTGGCCCGCAATCTAATTATATTTGGCCCGCGAGATCATATCAAATATGTATTAGAGCTGCCCCCTGGCTACAGATAGACTATAGAGACATTATTTATTTAAAATGTTGTTATTATTTTATATTGGTGCTTGTTCTGGATTTACTGTTTAAGCAAAATTATTATTAAACATTTATTTTAATAAGAAAAGGTTTAATATTACGTATCTCAAAAGAAGAGAAAACATGCAGATGTTGTTGAAAGTTTTCAATAAATATTTAGTTTGGCCCATGATTTTATCCCAGTTTTAAAATTTTGGCCCTCTGTGAATTTGAGTTTGACACCTCTGGTCTAGAACATCTCATAATGTTTGAACTTTTATTTATATGAAGCTGTTCAGTAGTGATTCGAAGGATAAATAACAGTTACATAACACAACTGGATCCATTTTGTAATAAGATAACTGCGTTTTAAAGAAGTAAGTGCCACTTTCCATCCCTATACTGCTGTCGGTATTGGTAGATATTGATCAATATCGATATTGTAACTAAAAAACTTTCTAACCTTCTCAATACTTTGAGTCATTGTGTCAGGTCTCGATTCCCAGAGTGCAGTGACTGCAACTGAGCTGTATCATCATGAGCACAACACCTCATTAGGAAGGCATTAAGAGACTCCCAGAGAACCTTCACCTGGGAACAGGCTCCTGAGGGCCCCCCACACAAACAACAGCATCACACTCTACTGTTCTGTATACTGTACACACTGAGCTGTACCAGAGAGGGCTCACTCAACTCAAGGCTCCAAGGCCACAAAAATAGGAACAAAAATGTGAGTTTGTGAAAAATGAAACTATTACATAATAGACATTTCAGTGATCAAGTCGCCTTCATTGAACTCAGTTAATACACTGCAGGTGCTCAGTGATATTAGTGCTGTTGTCCAAGGGAGCTGTGGCTGCAGTAGAAGCTTACCACCACTGAATTTGAGCACATGCAAAAAAGCACAAATATGCATTCTATTCTAAATATGGATATTTAAATAATTTAAATCACTATCATTTTTGTAAAAACATAAGTGAATATTAAACAACAGGAAGTCATATGCTGTTTTACCACATGATAAACCGTGAAGCACAGTGTGATTATTATCTTTTATCATTTGTTAATTTAATGAGATAGGGACATTGCACAATATACTTTGATCTTAACTGGAGAGCTACATTATACCAGATTGTAGTACCAGTGCTAATTTCCACCTGCAGTCCCTGGGCAGGCTGATGTTCATAAAATAAATCAATCCAAGCAATTGTATAATTAGTGATCTAAAATATCATTGTTGGAGATTACATCATTATGACATTATTAATCCACTTCCCAACAGACCTACAACAAGTGAATTAATTAATTATATTCCATCAATATGCTAGAGTTTAGGGCTTTCATAGAAATGTTTGCCCCGCCCTTTTTGCTAACCCTCATACATGTAATAATGAATAATAATGACCAAAGCTCTCATTTCTTTGGGTGACACAGGTTTGTTAATTAATTATTTGCGTAAAAAGGCTCTTGTCCATTGGAGCAGTCTGAGCCTCTCCTCCTTCAGTCCCTCAAACTAACAGCCATATTGTACATTTTATGTGCAATATTTAAAATGGACTCATTTAACTCTGCTTTAGGCAAAAACATCACATTTGTGCATCCCCCTTTTTTCATTATACGCGGTTTCATCGGCATCCCGAATGTAAAATATTACTACGTATTTATGTTTTTTGTGTTTGTCTTCTCTGTTATAGGAAATGTACTTGTGATGCTTCTCATACTTATGGACCATAACCTACAGACTCCAAAATACATTGCAGTTTTTAGCCTTGCCTTTACCGACTTCTTCCATATTTGTGCGCTGGTCCCAAAACTTCTGGACATATTTTTGTTCAACCACAATCATATCTCTTACAATGATTGCATGGCGTTTTTGTTTTTCTGTTACGCCTGCCTTTCCATGGAGGCTTTGAACTTAATGGCTCTTTCCTATGACAGACTTATTGCGATAATCTCACCCCTGCACTATCCGATCAGAGTTACTCACAAATTTATGTCCGCATTAATTGCATTTTTCTGGATTTTTGTTGTACTAGTTGTGCTCATTGCAATCGGTCTCCTGACAAGACTTTCATTTTGTGATTCTTTGGTTATAAAAAGTTATTTTTGTGATCATGGCCAGCTGCACAAATCTTGCTTGCAATGACACATTTCCGAATCAGATCATAGGCTCTTTGCTGCCTGTTCTTATCCTGTGGTTTCCTCTTGTATTCATTTTGGTAAGTTATATACGAATCAGCTTTGCACTGGCCAAGATAGCCACAATGCAAGAACGGGTAAAAGCATTTAAAACTTGCTCTGCACATCTTTCCTTAGTGGCGATATATTTTGTACCTATTTTGACCACTTTTACTATAGGTTCAGCTATAGATCCAAATGTACGCATTATAAACCTTTCATTAACATCAGTGGTGCCTCCTCTGTTGAATCCTGTCATATATGTGCTGCAGACACAAGAAATCAAAGACTCTGTGAAGAGACTTATCAAAATAAAAAGACAACACGTAATTACTTTGAAGGTAGTGAAGTAAAGAAACTACATCAAATAATTCATTAACTGAAGAATATTAGTCTATGAAGTGCATATTTTGCATTCAAAGCCTTGTTTTTTAATAATCTGTGCTGTTGATATTTCATGCTCCTGTTTGAATAGTTACATATGAATAGCCCATGGTGCCCTATATGAAATGTGATTATAATTATATAAATCATCGAACAGCCTGACCTCATTTGTTATTTAAATCATAAGCAATTGTTAATGTTAAAGGTCTACTATTTAACAACTATAACATTATAATAATTTTTTGTACTAATTATGAATTGCATCAACCATTTAAAACCACATTATGTAACATTTTAACATGTAACATTTAACATTTGTTTTTTGCACTGAAAACTGTAGAAAAAATATACATCCTTAGTCTGTGTGGATGTACATCTTGGACCAGGCCTCCTGCTGTTTGTTTCCACAGAATGATGTTCCTTTGATTATAATCTTCCACAGTATGGCATAAAAGTATCTCCATTAAAAATGTTCTGACATATGATTTTAATTTTCTATTTCCATGCAATCATTCAGGGGAAATACCACCTTCAGAAAGTTACATACTGCAGCTTTAACTAAATCACCATTTCAATGTGGTGACTGCTAAACACATTTTACTGAAGTCAACAGCCATAGGGTTCGATTTTTGGTTATAAATACAGCTTCAGTACAATTTTGATATTAACACTAAATTATGCAGTATAATTCTAGAATCATAATCAATACAAAAGTATGTTTTGTAGTGCAGTGTAATAACAATAATTTGTCTATCAATTCAAATTTTTGAATCTTTCTTTGTTTCTAATATGGCTAAAAAGAAAACATTAAAAAACATTATTGAATGTCAAGTAAATGGTATTCTATATAGGACAGCAGCTCTTCCGGGATAATTAAGACCTCCATTATATAAAATTAGGCAAGGCAAGGCAAGTTTATTTGTATAGCACAATTCATACACAGGGTATTTTAAAGTGCTTTACAGAATAACAAATACATTAAAATCACAATACAAACAAATCAAAACATAAATAATCATTATAAGATTAAAAAGAGAGAGAGAGACATTAAATGAGAGAGAAGAGTGTAGAATGAAAACCTTTCAGTCATATGCACAACTAATCAGAACTGTTTTGAATCAAAGTAGAGGCCTGTCTCACAGGAAAACTGTTCCAGGTTTTAACTGCACGAATCTGAAACGCTGACTCCCGGTGTTCAGTTCTGACTCTTTACACCAGCAGGAAGCCGGTCCCTGAGCTCCTCAGAGTGCAGATGATTCATATGGTACTAACATGTCAGAAATGTACTTTGGTGCTTGGCCATGGAGAGACTTGTATACAAGCAGAGCTGCTTTAAAGTCTATTCTCTGAGCCACAGGAAGTCAGTGCAGAGACTTGAGCACAGGACTTATGCACTTGTACTTCCTGGTTCAAGTCAAGACCCAAGTGGCAGCATTGTGGATTTATTGCAGCGTCTCACAGCTCATTTGGAGAGGCCAGTGAGAGGCCATTACAGTAGTCTAACCTACTGGAGACTAGCGCATGGATAAATCTCTACAAGTCTGCTTTAGCCTTCCGGCACTCCCTTTTCTGTTCCCTGACCGAGTCATCATTCCTCCACGGAGCTTTTTGCTTATCTTTAACCATTTTAACCTTCTTCAGGGCAATGGTGTCCAGAACATCCAAAACACTCGAAGTCACAGAGTTCAACAAAACATCAACATTAGAACATGAGGCAATTTCAAAGTGTATCATTTTAATGAACAGTCCACCTGTTTCATCATATACATTTATATACACTTTAAAACATCCTCAGAATAATCTAAATTAGAGTGGAGGCAAAATTAGGCCGTAATACACATACTTTAGTAATTAGTAGATGTAGCCTCCTAGGACCTGGCATCCACACATATATGTCCAACATACTGTGGGCTGTTCAGGCACTTAATAAATAGTTTTTGTTTTTTAGTTTTTGCAAATCATTATTCAGTTGTGACTTTATTGTGTTCCATCAAAATTATTAAAACATAAAATTATTGTTTTATATATCTGATGTGGACATAGTTTTTCTCAGAAACTATGTAAAATATAATTCTCCCAGTCAGCCCAAATAAAGAGAAATAACTAAAGCATACCATGCAAGAGTTTGGGTCCTAGGAGGTTAAATGCTAATAGTTTTAATTTAATTTTAGAATTAAAAAAAACAACAATGTTTAAAAATAGATGTGTAATATTTGGCGATAAATGGTCCATTAAAATCACTTACTCCATTTTACTTTTGCTTCCAGTTATTTTCCCAACCAATTTTTTATATTTTGTATCATTGTTATTTTTAATCTTTTACTTTATTTTATTCCAAAACATTCTCAAACATTTTATTACAGAAAAACATTTTATTATCTTTTTAAATCTAAAATCATTCCAAGTATTCCCTGATAAGTATACCCAGGCGTCCCTTACTCCCTGTTGGGAAATACTGGCTGACACTGTGTTAATAACATTTTTCTTATACCCAGAGGTGTCAGTGTAGAGCATATATAGCTGTTTCTGTCTACAAAAGAACAGAAATCAAAACCTTCTCTCTGTATGAATCTATGGAACAATGGAATTTTTTAACCCTGCTATTAACAACAAGAACATCACCTTTGTGCGGCCTGCTTTTTTCATTATCACAGGTTTATCAGGCATCTCTAACATCAAGCACTACTATGTCTTTCTGTTTATCGTCTACATTGTCTCTGTGATTGGCAACTCTTTCGTGATGGCTGTCATAGTTTTGGACCATAACTTAAAAACTCCAAAGTACATGGCTGTTTTTAACATGGCTTTTGTCGACTTAATTGGCAACACTGCTCTCGTGCCCAAACTCCTGGACATTTTCTTGTTCAACCGACCGTTTATTCGCTACAATGACTGCATGACTTATCTATTTTTCTGCTACACCTGTCTCTCAATGCAGTCTTTTAACCTGGCTGCTCTTGCTTATGACAGACTGATGGCTATAAGTTACCCGTTGCACTATCAAGTCAAGGTCACTAATACATTTATGCTTGGTTTGATAGGATTTCTTTGGCTATTCATCATACTCGCTGTTCTAATTGCGGTTGGACTCATTACAAGACTTTCGTTTTGCCAGTCTGTTGTTATAAATAGCTATTTTTGTGATCATGGTCAAATTTATAGACTTTCTTGCAATGACCACTTCCCCAGTTATGTTGTGAGCTGCTTATATCCCATACTAATATTCTGGCTTCCACTGGCATTCATTTTATTTAGCTATTTATACATTGGATTTACACTGGCTAAAGTTGCAACAGTGCGTGAAGGACTCAAAGCATTTAAGACATGCATTGGTCATCTATTACTAGTGGCAATTTATTTTATTCCATTACTGATTGTGTTTACTTTAATGGAGAAAATACAGCCAAATGCGAGAATTATAAATCTCTCTATGACGTCAGTCTTTCCTCCGATGTTGAACCCGATCATTTATGTGCTGCAAACCCAGGAAATCAAAGACTCGGTAAAGAGATTATTACATATGTGGAGAAAGTCTAAAATAGCAGTCCAAAATATTACTAAATAACACATGCATTTCAGACTCTTTTAGACTAAATACAAACTTCTCATATACTTGGTAACTTGAATATGTACTGATGCCTGATTTGATGTCACAATAAAATTTTCAAATGTATATTGAAGTTTTTAATGTTAACCTCCTGTAAAATAATATGTGATGGGTTACGTATCTTTAAATGGCAGGTGGCACATGGCAGGTTAGACTACAAATTTCTTCATATTTTAGTTAACATGATTATATTCAAAATTTGATCAGAAAATCTTGCCATATCTTCCTTGTGAGTAAATTGTCTTTTGGAAATTGCTGAGAATTGACAGCATACATAGTTATTCCATTTTAGAACTCATTACTTTCTGTATTTTATTTATTGTTTTCTACTTTTCTTCACAAAATGCCACTTGATAATGTAAAATGATTGATGTAAAATTATATATTTGAATATTTTCTCCAGATACTATTACACCAAATTAAGTCTAAATTAGAAACATATTCAAATACACTTAAATAAACTTGCTTAAAATCTGTGTTTTGCTGTGAGCTATATTAGCGATTCAGTCAATTATTTTAGCATTATGAGAGAAAAAGTGAATGTATTGTTATTCTAATAAAGTAACATACATAAAAGGAAAAGTAAGGTAGTAAAGTTGTAATGTTGTTTTGTCATCTGAATGAATGCAAACATTTGAGCTGTTGTCCATTGTGTATGGAGTCAGCCCGCAGGCCAAGGGCAAATGAGAGGAAAAGCCCCATTTCAAGCATCATGTGAGCTGCTCTTGTGTTAAAGTAGAAGTGAAATAAATGCTGAAAAAGCTGATGATAAACAGGTGATCCAGTCTGTGTTATTGAGATATACTGTATAAATGTGTCTAAAGCAGAACTGGCAGGTGACACATAAAAAACACCTCCTCGAGGTTGTTAAGATGTGTGCAGCTGGAGGTGACACTCGCCTCATACAGTCCTGTGAGAGTTTTTGTTTAGCTCAGCGGGTCACTGTGTGGGTGCACACTGATGGTCCGGTCATGTGACACCGAGCATGTCCTTTCCCGACATCGCTAACAACAATTACTCATTTACTTATACAGTGCAAATAATAGTGACCCCAAATCTGAGACTTGTTTAACCCCCATGTAATTTTGACACACTTAAACCCATTAACCTTTTACACACTGTTCTTTTCCCTAATTTAGCAGAGCTGCAGACAACATTTTAAATTACTGTATAATGTGTTGTAATATAAAACAACAGGACTCGAGTTGACTGACTGTATATAGACAAATCTTCTTTGCCAGACAACCATGATATTTAGCCTGGCACATTCACACATTGAGGCAAACTCAATGGCCAGTGGTACACACTTCCAACCTCACTTTTGTCCATGTATCCCAGAGCAGAGCACCTGCTATAGTACCACCTTCAATTCTGAGCTTAAAGGTCCAATATTACACACAATTGACTCTTATGAGCTGAACATACTGTACCTGGAGATGTGTTTAGTTTCATTCACACATGTTTGTTTATTCCTGCTCATATTATATTATTCGTCTGTCTACATCTCCAAAACTCAAAATGCTCTGTTGCACGTTGTGATGTCATGAAGAGGTAGTTTTCAAGTTAACAGCTACCCTTTACCTTTTGATCAAAAGACAGTGGCAATTACGGAGCTGAAATGATTAATTATTAAAGAGCACAGCGTAAATATGCAGGACTTGTGTGTTAAATGTGTGAAAAAAACAAAACACAACCCTGGGTTTTTGATGAGGAAAAACATTATACCATAGATCAGAAAGTGGCGCAATATGGGCCCTTTAATGTAAAACACATCTTTAATCTGCTAAATAAATCTAAGACATTATTATTAACTCACTCAAGGCTGGTATCTTGATCTGAAGACTCAGAATCCAAATACTAGCACCTCTCAGCACACTGCATATTTTCCTTATTATGACTGTGTAAGTGAATGTAAATATTAGTATAAGAGTACATCTATTATTATTTGACTTTAGTTAGAACGATTTAGTTAGTTAGCTAGTTAACACATGTTTTGACTGTATTTATCTTGTTTTAGGTCATTACAGATCAAAATAATATAATGAAATATTCCAAATATTCCTTGAAACTAAGTATTATTGATTCAAACCATTAAACTAATATAGCTATGGCTTAACCTAAGTTAATTAGGTTAAAACTAAATTAATAACCTAAGTTTACAGTTGAAAACTTTTTGTTGTAGGGGACAGGAGTTGTGCTGTCATGGAGACAGTTATTTGGAAGGGGATTATAAAAAGAGAGGGCCACAGTCTCAGGCCAGTTCTATTTCATATATTCCCAAATGGAGTTTTTCAATTCTGCTCTGGGCAAGAACATCAGCTTTGTGCGTCCTCCGTACTTCATAATAACTGGTTTGATTGGGATTCCTCATGTGAACTATTACTATGGCGTTCTGTTTTTTATTTATGTTGGAAGCGTGATTGGAAATATCTCAGTGTTGGCTGTCATCATTTTGGACAATCACCTAAAAAGTCCTAAATATATTGCTGTATTTAATTTGATCTTGACAGATCTGTTAAATATTAGTGCTTTGGTACCAAAGGTTATTGACACGTTTCTATTTAAGCACAATGTGATTCCTTATGGTGAGTGTTTAGTGTACATGTTGTTCAATGTGGTGTTTGTGTCAATGCAGTCTCTTAATCTGGTTGTTCTTGCCATTGATAGACTAATAGCTATTGCTGCTCCTCTTCATTATCACATCAGAATTACAAAACAATGTATCATAAGCTTAATTGCTTTTTTCTGGATCTACTCCTTCACTCTTACTCTGGTGGCATTGGGTCTCATCACAAGAATATCCATTTGTGAATCTGTTATTCTAGCGAGTCATTACTGTGACCATGGCCCCATCTACCGCCTTGGCTGTAATGACGTGACCCCAAGCCGTGTCATTGCTACTTTTAACCCAGCCTTAAAACTCTGGGTTCCTCTGGTTTTCATTGTAGCGAGTTATGTTTATATTGGTTTCACTATATTCAAGATTTCAGTGCCAAAAGAACGAGTCAAGGCCCTGAAAACTTGTTCAGCTCACCTCAGCCTGGTTGCAATATACTACATTCCATTTATATTTGTGTTTCTGTATGGCTCAAAAGTTCCTACCAATGCACGAATTATGAGTCTGTCTATGACCACTATTGTACCACCAATGTTAAATCCAATCATTTATGTTTTACAGACCAAAGAAATACAGGATTCAATAAAAAAGCTGCTTAAACTTAAAAGGTTATCAGTGGTGGAAACAAAATAAAAAAAATATACACAATTCAAAATGATACATTTAACTATGACTATGAGCATGTGCCATTGTACAATGAAAACATAAACACTAATAAAACACATCTGATTTGACTTAACTTTGTGTTCACTATTTTTCATTGAAACCATAGATTGTGTGGATATAGCTAAGCCACTAGCCGCTGCATTCCAAATAGTTTATTCTAATAAAGTAACAAAGCAAAAGTAAGGTAGTAATGTTGTATTGCTTTTTATCATATGAATGAATACAAGCATTTGAGCTGTTGTTCATTATGTATTATTTATTTAATATGAACATGCAAAGTGCTAGACCTTATTTTCAAAACCTGTCCAAAGGGTTTTGGTACAGAAAGGTATGTTTAAAGGTTCTACACAAAAGCAGATAGGACAAATGAAAGCCCCATTTCAAACATCATGTGAGCTGCTCTTTTGTTAAAGTAGATGCACAGAGAAGTGAAATAAATGCTGAAAAAGCTGATGATAAACAGGCGATCCAGTCTGTGTACGATCACAGTCGAAATGTTACTGAGATATATTGTATAACTGTGTCTGAAGTAGAACTGGCAGGTGACAGAAAACGCTCCTTGAAGTTGTTATATATAATAGAGCCCGACCGATATGGATTTTGTTGTGGCCGATATGAAACTGATATAATGGGAGTTGGCGCTGCCGATAGCCGATATAATCGCCGATATATTTAGTGATGTAAAAATTCACTGTAAATATTGAATTGTTTAAAAAACTTAGGTTTGGCTCTAGTGGATTCTAAATTGGGTTTATTTAGGCAACATTTATTGTTATTCTGACTCTTTACATCATATTTACATACAGTAGATTGGCCTAATGGCATTTTTGCATCACATTCTAGCTACTAGTGATGGGTATTTCAGTTTTTTTTTTTTGAGAACTGGCTCTTTTGGCTCGGCTCACTAAAGCAGCTGGCTTTTTCGGCTCCCAAGTGACTCTTGAGATTGTTTTGTTGCAAGCAGGACTAAACTAAAACTGAACCAGGACTGAAAAAGGACTAAACCAGGACTAAAACAGATTTAAACCATGTGTGAAACAGGACTAAACCAGAACTGAACCAGGACTGAGTGTCGGGACTCGGTCTCTATCTCTCTCTCAAGACCAAGATTAGTCCTGGTTTATTCATTTTATGCTGAACAGCAGCCAAATATGCACTTTTTTTTTTTTTTTAATCCTATGCACACGCATATTTCTGAAAGTTTCGTTTTCAGCCGCTGCTGCTGTCAAACTACGGGTCTACAAGCGGCTTGAAGAGAAGAAATGAGAAAAAGAGAAAACACGGCTCCCAATAAGAAACATGCTCCCGTTGTTCGCTTCAAAGGGCCGACTCTAAGAGCCGCTTCGATCGCGACCGACCCATAACTCCTAGCTAGTAAACAATCGCTATTAGCCTTTAGCCGTAAAAACGTGCGCACCGCGGTAATTAATTATATGCATAAATGTGGATCATTCACACGTCTATTCACAGCTCATTTACATATCAATGCTGGTCCAGTAGCAAATATACGGACAATGTAGTCACTTTACAATAGGCCAATAGAAAACAGCCTGTTTATGTGCGGGAGCTACAGCAGCTAACAGCTAACTAGCTTCAAAGTTAACATATTTCCAACACTCACTGCTCACACAGGCTCCTCCTCACATCACAAGTCTGCACTAATAAAAGTCCTTTTAATCCAGACTCAAGACGATTGTCCGTAAAAAGAATATAATCTCAGTGTTGCGCACCGCTGCGGGTGTAAACAATAGCACGTGAGTGAAGTGACGTGACTCTGGGGGTGTGTTCAGGGACAGTACGGACACAGACAAATTACACCGCAAATAAATACTGATGCGGAGCCACATATTAGGACATTTATCTGTCTATAAATTGGATTATATCAACATAATGTAGAGAGTCTAAGATTTATAACGAGGTATAACATGCCCACGTGAAATATCGGCCCATATCAGCAAGCATATCGGCCGATAGCCGATATGTCTCCAGGTGCCCATATTAGCCGATAATATCGACCAGCCGATATATCGGTCGGGCTCTAATATATAATATTATAGATGTGTACAGCTGGAGGTGACACACGCCTTGTACAGCCCTGTGAGAGTTTTTGTTTAACTGACAGTAGATTTTAATGCTAATAATTTTTAGTCTTTACAATAAAAAAAGCAGCAATGTTTAAAAATGTTTGTGTAATATTTGGTGATAATTGGTCCATTAAAATCACTTATTCCATTTTACTTTGGCTTCCAGTTATTTTTCCAACCTTTTTTATTTTTTGTTATTATTATTTTGAATCTTTATTTTACTCCAAACCATGCTCAAACATTTTATTACAGAAAAACATTTTTATTATCTTTTAAAATCTTAAATTATTACAGACATTCCCTGATAAGTATACCCAGGTGTCCCTGTACCCCCGGTTGGGAAACACTGGCTGATACTGTGTTAATAACATTTTTCTTATGCACAGGTGTGTCAGTGTAGAGCATATACAGCTGTTTCCATCTACAAGAGAACAGAAATCAAAACTTCTCTCTGTATGAATCTATGGAACCATGGAATTTTCAACCCTGCTACTAACAACAAGAACATCACCTTTGTGCAGCCTGTTTTTTTCATTATTCTCTGTTGCACCTTGTGATGTCATGAAAAGGCAGTTTTCAAATTAACAGCTACATTTTACCTTTTGACCAATAGAGACTGGCCATTGTGGGGCTGAAATTATCCAGATTATTCTAGTGAAGGTGTATGCAGTTTAAAAACACAGTGGAGCACTTCCTGTATGAGCACATGACGTCACAAGGTGGGACAGTGTTTTCTTTGAGAGAAGAGCACAGCCTAAATATGCAGGACTTGTGTGTTAAATATGTGTGAATAAAACAAAGCACAACCCTGGGTTTTTGATGAGGAAAAACATTGTACCATAGATCAGAATGGGTCGTAATATAGGCCCTTTAATGAATGGCACATTGTAAAACACATCTTTAATCTGCTAAATAAATCTGAGACAACAGTATTAACTCACTCAAGGCTGGTATCTTGATCTTAAGACAGTTTTAATGAATAATAAGACTCAGAATCCAAATACTAGCACCTGTCAGCAAGCTCTGCATATTTTCCTTATTATGACTGTGTAAGTGACTGTAAATATTAGTATAAGAGTACATCCATTATTATTTGACTTAAGTTAGGACTAATGTTCCTGTAAATTAACTTTTTTTTACTATATGTATCTTGTTTTAGGTCATTACAGATCAAAACAATATAATGAAATATTCCAAATATTCCTCGAAACTAAGTATTATCGATTCAAACCATTAAACTAATGTAGCTATGGCTTTTTGGAATTCAACAACAACAACATCCTAAGTTTACCGTTGAAAACATTTTGTTGTAGGGGACAGGAGTTGTGCTGTCATGGAGACAGTTATTTGGAAGGGGATTATAAAAAGAGAGGGCCACAGTCTCAGGCCAGTTCTATTTCATATATTCCCAAATGGAGTTTTTCAATTCTGCTCTGGGCAAGAACATCAGCTTTGTGCGTCCTCCGTATTTCATAATAACTGGTTTGATTGGGATTCCTCATGTGAACTATTACTATGGCGTTCTGTTTTTTATTTATGTTGGGAATGCATTTGGAAATATCTCAGTGTTGGCTGTCATCATTTTGGACAATCACCTGAAAAGTCCTAAATATATTGCTGTATTTAACTTGATCTTGACAGATCTGTTAAATATTAGTGCTTTGGTACCAAAGGTTATTGACACATTTCTATTTAAGCACAATGTGATTCCTTATGGTGAGTGTTTAGTGTACATGTTGTTTAACGTGGTGCTTGTGTCAATGCAGTCTCTTAATCTGGTTGTTCTTGCCATTGATAGACTAATAGCTATTGCTGCTCCTCTTCATTATCACGTCAAAACTACAAAACAGTTTATCATAAGCTTAATTGTTTTTTTCTGGATCTACTCCTTTAGTCTTACTCTGGTGGCATTGGGTCTCCTCACAAGAATATCCATTTGTGAATCTGTTATTCTAGCGAGTCATTACTGTGACCATGGCCTCATCTACCGCCTTGGCTGTAATGACGTGACCCCAAGCCGTATCATTGCTACTTTTAACCCAGCCTTAAAACTCTGGGTTCCTCTGGTTTTCATTGTAGCGAGTTATGTTTATATTGGCTTCACTATATTCAAGATTTCAGTGCCAAAAGAACGAGTCAAGGCGCTGAAAACTTGTTCAGCTCACCTCAGCCTGGTTGCAGTGTACTACATTCCACTCATATTTGTGCTTCAGTTTGTCTCAAAAATTCCTACCAATGCACGCATTATGAGCTGGTCTATGACCACTATTGTACCACCAATGTTAAATCCAATCATTTATGTTTTACAGAGCAAAGAAATACAGGATTCAATAAAAAAGCTGCTTAAACTTAAAAGGTTATCAGTGGTGGAAACAAAATAAAAAATTACACAATTCAAAATGATACATTTAACTATGACTATGAGCATGTGCCATTGTACAATGAAAACATAAACGCTAATAAAACACATCTGTTTTGACTTATCTTTGTGTTCAATATTTTTAATTGAAACCATAGATTGTGTGGATATAGCTAAGCCACTAGCCGCTGCATTCCAAAATAGTTTATTCTAATAAAGTAACAAAGCAAAAGTAAGGTAGTAATGTTGTATTGTTTTTTATCATCTGAATGAATACAAGCATTTGAGCTGTTGTTCATTATGTATTATTTATTTAATATGAACATGCAAAGTGCTAGACCTAATTTTCAAAACCTGTCCATAGGACGTTTTAAATGGTTTTGGTACAGAAAGGTATTTTTAAAGGTTCTGCACAAAAGTGGACAGGACAAATGAGAGGAAAGCCCCATTTCAAACATCATGTGAGCTGCTCTTGTGTTAAAGTAGATGCACAGAGAAGTGAAATAAATGCTGAAAAAGCTGATGATAAACAGGCGATCCAGTCTGTGTACGATCACAGTCGAAATGTTACTGAGATATATTGTATAACTGTGTCTAAAGCAGAACTGGCAGGTGACAGAAAACGCTCCTTGAGGTTGTTGTATGTAATGTTATAGATGTGTACAGCTGGAGGTGACACATGCCTTGTACAGCCCTGTGAGAGTTTTTATTTAACTGACAGTAGATTGTAATGCTAATAATTTTTAGTCTTTACAATAAAAAAAGCAGCAATGTTTAAAAATGTTTGTGTAATATTTGGTGATAATTGGTCCATTAAAATCACTTATTCCATTTTACTTTGGCTTCCTGTTATTTTTCCAACCTTTTTTATTTTTTGTTATTATTTTGAATCTTGTACTTTATTTTACTCCAAACCATGCTCAAACATTTTATTACAGAAAAACATTTTTATTATCTTTTAAAATCTTAAATTATTACAGACATTCCCTGATAAGTATACCCAGGTGTCCCTGTACCCCCGGTTGGGAAACACTGGCTGATACTGTGTTAATAACATGTTTCTTATGCACAGGTGTGTCAGTGTAGAGCATATACAGCTGTTTCCATCTACAAGAGAACAGAAATCAAAACTTCTCTCTGTATGAATCTATGGAACCATGGAATTTTCAACCCTGCTACTAACAACAAGAACATCACCTTTGTGCAGCCTGTTTTTTTCATTATTCTCTGTTGCACCTTGTGATGTCATGAAGAGGTAGATTTCAAATTAACAGCTACATTTTACCTTTTGACCAATAGAGACTGGCCATTGTGGGGCTGAAATTATCCAGATTATTCTAGTGAAGGTGTATGCAGTTTAAAAACACAGTGGAGCACTTCCTGTATGAGCACATGACGTCACAAGGTGGGACAGTGTTTTCTTTGAGAGAAGAGCACAGCCTAAATATGCAGGACTTGTGTGTTAAATATGTGTGAATGAAAAAAACACAACCCTGGGTTTTTGATGAGGAAAAACATTGTACCATAGATCAGAATGGGTCGTAATATAGGCCCTTTAATGAATGGCACATTGTAAAACACATCTTTAAGCTGCTAAATAAATCTGAGACAACAGTATTAACTCACTCAAGGCTGGTATCTTGATCTTAAGACAGTTCTAATGAATAATAAGACTCAGAATCCAAATACTAGCACCTGTCAGCAAGCTCTGCATATTTTCCTTATTATGACTGTGTAAGTGAATGTAAATATTAGTATAAGAGTACATCTATTATTATTTGACTTAAGTTAGGACTAATGTTCCTGTAAATTAACTTTTTTTATTATATGTATCTTGTTTTAGGTCATTACAGATCAAAACAATATAATGAAATATTCCAAATATTCCTCGAAACTAAGTATTATCGATTCAAACCATTAAATTAATGTAGCTATGGCTTTTTATGGCTTTTTATGGCTTTTTGGAACTCAACAACAACAATAACCTAAGTTTACCGTTGAAAACATTTTGTTGTAGGGGACAGGAGTTGTGCTGTCATGGAGACAGTTATTTGGAAGGGGATTATAAAAAGAGAGGGCCGCAGTCTCAGGCCAGTTCTATTTCATATATTCCCAAATGGAGTTTTTCAATTCTGCTCTGGGCAAGAACATCAGCTTTGTGCGTCCTCCGTACTTCATAATAACTGGTTTGATTGGGATTCCTCATGTGAACTATTACTATGGCATTCTGTTTTTTATTTATGTTGGGAATGTATTTGGAAATATCTCAGTGTTGGCTGTCATCATTTTGGACAATCACCTGAAAAGTCCTAAATATATTGCTGTATTTAATTTGATCTTGACAGATCTGTTAAATATTAGTGCTTTGGTACCAAAGGTTATTGACACATTTCTATTTAAGCACAATGTGATTCCTTATGGTGAGTGTTTAGTGTACATGTTGTTCAATGTGGTGTTTGTGTCAATGCAGTCTCTTAATCTGGTTGTTCTTGCCATTGATAGACTAATAGCTATTGCTGCTCCTCTTCATTATCACGTCAAAACTACAAAACAGTTTATCATAAGCTTAATTGTTTTTTTCTGGATCTACTCCTTTAGTCTTACTCTGGTGGCATTGGGTCTCCTCACAAGAATATCCATTTGTGAATCTGTTATTCTAGCGAGTCATTACTGTGACCATGGCCTCATCTACCGCCTTGGCTGTAATGACGTGACCCCAAGCCGTATCATTGCTACTTTTAACCCAGCCTTAAAACTCTGGGTTCCTCTGGTTTTCATTGTAGCGAGTTATGTTTATATTGGTTTCACTATATTCAAGATTTCAGTGCCAAAAGAACGAGTCAAGGCGCTGAAAACTTGTTCAGCTCACCTCAGCCTGGTTGCAATGTACTACATTCCACTCATATTTGTGCTTCAGTTTGTCTCAAAAATTCCTACCAACGCACGAATTATGAGTCTGTCTATGGCCACTATTGTGCCACCAATGTTAAATCCAATCATTTATGTTTTACAGAGCAAAGAAATACAGGATTCAATAAAAAAGCTGCTTAAACTTAAAAGGTTATCAGTGGTGGAAACAAAATAAAAAATTACACAATTCAAAATAATACATTTAACTATGACTATGAGCATGTGCCATTGTACAATGAAAACATAAACGCTAATAAAACACATCTGTTTTGACTTAACTTTGTGTTCACTATTTTTAATTGAAACCATAGATTGTGTGGATATAGCTAAGCCACTAGCCACTGCATTCCAAATAGTTTATTCTAATAAATTAACAAAGCAAAAGTAAGGTAGTAATGTTGTATTGTTTTTTATCATCTGAATGAATACAAGCATTTGAGCTGTTGTTCATTATGTATTATTTATTTAATATGAACATGCAAAGTGCTAGACCTAATTTTCAAAACCTGTCCATAGGAAGTTTTAAAGGGTTTTGGTACAGAAAGGTATTTTTAAAGGTTCTACACAAAAGTGGACAGGACAAATGAGAGGAAAGCCCCATTTCAAACATCATGTGAGCTGCTCTTGTGTTAAAGTAGATGCACAGAGAAGTGAAATAAATGCTGAAAAAGCTGATGATAAACAGGCGATCCAGTCTGTGTACGATCACAGTCGAAATGTTACTGAGATATATTGTATAACTGTGTCTAAAGCAGAACTGGCAGGTGACAGAAAACGCTCCTTGAGGTTGTTGTATGTAATGTTATAGATGTGTACAGCTGGAGGTGACCCGCGCCTTGTACAGCCCTGTGAGAGTTTTTGTTTAACTGACAGCAGATTTTAATGCTGATGGTTTTAAGTCTTTACAACAAAAAAAGCAGCAATGTTTAAAAATGTTTGTGTAATATTTGGTGATAATTGGTCCATTAAAATCACTTATTCCATTTTACTATTTTTCAAACCTTTTTTATTTTTGTTATTATTATTTTGAATCTTGTACTTTATTTTACTCCAAACCATGTTCAAACATTTTATTACAGAAAAACATTTTTATTATCTTTTAAAATCTTAAATTATTACAGACATTCCCTGATTAGTATACCCAGGTGTCCCTGTACCCCCGGTTGGGAAATACTGGCTGACACTGTGTTAATAACATTTTTCTTATGCCCTGGGGCGTCAGTGTAGAGCATATACAGCTGCTTCCGTCTATAAAAGAACAGAAATCAAAACTTCTCTCTGTATGAATCTATGGAACGATGGAATTTTCAGCCCTGCTACTAACATGTAATAGCCTGGATAGCAACCTTAGAGGTACAAGAGGAACATAGTAGAGCTGAGCCGATTTGTAGTGCAGATCCCAAGTGCACTTATTCCATAGCCCAGACAAAAAAAAAACAAAAGAAAAAGAAAAATATTTACAAAATACAAAAGTTAAAAACAGGCATGGCAGTAACCTGCACTCACACAGCACCTTCCTCTGACAAAGGTGAGGCTGGCTCCTTTTATAGGCCTTCTCCTCTAATTGGGTGAGCTCAACTTAACATGCAGGTAAGTTCCAATCATTTAACATTCAATATTTAAAACTTAGGTATCAAAAAACAGTGCAACACATATTAAATTACATCTAAATACAAATATATATATTTTTTTTATTAACAGTGTTTTTTATTAGCAGTGTTAAAAGTTAAAAAAGTTAAAAATCTCTGTGCTCCCCTCCTCCTAACAAAATGGTCACCTGCCCCGGAACCTTGTTAAGGTGCTTCGGCTCCCCGGGGATTCTTTTGGCCATAACACCTGAGGCAGACCACTGGATACAGTATTGCTGCTTGTAGCTGCCTCCAGTTGACGTAGTGGTCACTCACTGGAACTTCAGCAGAAAAAATCCCATGGGCCGAAAGAAGATTTTTCTCATAGAGTGTGTTAGGCGTGTTCTTTCAATAACTACTAGACTCAATCAATTTAAATTACAAAAATTTATTCCCCTGACAATACAATTCTAATACAGAGCTCTGGGTCAAATCGCTATCCCTGATGACTCCTATGAAGCAGGTCTTATGCCAGGCAATCTGACTGCCTGCCTGTCCCTCAACCCAGTTTTTATAAACACAACAGTATGAATATGCAAATAATATGTTGAGCAGGTTCCCGCCTTGAATCGTTGCCTTGAAGTGTCAGCATTTCTTCTTTGGGGGAAGTGACAACCCCCTCCAAACCATTGTAAATCACACCAAGTCTGTTTAGATAAGCTAGCTGGTTATCTCCACAGTCCCAGTTCTGCAAAGGAATTTGCTTAGAAGCACATAGGTTACCCATTATGTAGGAAACACAATGGTACTATTCACCAAATAAGATCTCAGTGTTTAAGTTTCAACTCAGTGTGTAACTTCAATAAACAATATTCAGACCACCACTTGATATAGCCTTCAAGCGCAATGTAATCACAAACTGCTCGTGTTTGTCTGACAGGTCACCTACAGCTTTCAACAATATCGGATTTGTTGGCGATTTTTACCTATTTTTAGATCATAAACTTTTTCTCGCTCAAAATCCTTCAGTTGTCTTAAAAAAATGCTTTATATTCGTTAGCTCCGGCTCCGCTCTAGCTCCTCTCGCTCTGATTGGTCAAAGTGATCACGTGATACACGAGCCCGCACTCCGTGTGTGTGGTTGCGTGCATTCGTGTGTGCCCATGGGAGAAAAGAGCACTACTGTGCATGCTCGGTGGGCCCACAGCCACCGGAAGTACCTAGCCATGCTAGGCTAATCTGGGATCATGCTCCATTGAGCTCAGCCCATTGACTTGAATGGGCGGCCATTTTGGAACCTGGGGGCTTGAGGTAAGTACATTCATTTTAGCCACAATCACTTAAATTAAATACACTTATTTCTTTCACTTATTTCCTTTTCTTTTACAGGTTACTTCACAACAATCTGCACAACAATCAATTATTCAATAAGTATTTTTAAACTTTGTTTCTGTTTCTCATTATCTCACCTGTTAACTAGCACTGGGCCCATGTAATGGACTAGCTATATTACATTTCCTCTCCCCTCTTTTAAGGGTACAGTACCTCTATTCTTCATATACTCTAGACAAGGAATCAGCTACAACATTGGACTTGCCAGGCTTATAGTGGATTGTGAAGTTAAATGCTTGAAGGGCCAGTACAATGAATACAATGAATACCTGGTTTCTCTGTCCAGTAGTTTTCTGCTCAAAAGCAAAACTGGCCAAACTCCACCTAGGCCCACTCCAGATGCATCAGTTTGCAGAGTAAAATGTTTGTTGAAGTCGAAGGTCTGCAGCACTGTGTGGTTGTTTAGGGCCTCCTTTAGATCCCTGAAAGCATAATCACATTGGCCCGTCCATTTTACATTGCTGACATCTTGGTGAGGACATTGAGCACAACTGAGTGGTCTGAAGGGGATGAATTTTCTGTACCAGCCGATGAGCCCAAGGACACTCTTCACTTTTTTTTTGGTGGCTGGAATGGGGAAAGAATGAATAGCCTCCATTTTTCCCACCTGGGGCCTGAGTTTGCCGTGTCCAGTGACAAAACCCAGGTACTCCACCTCTCTCTGAACCAGACAGCATTTTGGGGGGTTGATGGTTAGGTCAGCAGACTTTATGCCCTGCAGAACTTGTTTTAGATGAGCCATGTGTTCCTCCCAGGTTTGGCTGTAGATTACAACATCGTCCAAGTATGCAGCTGCAAAGTCTGAAACATCTCTCAAAACATAGTCCATCAGTCTTTGAAAGGTGGCTGGCGCCCCCTAGAGTCCAAATGGCATGACTCTAAATTGGTACATACCAAAAGGAGGCGAGGAGAAAATTCCTTCAGTTCTGAAGAAGCAGAACTGAAGAAGCAGCTTGGATGAGCTGTGAAACGTCTTCAACTAAACTAACTTTTGTCCAGTCGACTAAATGAAATTTCTCCTCGCGTAGGATTCTACCTGGACGACTGAGGGATTCTTCACATACCAAAAGGAGTTTTAAAAGCTGTCAGCTCATGGACCTCTGGATGTAATGCCACTTGCCAGTAGCCTTTGCTTAAGTCTAAGGTGGTGATGTACTTGGCCTGCCCCACTCGCTCAACCATCTCGTCAACCCTAGGCATTAGGTAAGGTTCACACAATGAAATAGCATTCAGGTACCAAAAGTCTATGCAAAATCTCAGTGAGCCATTCTTTTTGGGCACCAGAACCACTGGACTGCACCACTCACTATTTGAGACCTCAATTATGCCCAGGCCAATTTAATTTCCTTTTTCAAAGATTGCACCAACCGCTCAGAAATTCTGTAGCTCTTTTGGCATGAAGGAGCCTCTTTCATCAGCCGGATGTTGTGCTGGACCAGGTCTGTATAACCAGGTGAGTCTCTGAACAGCTCTGGGTCAATGAGAGGAGTCACTTGTCTCTGTTGGGAGATAGACAGATGTGACGTGTCTATGATTTGTGACTCACGCAGGTTTCCAGACATGAACTTCTCTGGTGTCTCGTCATCCTGCACAGCACGGATCAAGAACTGAGAGATGGATTCCTGGTGGGACTGAAATTCTTTTAACAAGTTCATATGGAATGTCTTGTGCTTTTTGGTTCTGTCAGGCATATAAAGTTCATATGTGACTTTACCCAGTCTTCTAGTAATTTCATACGGACTGTGCCATTTGGAGAGGAGATTGCTTTAGAGGTGGGGAGGAGAAGTAGTACTTTTTGGCCACGTTCAAAGCTTCGTTCTCTGGCTTTACGGTCATACCAGGTCTTTTGGCTTTGTTGAGCAGTCCTCAAAGTCTCTTGTGCCAGGGCAGACATTTCCTCCAGGCATTGCCTAATTTTCACCACATAGGCCACCACGTTCTCTTCAGAGGGGGTTGGGTTCTCCCAGTGGTCCTTGAGGAGGTTGAGTAGCCCCCTTACTTGGCGTCCATAGAGGAAGTCGAATGGCGACAACCCAGTTGAGGCCTGTGGCACTTCGCGGTATGCGAATAGCAGGTACGGCAACCTCTGGTCCCAGTCTACTCCTGAGTGAGACACAAACTTATGCAGCATATTTCAAAGTCTGGTTGTACCGCTCAACTAGCCCATCTGTCTGGGGGTGGTATGGGGTGGTCCTAATACCCTTAATCCCAAGGA